TTTTTGCAATAAGTGTGAAAAATAGGCCGTGAAAATGTAGAAAAACTTGGGAATTTTATTATGCAACGATGAAATTGGGAAGTTTATACAAATATTTGCGTGGGTATCCTGGATTTTGAATGTTCTAGAAAGTTATTTTTGAAATTTTGGACTTTTTTAAACTGTTAAAATCTAATATTTGGAATAAATCGTAGTTACGTAAAAATCCCACAATTTATCACGATGAATGAATGACTAACTAGAAATCCCCGCAAAAATCATCATTGTCAAAAACGCGTCATTTCATTCCTCCACTTTTCCTAATCTTTTCCCCAACGCAATTGCTTTCACCGACTCGTCACATCCATTCATTTCCTCCGGCAAAGGAAAAAAAATCCCATGTTTTTCTCCATATTTCTTCCCTTTCATCCAATCCACTTACCAACGAACGAAACGCATAAAAATGCAGACGAGCCACACGCCGCCACCAAACTGTTGCTCTCTTTCAGCTTTCTCTTCAGGGCAAAATGTCAATAAAAACGTGTCCAATCTGGCAAGAATTTCGACTTTCACTTTGTCCAAAAGTACGAAAATTGTGTCACCAACCTCTTTCAGTACTTATGTATATCGCGTTTTCTTTCTTTCTTCGCCAACTTTCACCCGACAACTTCACAATATTGGGAACGAAGACGACTCGATAAGTGAAAACTGTTCCGTGTTAACAATTCTTTTGGGGGAAAAAGTGGTGAAAATTGATCGATTTCGATTTGAGTTCGACAAGAGATTTCTATTCTTTTCAAGTTTTTTGAGTGAAAGTCGGATTGAACTTGACTCACTGACGGTGGGGAGACGATGAATAGAGTTGCTGACGGAAGGGTGACAACATTTTCACTATAAAATAAAGTATATATAGAGTTTGTGTTGTGCTATGAATTATGATAAGTTCGGGAAAACGAGGTCAAAAAATATTTATTTTTTATTTATGCTTTCACTTTTCGAAAACTTTTTAAAAACATTACTCTTTTGAAAAATTGCTACTTTTTAACTTTGCTGAATTTATGATAAAAATATTTAAGTTTGGGAAAAGTACCGGACTAAATCAAGCCTTGTCAGGAAAGTGTTATGTAAGGTTTATTTTTTTAGTAAGAGATATTTTTTTTCAGCGAGTGAATTTTTGAAGGATTTTATTTTTATAGGTTTGTCATAAAATTATTTAAGTTAGGAAAAGTAGGATTAAATCAAAGCTTTTAAGGTAGGTTCAATTTTAAGTGGGAAATGTTTCCTGGAAATTTAGACGATTTTCCAGATTTTATTTTCATGAAAAATCAACCGCGTTTGATGATCTTGTCGGTGTGAGGGTTGGAGTCAAACTGAGCCAGGAAGACGAACCTGAAGGCATTATCATCCGACCAGAATATAAAACTAGGACGCGAAGTAGCGAAGCGAGCAGACGGGAAGAACAAGATCCCAGGAAAAGTGGGGATGGGCGAATTCACGTCAAAATTCGCAAATTCACCGCAAGAATACATCTAAAGCGACAACGTCTTATCATATATATATATTTTTTAATTATTTCGTGAAATAATGATGTAATTCACACAGGCCTTATTAACTCTTTAAAACCCCAAAACCCGTAAATTTTATTTACCTACTTCATTACGTGCTGGAAGGGTGATTAATCTATATCCTTTTCCATATTACAAATTTCAGGCAAAAACTAACCAATGGCGTTGAACAAAAATACCACAAATAACTTACTAACCTTAAAAACTCTTTATTGTGACGTTAATATAAAAATAGCCCTTGATCTGCGCAGACTTATTCACAAGGAATCTATTTACCCAGTCCTTGGTAACATTGTAAAATCCGTAAATTCTGTAAACTTACAAAATTTTATAAATATTTTTGAGGAGAATTAGCTTATAAATTTTCGTCAACTTACTCAGATCACGGGCGTCTCTTTGATTGGTAAAAGTTTTGTAAAATTATTTGACAAAATTTACGAATTTCAAAAGTTTGTGTGAATTGCTTCGATCATTGCGAGACAAAAACATGGTGAGCTAATGAGTAAATTTTTACACAAAATCTGATCAATTTCCTGAAAAATTTAGGTGAAATCGGACAAAATTAACTTGGCAAGTTGCGAATGTTTTTGCGAAAATTGTCGTGAGTACACCTGTATAAATTTCCTTCCATTTCGACAAACTTTTTGATTTCATCAATCGTACTTGAATAACTCTATCGCATTTTGCCTTTCAAAGCGTAGAATTCAATTTGTTATTAATTTAAAAATCTAGAGCCGGTAGCATCTTACAAGAAATAATCCTTTATTTAAAAAACTTTTCTAGTAATTCACCTTTATCTTGTCTCACAAATCAGATTTTTTGCCTAAACTTATCCTAACATTGGTAGAAATCGTATCACAATGTGACAAAATGGTGGAAATGTGACCTTAAAAATATGCTATTTTTAACGCCATACATTTATTTATCGTCTCAACTAAAAACTTTAATGCACATTTGAAATAGATCTATTTAGGTTAACAGATTGACCAGAAAATGTCTAACCTCGTCATCTATTTGTGTATTTTTTGGGTAAGAAAATATTCCAAATTTCCAACTGCGGTGGTAAGGTTTAACATTTCACAAAAAATAATAATTTGCAAAAAAAACTTATTTTCGACGAAACAAATACTGAAATTTCTGAGTATTATTTAAATGAAATTATATGAAATCTGGATTATTGGAATTATAGATTATTTTTTTTATCACTATTAAAAAAGTAATCAGCTTAATCTCAGAATAAGCAAAATATGATTTTTCTTCATAAGTATGTGGAAATATTTTTGAGAAATGTAATGAATTTATTTCTAAGAAATTGGTGAAATCCTAAAATAAGTAATTTTATAGATCAATTTAGCACATAATTTGAGAATAGGAAACAACAAAGTTTACAAAGTTATTGGAATTTCCTCATAAATTTTGCTTTTCATGCGAAAAAATGTCCTCTCTGACAAAGGTTAGTTCTTATTCGGACATTTAATACTCTCAAGTTAGTTTTGTGAGAATTTTTAAAACTTTAAAAATTTTAAGTCTAACAAATTAAGAAAAATTGAAAATATGTCAAATCAAGATGCCGAAGCACATTAGACAAAAAAAGTATAAACTTTCTGTAAATTAGGTTATTTTAATTTGGGTTTTGGTACTAATCTTGTGTGTGAAATGATTTGCGGATCTTTGCCCCCCATTAAAAGCTACCCATGAAATGCTACCCATTATATGCTACCCGTGATGATTTGCAACCCATGAAATGCTACCCATTATATGCTACCAGAGATGATATGCATTATATTCTACCCCACCCGTTCTTACTTTCTTCTTGCAAATTAAACCAAAATGGATACCCCGTTTTGCGTCATAGTGCAACAGCACAGTTATTGTTTATTTAAACAAAATTAGTCACATAATAAATTCTGAAAAAACGAATCAAAGCACAAAATCTCGTAAAATCAGTCAAAAAATAAATTCTGAAAAAACGAATCAAAGCACAAAATCTCGTAAAATCAGTCAAAAAATAAATTCTGAAAAAACGAATCAAAGCACAAAAATTTTGTTTAAATAAACAATAACCGTGCTGTTGCACTATGACGCAAAACGGGGTATCCATTTTGGTTTAATTTGCAAGAAGAAAGTGATAACGGGTGGGGTAGGATATAATGGGGGGCAGATCATCTCGGGTAGCATATAATGGGTAGCATTTCATGGGTTGCAAATCATCACGGGTAGCATATAATGGGTAGCATTTCATGGGTAGCTTTTAATGGGGGGCAAAGATCCGCACACCGTGTGAAATCATTCACATTTTGCGTACGATACACTTTTACTCAAAAATTTCACACTTCGTTTTTTCTACTATTATAGATAAGTACTAATAGAAATCTATCATTTAGAAAATTTGGTAACAAAACTAACCCCTCATGCTGGTAATGATTTGACGAAAATTGTAATTATTTCAAACTCATCAAATCATTGCTTAACAATTGGTTCCAAGTTAAACAAATAGTCTTCAGGATGTTAATTTCGAAACAAAAATTGCAAAGAATTGTTCGGAAATTTAGGCAATAATTATCATATAATTATCATATTAGTTAAATATCATATTAATTTAGGCAGATATCATAATCTGGCTAGGTTTTAAGATTTTCACAATTTTAAAAATCCGAAGAAAAACTAGAAATGTAAATTTTTACGCCGAAAACACATTTTAAAGAAAGAAGACTTATGTCTTACAATTTCTATCAGATCTCCATCGCGTGAAAGTAAAATCAAATTCGTAAATATTTATATCTATACAATTCAATACTTAAATTTTTCTACGAAAGAGATTTGTTTGCCTTGCAAATAATTTGGCAAACAAATGGTAATGACTACTAGCTCGTAATGATTTATTACGGAACCCGTGATACTAATCATCCAAACAAAAATTTTAGAAATTGACTCCACATTTGATTTTCATGACAATTTTGACAAAATTGAAGCTACTATGTATAGCGATATAATTTTATTACCATAATAAGTACATATTTGTTACTACATTATTTATTACCGAACTGTGACAATATTCATAACAAAAATTATTTAAAATTTATTATAAATTGATTCCACGCTTAATTTTAATGTAAACTTTGACAAAATTGAAGCCACTTACAACACCTATACAATTTTGTTACCAGAATAAATATGTATTTCTTACCAAATTATTTGTTACGTGACTGCCATATGTCATTGTCATTCCGTCACCGATGATAAGCACGAATATGCAGTAGCCGCGGAAGCCCTGCGGACATGTGGGGGCATTAACATTGCAGGATAAGGGAGGACAGGGTTTATATAAGATGGGCAGACGATGGGGACATCGAATAACGCTGGGGATATTGTCCCTCCGTCCCCACGAATCCGCGGCCACTGTTCACTGTTGATGGGGAATTTTCAAGGAGCTCTCAATCACTAAAAATACATTTCATCCATGTCGCAATAAGTCCGAGATAATAAAGTAATGTTTCATGTTTCAACTTGAAATTGGATCGATTACGTCAATCATGACGGTCTTGGTGACCCCTCGATCCAAATAAAAACGAGACCAGTCAACGGAAAAGATTTAGAAGAGAAACAATATTGGAAATATTTTTGAAAAAAAAAATTCAAAATTTTCAAATTGCAATATTTGTAATTCTTAAATCAAAGGATTTTTTAAAAGATGTCGGCATTTAATAAATATTTCTTATTTGTAATCGGCGTCTTAGTGCAGCATGGTATGTACAAAAAAGATAAATAGATTTCACATGGATATTTGTAAACCTTAAGATTGACATTTTTCTTGCAAATTCACGAGAAATTTTGTAAATTTTTATAAACTTTCGAGTGAAAATTATGAAATTTTTTATAAAGATTCTAGACTGCTTGTAAATAATAGATTAAATTACAAGGTTAATATTTAATTGATTAATTGTTAATTCCTGTTACATATTTTGCAAATTAGTGGAAATTTTGTAAACTTACAGAGTTTACAAACATTCAAGTGAAAAACCGACATTTATCTAAAAATTCCAGAAATTTTATTAAGCAATTATATAAATGCAAATTTCATGTTTATAATTAACTGTAATTAAATTAATTTAACTAATTACAGGCCACGCTCAAACCGATTTTAATCAAGGTCTCCGAAATTTTTTGCATGACACAATGCAAGAATTTCCAGCCTGGATTCGCCAACAAAACTTAGATCCCACAATTCCAATCGTGCGACGAACCCTTTTGGATATTTCGACATCAACTTTTAATTTAATCGGAAGTCTCAAGTCAGTAAATTTGTAAAATTTGGTAATAAATAAATTTCAATTTTGAAATTTTGTTGTCATATTTTTAGCAACATTACACTAAACGGTCTTTCCTCCGAAGTGCAAAACGTGGACGCCACAAGGGTCAACACTCCTTTTAGTTTGGTCGATTTTTATTTCTTCCTCGATTTGGGGGGTTTGTCTGGTAAGTGAGATTTTCGTAAGTAATGGTGTATTTAAGTGCAGATTAAACAATGTAATTTTAAATTTCTGAAAAAATTCTTACAAAGTTTGCAAATAGATTTCTGAAAAAATGTCGAAAATTTAAAAAATCGACAAATTAAGAGAAATTGAAAATATGTAAAATCTAGACGCCGAAAGCACATTTGGCCAAAAAATTTGTTAAATAATCTGTTAATTAAATAGGTCGTTCGGGAATACCCTTATTACTAATTTTGTAGTTGTAAAATCATTCACATTTTACATACATTACACTTTAACTCAACAATTTACACTTATTTTTTTTACTGAAATTAAGAATACGATAGAAAATGATCCCCCCATGTTGGTACTGACTTAAAACATTTCTAAAAAATATACTCTGCAAAGTTTGAGACAGAAAAATTACTAAAAACCAAAATATACAAATGGGCTGCAATTTGTTCAAACAGTTTTAGAAGAAATCGTACTCTTAAAACTTGGTGCAATCATGCAAAATAATTTTACCCAATGTAATTTTTTCTTAAATTACAAATTTGATGAAATGCAAAGTTTACAGATTTACTCCTGAATGTCTTACAATTCTGAAAGTTTATGTAGTACATCAATAGATTAAAGATTTCTCTCGTCATATGCAAATTTTTTCTTGAAAGCAAAATTTGCAAATTTACTCGTGAATATTTTCCGAATTATTTAAATTAATTCTATTTTTTTTTCAGGAACTTATAACGCAACCGGAACCGTTGGTGGGTTTCCTATCGGATCCTCTAGCAATTCTTGGTCACTTTCCTCGACTCCATTTCAAATCCGATTTTCAGAAAAGTTTGAAATCCAAAATGGTTACATTCGCCTCCTCCAAAATAATTACTTTACGTTCGAAGAAGAATTTCATTTCCGTAATGTTAATGGTTCTCTTTCTGGCTCTTTCGACGGCATGTTCGACAACAACACGGAACAATATGAAGCTTCAATCCTCGCCGAAATCGCGGACCACATGCCATTCTGGGTTTTCGGGTATGAAAGTCCTTCCGGACAGGTGAAACTGTTCTACAGCTATGTCTACGCATTTTTGAGGAACAAATTTGACGTAAGTTTGAAAAAATATATATCTTGCACAATTTTTGAACCACGTTTTTAAAAAATTAAACCCTGTGAACCATATTTTGAGTTTTTGATGTTTTAGATTAATTTTTGAGAAGAAATATTTTTTTAGATTTTTTTCACGCATATTTTGCAAATTTGTTAGACATAATTTTGCGAATTTTTATCCATGTTGAAAAAACAGAGTCAATTCGCAAATTGTATTTCACAAATTTTTGAAATTTCACAAACTTTTGATCCATATTTTACAAATCTTTGAGGTATGTTTTACAAAAGTTTGAACCACATTTTACAAAATTTTGACGAGTGATTTTAGAAATTTGTGATCCACATTTTACGAATTGTGGACTCATATTTTAAAAAATGTACTCACATTTCACATCCGTTTTTCAGGTTACACCACTCACAGACGTCATAAATTGGCCAGGAGGTCCCGAACCAAGCTCTACAACGGAAACTCCATGTCAAAAAATAGGTATGAAAATATTTCTAAAATTCAATTTTTAAAGCAACTAACGAATCTAATTGTTCTCAGATTTGCCCGAATCCCTGGACGCCACAGAAATCGATGCATTTCTCCAATGGGCAGTAGCAAAGTATCCCGAATACCGTGCTGAAATGGACAATCTTCAGAAATCTAGGCCACTACTCGTCCAAGTTTGATAAAATAATGTAAATTTTACATATTTCTGTTTTTCTCAGGCTAAATTCAACTATTTCAGTGTTAAACCAAAAATTAACCAACCTTTAATCATGCATTCTTGTTCCAATATTTCCTAATTCATAGGAAGAAAATATTCTGTGCACCGTTTAAATAAAAATTAAGTACGCTTCATTGCTTAATTTAACTTCATATTCTGCAATTATTAAAAAATTACTACAGCATGATGACCCTTAATGTTTAAAATTAAAAATTCATTGCAAAAAAAAACCTATTCATTAAAATTTTGTATTATTCTGAAATTACATACGATAACTGATTTATCTTACGTCAATAAGTCACACACTCACTTCCATTTTTCAAAATAACATTAACAAAAAAAGCAGGCCTGATCAATAGTTTCTTAAATTATCATCTCAATACTTCTTACACATAGAAATAAATTTGCATGCAAATTAAGAAAAATTGAAAATATGTAAAATCTAGACGTCGAAAACACATTTTGTCAAAAAATGTATGCAATAATGTAAATTATATAGGTCTTTCTGTAACGCTCCTAATAATAATTTTCTAACTGTAAAATCGTTCACATTTTGCATACCATAATTTCCCATCGAGGACGAGAATACTTCTGGGGACGGATCCCAACGTGATCTTACATGTACCAGCCATGAAAGCTAAAACTAGCCAAATTGATAGTCAAATCCAGGTGAAATTTATGAGATTTTTCCTTCGCTTTAAAGCGGTGGTGTTGGTGAAATCATCATCATGGCGAATTGTGAAAAGAAACCGAAGCGGTATTCGTTCTTGTTTTTTTCAGTATGAAAATGTCTCAATTTTAATAATTCTAATTTTAATTATAGTGGTAATTACAAATGCATGTGAGTAACTAGTTAATTGGTTTTGAGGTAAACATTTATAATTAAGGCACAGGTTAGTTGTAGAGTATAAATTAGAATTATGAAATTCATTTAACTAATAAATGAGGGGTACAAGATAATTTTTACGTATAATAAAATTATGCAACTTTGGCCGTTAGCTAACTATTTCATTAATAAGTATTACATAGTTTTGGTAATTATGCTTATTTTTTTGGTGTAATTATTACGCTCAAGGGGTCAGTTTAGGTTTCTTGGTTGGAGACGAGAGAACAGCATCATGACCTTTACGGGGACTCGTCACAGGGTCCAAATTCTCCCCATTTTCACAATCGTTTACAACCTTCAGCCCTGTTAGGTCAACCACTGCTTGTTTGTCAGCCGTGTCCAGGTCGTTTTCATCCTTTTCCTGTTCTAAAGCATCGTCACTTGCTGCCTCTAATTTTTTCGCCCGCTCGGCAATCGTTTCCCGAATGAATTCCGAAATTTTTTGACGACATTGCTCCGCGACGTCGGACTTGGACTGGTTGGCGTCGATGACGATGACCTTGTAGGTGCGTGGGCCGTCCTCCTCCTCAATTTTACCGTGTACGAGCCAGTCCTGTAAAAACATAATACCTCATATGTATTATGGATTTTAAATATTATAAATTAAAGAAAATATTCTTTGTGGGCTGACCTCGTAGGCGTCATGTAAGTCGGAGAGATAAGCAAGAGGAACGGTGGCCTCCTCGCTACGTCCTCGTGCCTGCATCCGCTCAAACACGACGGCTGGGTCAGTACGCAGATAGAGAATGAGGTCAAGCGGCAACTCCACGTTTGCCGCCAGCCAAGAATACCACTCTGCAATTACAGAAAACTCGGCAGGATGCAGGGTCCCTTGGCGAGCCGCGAGGACGGAGAAGCAGTACCTGGCACCAGAAAAGTATTCAGAGTTTACCAAAATTTTGATGAATTTCATAAACATTACTCAAAATTGAATTGAACAAAATTCGATTTATAAGACGCTGAAGTACCTATTATTTTGGATTGACCTCTCCATCACCCTAATTCGCCCAATCTGCCCTTCCTCCGGAGCTGGTGAGGCGGAGAGGGTGTCAATGACGCGAGTTAGCTGGACATAATGCTGGAAGATAAAGTTGTTCTTGACCGTGTCCTTGTAGAGCATGTCGAGAAGGTTGTGTTTGCCCCCCACGTCGATCCACTTTTGTAGAGGCTCCGGAATCGTGTCGACTCCAAATGCAAATTCCGCAGGAAGCAACGAGTTGAGGGTGGCGACGAGTGTAGATTTTCCGGAAGAGATGTTGCCGTCGATGGAAATGGTGAGGTATGGCTTCCTCTTGGGGGAAGGGGGAGATAGTTTTTGTGGGGACGAGGTAGGATAAGTGAAAACGGGAGAACGTGGTGGGGGCGTTGGTGGGAGAGTGGACAAAATTGCGTGTACGCTTGGTGACGAAGGGGGAGGAGGGGTTGCAGATGTCGACGGAACACATCGTTTCGTGGGTGTAGAGAAGGGCGACGACGGAACGGATTTTTTCGAGGGTGAGGCGAAGGGTGACGACGGAACGGATTGCTTCGTGGGTGAAGAGAAGGGCGACGACGACATGGCGAAATTATGAACTTTGGTAAATTGGTGTAGAGATTTGAGAAAACGGTTCATGTATTGGAGACGGTATCGTGACCCTAAAGACGGAGAATAAAGGTTTTTATAATTGTCATTCTTTATCAAGGTTTTAAAATTAGTCTCCTTACAACTGTGTGACGAAAATCGGGCGAAATCTGGAGAAAAAACGCTACGCTTGTTAATTCTGAAAACAAATTGTAATCAAACTTTGGCTAATTGTCGTACTATAATTAAGTTACAATTATATTACTTTAATTGCCTGTTGCTTGTAATTGTAATTAATTGCGAGGTTACAAAAAAGTGTGTTGATCCCGGCTTCTTTGTTTGTGCGACGTCAATGTTTTGGCTCCAAGAATCCCACCGCTTTTCTCCTTCTTCGCCTGATTTCCGGGTGGGAAAGGAGAGAAGAGATTTCCGGTCTTCAGGATTCAAAGTGCTCAAAAATCACCTGTTTACGGAACAAAAATTGGTAATAAATCACTTTATAGTTCAAAGAAAACATCAAATTATTTAGTAATTCATAAACGGGAAAGAAGTTTGCTTATGTAAATTAAATTGAATGCTATTTATTTAGAGCTCAGTAAAAAAGTAAATTGAATTTTTTATGATTTATTTAACTACTGTACTAAATTGTTATTTATTATTACGCAGGTTTAACATCTCTCGGAATTGACTAGCTTGGAATTGGATACACATGCAGGGACAAGGAAATTTTGGTAGCAGTAGTAGTCGTAGGATTTGTTCTTTTCGTTGTTCCTGGTTAAAAAGTAAAAGAACGGTAATTGTTCTTTGTTCCCTCCTGTTCTGGGGACTCAACAGACTCGCTATCAATTTATTATAGTTTAGTAGCACGATTCTTTAGGGCACGTTGAAAGATAATTGACGAAGACAATCAGATCCAAAGAAGGTAACTGTAGGTGTAATTTTGCATAAAATAAAAAAGATAAGATAGGTGATAATCATGCAAATAATTGGTTTCAGATATGGGCAACAACAAAGTATTGACAAGTATTCTTCTAGTCATTTATTTGAGTCAGTACGGATACGGTGAGAAAGTTTAATTGTGAAATCATAACATGTAAATTAACTAAAAATGTCAACATCTCGCAGTGAGTACGACTTCTTCCGACAATGTGGATGTCGACGAAGGTGCTGATGGTGTTTGTGGGGCGCAAGGGGAGATGTCGATGTCGTCATCATCGTTGTTAAGGATGGCAGAATTGGAGGAGCGAATAGCCCAATTGGAGGAAACCGTGGTCAAGAAGTACCCAGAAGTCAAGTTCCTCACGTACCAGGATAGGAAGAGGATACTGGTGAGGGGGCCCTTGGCAAATTTAAAGTATTTTTAGATGCTGCATGTTTTTTTCAACTTGTTTGTTTCTCATAATTTTACAGAATTCAGTATAATTAAAGAAACAATATTAATTTGCAGATAACGGGTGGAGCAGGATTTGTGGGATCTCACCTCGTGGACCGTTTGATGCTGCAAGGTCACGAGGTCTCGGTGGCCGACAACTTTTTCACGGGGAGGAAGCGCAACGTGGAGCAGTGGATGGGTCATGAGAACTTTGAGCTTATCAACCACGACATCGTAAACCCACTGTACATCGAGGTTGACGAAATCTACCACCTCGCCTCCCCCGCATCACCCCCTCACTACATGCACAACCCTGTCAAAACTATCAAAACAAACACGATGGGCACCATCAATATGCTCGGTGAGAAAATCATAACTATAATTTTAATAAGTATATTTTATGTAAATAATCAATGAACCAGAAATTTCTGTGGCGCAGGGCTTGGGAAGCGAGTGAGGGCAAAGGTTCTGATCGCGTCGACATCTGAGGTGTATGGTGATCCGGAAGTACATCCTCAAGGGGAGGAGTACTGGGGGCACGTGAATCCAATCGGACCACGTGCTTGTTACGACGAGGGAAAGCGCGTCGCGGAGGCGCTCTCCTACGCGTACCAGAAACAGGAGAAAGTGGACGTCCGAGTAGCACGAATTTTCAACACGTACGGTCCCCGGATGCATATGAACGATGGGAGGGTCGTATCCAATTTTATACTTCAAAGCTTGCAAAATCAGACTATCAAGGTATCAATTATGTAATTTTGTTCTTTGAATTGCGATAAATTGATTTGTGCAGAGTTTGACAATATTTTTTGTTTCCAGATTTACGGGACGGGGACACAAACACGGTAATGGATAATGAAAAACTATTTATTCACTAATTCATTAATTCACTAGGCAGTTAAAAACTGTCAATTCGAATACATTGGATCTTTGGTTCAAGGTCATTTCAGTACGTCTCCGACTTGGTGGACGGTCTCATCGCATTAATGAACTCAAACTACACGCAACCCATCAATATAGGAAATCCAGAGGAGCACACGATCCAAGGTTTTTTTGGAATTTTCTATTTTCTTTAATAAAATTCTAAAATCGTTAATATGTGGGATAGAGTTTGCCGTCATGATTCGTGACCTTGTGGGTGGAACCAAGAGCGAGATTGAGCACGTGTCCCCGGTGGAAGACGATCCCCAAAAGAGACGTCCTGACATCACGAGGGCCAAGAAAGAGCTGGGATGGGAGCCGGTCGTTCCCCTACGCGTTGGACTGGAGAAGACAATCGCCTACTTCCGGAAGGAGTTGCAGCGGTCCAGTCACTCTGAGAGGAACATCTTCCACCCCACGCAACACAATTATCATGACACGGACAATGTTATCAGAATCGTTAAGAAGGGGGGCTGACGTATAAAATTAAATTGTAAATGTGAGTTTAATTGTGATGAAATAAATAGATTATCGGATTGTAAGTAATCTGGTAATGTGATTGTTATTATTATACGTATTATTTGCTTATCATGACACAAATAAATGCTGCATGAAATTGGAATTTTTTCCACATTTCTCATTTCAGATGAACCAAATGCGAAATGCAAGTATGAAATATGGCATATTTTAAATTTCTGGACGATAATTAACACATATTTTGATTTCGAGATTTGATTGCATTTAATTTTGAATTTTATTTCATCTCTCTCATATTATAAAAAAGTCCCATCACATTTATCAATTCAATATAAATACATATTTACTATAATAAATATATTTTCAACCATCACCCTTATTAATTAGTTGAATTTGTATTGTTTACTAACTAATTTACTTGCAGTCTATTCTTGGGATCCAACTTATTTTATGTCAAGAACACCTAATTATTTTTCAGTTCATTTATTCCGGTTTATGATTAATTATGATTCTTCTGAACCACTTGCTTTTCACATACTTTGTATAAAACATTAATAGTAATATAGTAATAAATCAATCGAATGAGAACAAATTAATAAATAAGATTATCTAGGAAAAAATCAAGAGTCCGCAAGCGAGGGATCAATAATAGTAATAATGGACATAACAATATTTTGTCAAAAATAAGGTGACCAAATAGGTCGAAAACTGGGTTGCCCACAATAACGATGATGATTGCTGTCTATTTCTTTTTCCTGCCCTTCTTGCCTCCCGGTTGGGGCTGCTGTTTGTTCTTTTCGTCCTCTTCGGGAGAGTAGGTGGGCGAACTGGGCGAATATGAGGGGCTCGCAGGACTGGAACAATAAATGCTCACATTTAGCATAAGACATACTTTACCTATAGTTAAAAATTAGCAGAATTAAGATTATTTAGCTCACCTGTAACTCGGACTGGTTGGCGAGTAAGACAAGACAGGAGACTGTGGGCTGTAGTTCGGACTGGATGGTGAGTACGAAGGTGAGCTGCGTGAAAATGAGAACAAGATCAGATTTACACTTTTCAAGAGAATTTAATCTGTGCAATGTTTTTACAAACCTTGGAGAATACCGGGGTGAATAAGTTGGCGAAGTTGGACTGTAAGTAGGGCTGCAGGAAAAAATATATTTGAAATATTTGCAAAAAGATCGATATTTTTTTTTAGAGCTGAGATGATGACCACACTCTTACCTCGAAGGGCTGTAATTGGGTGAACTGGGGGAGTAAGTCGGGCTAGTTGGAGAATAGCTCGGACTGCAAAAATAAGCATTTTTATTTATTTACTTCTGATTTCTGTAGTTATGATCGTTGCATTTTTTGGGTTACACACCTTGAAGGACTGTAATTGGGAGACGAAGGAGAATAGCTGGGGCTTGATGGCGAATAAGATGGACTTGTCGGAGAGTAGGATGGACTCGTGGGAGAGTACGATGGACTAGTTGGCGAATAACTTGGACTGCAAAGACATCAGTTAATTGAAATAAGAATTTTCTAATTAATTATAATTGGATTCCTACCTCGTGGGAGAGTATGATGGACTGGAGGGTGAATAGCTCGGACTTGTCGGCGAGTAAGATGGACTCGTCGGAGAATAACTTGGGCTAGGAGAGAACGAATTGATTAATTTATGAATGGACTTTAATTTTAAACAAACGTTAAGATTAATACCTCGTTGGTGAATAGGATGGGCTCGTAGGCGAGTATGATGGACTCGTGGGAGAATACGATGGACTGCAAAAAATGTCACAACTTAAGTTTGAATATCACAAGAATACATTGTAATTAAGTTTAATTTTTTACCTGGTCGGTGAATAGCTCGGACTGGTCGGTGAGTAAGACGGGCTCGTCGGCGAGTACGATGGACTGCAAAAAATGGAAACAATTAATTAAAAACATCATCAATGTATGATTTGATTTAATTTGCATGTTATTTCTCTCACCTCGTTGGCGAATAGCTTGGACTTGTGGGTGAGTAACTCGGGCTGGAATAAATAAATTAGCATAAAAAGGTTGAAAATTTTCATAAACTTTAGCCATTAGTACCTCGTGGGCGAATAGGATGGGCTCGTCGGTGAGTAACTTGGACTCGTCGGCGAGTAAGATGGACTCTGGTGGGGCGAATAGCTCGGACTCGTTGGAGAATAAGTCGGACTATGACCTCCAATCGGACTTGTAGGAGAGTACGATCCACCTCCACCGCCAGGAGAGTAATTTGGCGACGAGGGACTCATCCCAGGCGACGAGATCAATCCATAACCTGGCGATGAGGGAGAATAATTCGGCGACACGCCACCAGGACTGCCGGGAATGTAGAATGCACTGCCTGGGCTTCCAGGTGACCCGACAGGCGAACGACCTCCAGCAGGTGAAAAGCCGGATATGTCAGAGGCAGCGGATGGTGAGAACCCAGGTCCACCAGGCGTCATTCCTGTGCCTGGAGACCAAACGTCGCCATACATCGGAGTGGCGCCAGACATCCAGGGCGTGGAAATTGGTGAGTTGGCGCTCGGAGTGGACGCAGAGCCGAAAAACGTACCACCCATTCCAAGTCCGCCGTCGGGTCCAGGACCAGTGGGGAGCTCAATACCGAACTTGCACTTTTCAGCGTCGAGGAGCAAGTCGAAGCAGCCAGTACCCATCCGGGGAAGTTGTCCTTTGGAAAATTGATAAAAAAAACATGATGACGATTTTGTTCATAATTTGCATAATCAATAAGTAATCTGGGATCCTTACCCATAATAATGTTTTCAGAAACGCCTCGCATCGGGTCAACCTCAGCGTGGGCGGCCGCGTCCATCAAGACGTCAACAGTTTCCTCAAACGAGCACCTCATCAATGGTCCGGTATCTTGTCGATTGATTCCGTGACGTGTGATGGCCATCAAGTGACCCTTTGCAGTCATAACGTCGCAGAGGAGCGCCAAGTGACGATAATTGACGTACAGGCCGTAAAAGGAGAGAACGGCGTTCATCTCCTTCTCCACACATTTTCGAACCGCTTCGATACCAAGAACCTGGACATAAATTATTAATATAAGCATGAATTCGATAAGAGATTTCGCTAAAATTGCAACTAAATATTACCGTGAATATTTCACAAATATCGTTAGAATATGTTCTGATGGGGTCGACGTCCCTTTCACTCAAGACTCGCATCAGGGACGTTCCATCCGTTTCAAGCAGCCACTCTGCGATCGGTTTAAATTCGCCAGTCTCTGTGATTACGATCCTCTTCTTGGAATCGGTCTGAGGCAAATGCATGTAAACTTTTCCAATCGCTTCGATCCCCTGCAGCGTCATGTCTGACAACATATTAGCCTCGATGCAGCGAAGGAACATGTCATCCTCCATCTTATCGGCGGAATCCTCCTCGTCACCCGCACCACCAAATTTAGACCCGTCCTCCGAGTTCATGATACGAATACGTAGCACAAGTTTCTCAGCATTGTCGTCGTTAAAGATACAGTTCAAATCGTCACCGAAACCCGCATTGATCTTTTCTGCAATCTGTTCCATGGTCAGTTTCTTATCTGGAGGGTGAAGAGGAAATAATGTAAATTATTAGTCATATATAGGAAAAATTTGAGAAAATATGGGCAACTTCTAAATCAATTTCAAATTTCAAACGATCAAAATCGAAATTTAATTTTTATTGCGAAATTACCAGTCATTCTCTTGCGGTCGAGTTCTATGCGGAGAAGCCAAGGCGAGATTCTGGTCGGGTCAAAGTCAGGCATTTCATAGTAGACATTAACAAACTCTTGATCCTCCCCGATGACAGTGTTTTGTGGGTCGGGGTCGTAATAGATGGCCGTGTTCGCAGTCACCTTCCGCAGCGTTGTGTGCTCCAAGCGGCAGAGAACGTTTTTGGCCTTCTCGGCGTCACGAGCTGCAGCTCCGTTCAAGAAAACGGTGAGTGAAGGGGCTTTCGGCTTCTTGGAAATGTTGATGATTTCCTGGAAAGAAGAGAAAATAAAAATTGAATACATTTTTATATCGGACAAATTTTGAAAAAGGGTTCAAGAGATTTTTTAATTAATCGATAACATTTTATTTAATGGTCTCACCTTTAATCTGGGCACACCCAAGGTGACATTTTTACTACTGACTCCAGCAAAATGGAAAGTGTTGAGCGTCATTTGAGTCGCCGGTTCACCTAAACTCTGTGCCGCCAAGGCTCCCACCATCTCCCCGGGAGATGCCTGCGCCTGCTGGAACCTCGTCTCTATCTCACCAATCAACCATTCAAACGCCTCGGTCGACAGGCGAAATTCTTCGGCAACTTTGCGTGTGCACAGCGTAGATCTCACCATGCAGCGGAATAGAAGCGTGGCGTTGTTGTTGGCCTGCATCGAGAGAGCATCCTCTCCTTTCACGATGACGCACTTTTTCAACAGGTTTTCCACACCTTCAATCACTTTGATCGGGTTGAGATCGACGGGGGCTCGCTTGTCAATGTGGAAAATCTTTTGTACGTTCCAAATCATTCTTTTGAGGTTGCATGGGAGGACGACGTTCGAGTCGCCGGCAGGAAAGATTTCCCTCATCGTTGCGCGGTCAGAGGTCAAAGTCGCCCATTCCTTCTCCACGGCTGAGATGACATCTCCTGACCCAATGATTTCTCGCATGACTTCTTCGTTAAAGAGTTTGCGGAGGTAGCGCTCGTTCGTGGGGTCGAATTTGAATCTAGACTCGAACGTGCGGTTGGAGAGTTTAATGGTAGGGAGACTTTGATGTTCTACGTTCTCGGCGGAGAGGCCGTCCTCTCCGTAGCGGAGTTGGATCAGTTGTCCGACAGAATTTCGCACCGTGCCGTCGTAGTGAACCATGACGGACTCCATAGCTTTGATGAGACGACGTTGAATATATCCAGTTTCTGCGGTCTTGACAGCAGTATCAATCAAACCTTCTCGACCACCCATGGCGTGAAAGTAGAATTCCGAGGGAGTCAGTCCGGCAAGGTAGGAATTTTCAACGAAGCCACGGGACTCAGGACCGTAATCGTCTTTGATAAAGTGAGGTAGGGTGCGTTTACGGAAGCCGAAGGGGATTCGTTTTCCTTCAACGTTTTGTTGTCCGACGCAGGCAATAACCTTGAAGAAGAAAGGTTACTTCAGTTCAGAGTTAATCCTTGGCGTTTCATGAACGGAGATTTATTATTTAATATACCTGGGAAATGTTGATGTTTGATCCTTTCGACCCTGCCACCACCATAGCTTTGAGGTTGTTGTACTCTGTGAGAGACTTTTTTGCGGAACCACCAGTCTTGTCACGAGCGTCGTTGAGGATCCTGTTGACTTGATTTTCGAACGTTTGTCGGAGGGTGTTACCAGGAGTGGGGTCGAGCTCCATGTTGTGCGCTTTTTGAATAACCTCAATCACGTCCTCCTTCGCCTTCTTGATCGTCTTTTGAATCTCGAGATATGTTTGAGGATCTGCAATCGTGTCCCCAATACCGATCGAGTGTCCTAAATAATCGTATATTTTGTTAATAAATTATCCCCACCTATTCAATTTACACAATAATTAATTACTACTCACCTTCATACATCAACCAATTGTTTACGACAGTTTGAATATTGCCGTAAAATTGACCAGCAACTTCGTGACCTAATTCGGTAAAGCAGATGTGAAGAAGTGACCCTTCACTTGTTCCGAGCGTCTTTTTGCATAGGATTCCCATGATGAGTTCGCCATGCTCGACCATGACTTTGGTATCTCCCGGAGAAATCCACTTGTACGGACCGTCGTCCTCGTCGTCCGGATGTGTGGCGTGGGTTTTGATGAGGTTCACGTTTCCGGGAATGATAAGCGTGAAAAGTTGCTTCCCAGTCCAGAGAGGAATCGGCTTCTGGATGGCAGGCTGAGGCATCTTTCCGTCCCAAATTGGCAAGAACATGAGCAAATTCATCATTTGTTCCTGAAAAAGAGAGCACAAAAATACGATGTTATTTTTGAAGTTCCTAAAACTAGGCATAATTTGCATTTTTAGAAGTATGACATCTTGACATCACCTTGGTCAGGAAGACGTCCCTCTTGGTCATCTTCCTCACCCCGGTCAATGTGTCCTGCACGATCCCCATGACGGGTTTGTTCGCTTGAGGGGTGATAATTTGACGCGTGGTAATGTGCAGATTTTCAACTTCGGCACGAGTTTCCATTGACTGTGGGACGTGTAGATTCATCTCATCGCCGTCAAAATCAGCATTGTAAGGCGTTGTGCAACTGAAATGCGCAAATTAACCAGAAAAACTAATTACAAATCTTGATAGCGTGTTAGAAATAATTTTGGGCAATTTATTGACAAGTAATCAGAAAAAAATTGGAGTAAGTTGTGCAATTCATTGACAAAATTTGCCTCAGGAAAGTAATTCATCATTTTAAATGGTTTGCTAATCATGTTGATTTTTAAATTACAAACCACTCACCTCAAATTCATTCGGAAAGTCGACCAGGGTAGTACTTTGACCCTGTGACCCATCATAGACATTTTGTGAAGAGTGGGTTGCCGGTTGAAAATTACGAGGTCACCATCTCGAATGTGACGTTCGACCTAAAAGACGAGATAAACCCATAAATATTTGCGTAATCAATTAACCTAATTAAACATGTAGTTTAAAAAATACCCGGTATCCCAATTGTAAATGGAGATCGGAAGATTTCGGATGAAATCGCAAATCAATTCTGTCCCCGTTCGACCGGATGATATACTTTGCGCCAGGATATTGGTTATTTCCTCGCGCCACGAGTTCCGTCATCCTGCAAGGTCAAAGGTTACAGGTCAAACAAGTCGAGATCATGTAGATGCATATCATTAAAATTTACGAGTAAAAAAATCAGAAAAAAATTGGAGTAAGTTATACAATTCATGAAACATTCATCAAATTAATTCGTCATTTTATAAATAATAAAGGTCACGAGAAGGACATTAGTTTTTACGACGTACTTATCTAGATTAAACGGGGTCACGATCTCGGGAAAGGTCAAGTTCTGTGCAATACTGCGAGGAACGCCGACCTGATCAATCCGCAAGTTGGGATCTGGTGTGATGACCGTTCTTGCAGAAAAATCGACTCGTTTTCCCATCAAGTTTCCTCGAATTCTGCCCTCCTTTCCCTTCAACCGCGCCTTGATCGCTTTCAGGGGACGACCAGACTTTTGCATAGCGCGCGGCAGACCGGGCATTTCGTTATCGGTGAGAGTAGCGACATGAAATTGGAGCATTTTAACATTTTCTGCAATAATGTGAGCTGCAGCGCCGGACTGCTCATTGCGCAAAAGTTCGTTGTTCGCCTGATGGAAAGCAAAGCAAAGTAAATAAATGCTGCTAAAGTTTTAATTAAATAATTTAAATCAAACCTTAATAATATCGGATAGTTTGTGGGTGAGATCGTCCTGGTTTCGGGCAGAACCGTACATGACGACAGCGGGACGAACGGGAAGTGGGGGGACGGGGAGGACAGAAATGATCATCCAGTCAGGACGAGCGTACTTGGGATCCATCCCCATCACAAGGCACTCCTCGTCAGAAACGTGTTTGAAGATTTCGAGCACACGTTCCGCCGTGACAACCATCTTCTTCTCCTGGTCGTCCTCGTTCACATGCTTCCACTCGGCAAAGAGTTCGATCCCGATTTTACGGATACGCGGCTGATAACGCCCACATCCACCGTGACCACTCTTCTTTGACTATATATATGGAAATTAGTTGGAGTTTAACATGTAACCATTTCGTTGTTCATTATTAATTTCTGTAAATTAAATTATAGTTGGATAGCGGACTGACCTTAATATTTGGATCCTCTTCGCCGGGATTGCCATCCATTTCGTCACCCCCCTCGCAGATGCTCTTTCCTTTGCAAAGTTCGTAGACGAAGGCGAGACGGCGTCGAGGCTGCCCTTTGGTCTTGAGGACAATCTCCCTCATTTTCGGGTGAGTCGGGGACACGAGCATCTTTGAACAATAGAAGCACACGCAGCGCAGGATTTTGACCGTTTTGGTGAGAAAGCCGCAGTGGAAGACGGGCTTTGAGAGGTCCATGTGACCAAAATGGCCAGGACACTCGGTCTGACCACCGGCGCAAGTCTGACAGCGTGAGTTTCGGTCGATGACGCCTTGACGAGGATCCATCAACCCACCAAGCTTAGGCCGACCACCTTCCATAATCTCAGGAAAGCGAATCCCACCCTCCGTCACGGACATGCGGCGCTGGAAATTACAGGTAAAAAACAGGTTAGTTAATTAATAGAAATTGGAGAAATTAATTAATTCAAGTCTGAACTGAACACGAAACACTATCACGTTTTTAAAACGCATCTTTTCATAATTTGAAATATTTTGATCGTTTAAAAATTAATGAATAACTTACGATTTCATCCGGAGAAAGGATACCAAATTGGACCTTTTTCACGGTCCGGAGGGGGACACGCGAGTCTGATGTGAATTGCGACATCGTATTGGATCAAGGGAAAGTTGCAAATCTAGAGAGTGAAAGTTAATTAATTACAATTACATAATTATTACTATTGCCGGATATAAAGGGGAAACAATTGCACAATTTAATCGATTCTGCTGAATCCCAAAATTAATTAGCTCAAGTGGCTGTATAAGTTTACCTGTGTGTCCCACTTCCTGCCTATCGTTGAGTGGACGAAGGATGTGCAACGATCCAAAAACGACGACAACGGATATTAAACAACCACGACGACCGGACCGGGTTGAGTACCGGAAGCGGGTTTTCTTCTTCTATCGTGACCTGTCTTGTCAACGGTGGATTGACACTTATTTTAGTAATTAATTGTAAAGAGTTAATTGGTTAATTAGTTAATTGTGGAGAGGAGAGAAGGAAAGTGCGTGATGATGGAGCGAAGTTAGTTAGTTTACTGAATGGCCAAGAGGAGACGTTGGTTCTCTTGATTGGCGAGTTCCTCACTCACTCGCGTCGTCCTCTGACTGAGCCTTTTTATACCCGGCAGCCGCCTGGCTCCTCCTCCCAAGGCCAGCTCATAAGGACGTTATTCAAATTATTGAATGGATGGATAAGTGACATGCGGGGACAATAAGACTTATCGCAAAAAATTTATATAGAATATATGCGCTCTGTGCAAAAAATTAAGTATTTTCAATTTTACAAAGAATTAAACGAGGGAATGAGTTGTTTTTTTGGAGAGCGAGTTGCGAACGGCGCTTCGTACTGTTAAGCATGGACACGGCATAGTTCGGCATGGTCAGTGGCGATCGGTTTAGCACGATAACTTTAAAACATGTTTATATTTTGGAAACACATTTTAAATACCCTTGATTATGGCTTATCTGCGCCTCGTAACATTCGTAACATGATCGTCGAAGCTAACAAATTGCTCCAAATGTCGTGGTATAGTTTCATTTTTAATTGTAATTTTTTCGTTAAATGTTATAAGTTCGCCGTTTTTCATTTGATCTGTGACCCGAAGGATAAGGTAGAAGGTCAAAACTGTAAAATTTTCCAATTTGATACAGAACAAGATGTATCAAGGAAAGCACGCACGCCGACTGTTTCACGCTGCCTCAAAATCTCCATAATTAAGGTGGTGTGCCGACCTATGCGAGCCGGCGAAGGAGACGGGAAAGGCGAGACTTTGAGATTAGCCGTGAATGGGAATTTTGAGGCGAGAGAGACATTTCGGAGGAAAGGAAGGAACTAAAAAGAGTAAAAGCTCCAACATTAAAATTTAAAAAACTGCTGCTACTCACTATTTAACTCCTCTCTGGAGATGAATGAGCTCATCGTCATCTTTAACGATACACAACTTAACTTAACTTATTAAACTACTCCGGTTTAACTCTGTGGTAGCGAGTAAAGTAATCAAATTTAATAAGTCTCTTGTTAAAGTTGACGTACGTTTTGTATTCTACTGTCCAGGACGACGAGAGGCTCAACGGCGGAACCTGCTGAGAGAGAAAAACACAAATTATTTTACGCAACGGAAAACATAAATGTTCAATAATTTAATTATTCCATTATTAAATTGAAACTTAGTGCGAAAAGAGAGATTAAAACTTTAACTAAAGTAAGAGTGAGGAGTTGAGTAATTGTGGAGAAGAAAGTTGTGTTTTATGTTGGCTACTTTTCCGGATCGATAAGGTGATGACTAATAAATAATCTGTAATTGATCTTATAAATATTTATCAAGTTAAAATCTCAATTCAATTGCAAAATAAAATTACTTCTAGGATGATAAACTTGGATTGAGTTAATTGTTTATTTAACTGTGTTTGTTTGCAGAGAGGAAACGCAGCCATTTATTAAGAACTCTATAAAAACAGTTCATAATTAATTGTCAAACTTAATTATCTCATTTTCCAAACGTAATTCTTAGAGAAATATAAGGTAGAGGAAAAACTGTATGGAAATTCATCTCAATCTTGTTAATTGTACTTAATTAAACAACAAATTACCGATTTTACAGATTCGCTGGCCGAAATGTCCCCAACGAGAAATGCCATACTATTCTAAAGATCAATTCCCACTCTACATTTCATCCTTGCCTCGAGACGACCCTGCCGCTGCCTCCGAGGGGGACGAGGTCGACGACTCTGACGACGCTGCCCCTGTCGCCGAAATCTCCTCCCCCAATCGCCCCTCCTCCTCCATCTCGCCGAGTGGAGGAATCGGTATCACAGATTCAGTAGACTCCTCCTCACCCTCCTCTCCCTGTCCAATGTCCACCTCGACGACAACATCAGCCGGTGGTGACGAGGAGATGGTAACCCTTCCCACCTCACAAACGCCTCTTTCCTCACAAGTCGAAAATAATCACAACGTTTCTTCCCCCCCACAAACACAAGTCATTAATAACCTCGTAGAAAATTCGCCTTCCACTTCGACCACCATGTCCGCCGGGGACACGGGGGACGACACGTCAACAACCACAATGAACACGAGAGATGATTCGGGCGCTTCTTCGCCCACGCATGATCACAACGGCGACGACAGAGCGGTCACAATGGATTTAATTTCGGATTCTAATCAGAATGAGGATATCTCATTTCCCGAAGTCGAAATGGCGCGGTTGGATGAAATGATTTCGAATCCGCGATGGGTCGTGCCAGTCCTTCCTGGAAGTCAGTTGGAAATCTTGTTGGAGGCCGCGATTTCACTGGCGCGCAGGGACAATGCAGATTTGAGGTGTGAACCGTGCCAGAAATTTATTCGGGACGGGTTGACCATTTCGTTCAACAAGATTTTAACGGATGACGCCGTCTCATCGTGGAAGCCGGATATTCACAAGTGCATTTTACGCAACTCTGAACGACTAGTGGATTTGATTGTGTTAAAGTTAGACCAGGACTGCGTTCCCTTGCTCGACCTTTTGGCCGTCCTATTCAATCCGGGCAACAAATTTCATTCGTACAACAGCTCCAGACAACCGGAAAGTTATGCCGGGCCGGATTGTATCGGAGAGGATGAGTTGTACGCTAGACCGCCAGAGATGAGGATGGTCAAAGGTACTAAATACTCAAAATATTTTATTCCGGTTACTACTTGAAATAAAATCAGCCAATTTTTATGAATTTTGCAAATTTTGACTAATTAATTAGATAAAATTTTATGCCAAATATTTTGCGACTTCAAACTTGATATGTTTTGCAGGTTGGCTGGTGGATCTGATCAACCGTTTCGGGAGTGCAGGTGGGTTTGAAAAACTGTCGGCTAGATTCACCTCGCTAGCAGGGCTGTCTGTTCCGATCGCCTTTGCCTACATCCGACCCTTTGGTTGCTGCGCCGACTTCCTTACTCGCCATACAGTTGAGACCTGGCTTGCACCGATCCTGGTCGCGATCCCCGCCTTTCTCGAGCAGCTGACGGACGAGGAGTTGAAGAAGGAGACGGCCCGGTCCGACATGATCTCCTCCATCATCAAGTGTCTCAAATCCCTCCAGCTCGTGAGGACCAACGACACGGAGGACGGGATGAGAAACTTGGAGATATTCAGACTGAAAATGATACTGAGAATGTTAAAGGTGCGTAATTAAGTAGTTGTTAATTTTTAGCCCGTTTTTATGTTAATTAATTTTTTAAATCTTAATTTTGTTTAGATTTCCTCATTCAACGGGAAGATGAACGCGTTGAACGAGATAAACCAAGTGATTCAGAACGTGACGTCCCACTACGCTTCGCACCAGTACCGCCTCGACGACGTAGAGTACTTGTCAGCCAAGCGGATCGCGGAATGGCTCGGTGAGAATTCTGTCCTTCAAATCGTCCTCAGGGACTCTCTCCACCAGCCACAGTATGTCGAAAAGCTGGAAAAAATCCTGCGCTTCATCATCAAAGAAAGGAGTCTCACCCTCAAAGACCTCGACGATATTTGGGCCGCACAGGTGACCATAATATTCAAATTCTTGAAAATTATTTCACTAATCTTTTACCACAACTAACTGATTTGTATTTTGTTTTGTTAGGTGGGGAAGCACGAGGCGATCGTGAAGAACGTGCACGACCTCTTGGCAAAGTTGGCGTGGGACTTTTCGCCTGACCAGCTCGACCACCTCTTTGAGTGTTTCCAGTCCTCGTGGACAAATGCGAACAACCGACAACGGGAGAAATTGCTTGAGCTGATCCGCCGCCTGGCTGAGGATGACAAAGACGGTGTGATGGCCTTCAAAGTTCTCACCCTCTTTTGGAACCTCGCCCATTCGAACGAAGTCCCCACAGAAATCATGGATCAGGCACTCTCCGCCCACGTCAAAGTCCTCGACTACTCATGCTCACAGGTCCATACCGCATTTCGAAAATGAAATGTGAAATTGAACTTATGATACTAATTTTGATTGATTTTTTTCGGGCACCGTTGTTTTCTCCAGCAGCGGGACAATCACAAGTTGCAGTGGTTGAACAAAAGTATTGACCAGTTGGTAAATGACGACGTGATATGGGTCCTCCCAGCCATGAAGCACATTCGCGAGATCTTCCTTCTCTACCCAGAAGGCGTCAATAAGAATCCCCCCGCCGTTTACCGCCACAACGTCGTCAACAAGATGCAAACCGACCGCCAGCTCATTGTCAAAGTTTGTGACTCTCTAAACTCGTATATGGACAAAGTTAGAGCGTATGTAAAAGGTGGGTGTGGTTTCAAAAAAGGGCTTGTTTTTTTTGCCAGGATATTTCTAACTTGTGCTTTTTAACATGTTGCAGAAAAAGGTCCGATGGATCCGGGAGTGTTGAAGCTGGACGGAAGATACTCACATCTTGACCAGATCCGAGAAAGGCTCAACTTTTTTAGGTTCCTTTTAAAGGTGAGTGTGTATGGACTCTGTTTGCCTGCTCCATTTTTTGTTTTATTATTCGAATGTGAAATTTTGCCTTTTGTTGAGCAAGTTATAAATGGTTAATTTAGTATATTACACATGCATACTATATTTTGGCTCATGTGTGTATTTTTATGTGTGCAGGAGGGTCAGCTCTGGTTATGCGAGGACCAGGCGAACCTGATTTGGACGTGTTTAGCAGAAACGCCTGCATACCCCTCCGACCGAGAGATGTGCTTCGAGTGGTTTTCTAAGCTTATGGGGGACGATCCTGACCTCGACCCTAACGTCACCCTCCCGTTCTTCGAAGGCAAAATCCTCACCTTTGATGCCACACTACTCACTGAAAACGGTCTCGAGTAAGATTTTCAGTTATTTACGTGTGCATAAGTTTGATCGGGCTGTTGTGATTGATTGACTTGATTTGAAGGTGTTTCGAGAGGTTCTTCCGAGCCGTGAATGTCAGTCAAAAGAAATTACTGGTCAAGAGGGAGGACGTCGTGATGGATGATGTGAGTATTTTTACTGTGTTCATATGGAACTAGAAATTCAATCAAATGTACCTGTTTGGAAATTATGAGTTTTTCTCTGGATAAAAATGGGGACTATTTTAATTTGTAAATTTTAATCCTCTTTTACTCGTGTTTTATTTTAAAGTTGGAGCTGATTGGGACAGACTACATTTGGCGTGTAATTCTTCACGCGGGTGAGGACATTGCAAATCGAGCGATCGCCTTCCTGCGCTCAATCTTCACGGCACTAGGTCCAAAACTGATCCCGTCGCAGGCCGAGGTTCACGAGGACTTTCTCTCCTGCTGCATGGACCGCTTAAAGGCCTCATATGACACCATGAGGGTCATGGAGAAGGACAAGGACTCGACAAACAGGGTACGTCAAGAGGTCACCCGCGCCTGCCGTGTCCTTCGCGTCCTGCACGAGTACATTGTTGAGTGCGACTCTGACTACGGCGAGGAGAGAGCCTTCGTTCCACTTTACAGGTCAGGGCTCAAATATTTATTTTAATTATTTTTAATTAAACCAATTAATTTTTATGCAACTAAATGTTATAATTTTTGCAGGGCTGCGCGAGGGAAGAATTTGACCATTTTTATCCGCTTTCCAGCTCCAGGAAGTCGTAATTTTGACGATTTAGAAATTAGTACGCATGCGACAGAGACTCCGTTGGGGTTAAGGAGACAGGTAGGGACTCGATTTTATTGAAGGTGTGGTTTTTCATAATTAACATTTAAATTTGTGGGTGTAGATGACTCGCCAGTTGCGAGAATATGCCCAGTTGACGACCTCTTTCAAATTAGAGGTTTACTACAATGGGGAGAACGTGGACTTGTCGGATGATCGAAGGACAGTACAACAGTTTGGATTGAGGGACAAAATGGTGGGTAGAAAGCTCGTCTAGAAATTCGGGATTGTAACCAGTCTGATAAATTTTGTTGTTTGCAGATAATGCAAGTGAAGATAACCCAAAACAATGTGACAAACTCTCCCGACTCTTCCGAAGAGAGTTCCGGTGGTTCGCCGTCGCACTTTAACACGTCCGGCGGTGGTGGTCTGGACGGGCCGAACGTTGATCTGGAGGAAATCCTCCCCTCAGTGATGATCTCCAAAAACGCAACTCGAATGGAGTTCCTCTGCCAGTTGTCCGCCCTGGGAGCGTCCATTGGAGAGGATCGCCTCCGCGAAGGGGCGCGCCTTCTTCTTTCCGCCCTTCCGCGCTGCCGCCACACTGAAAAATCCCTTCGTGAGGCATTTTCTTTCTCCCCGCTCGCGAAACCCGCACCGTACAACCTTCTCTTTAACCACACCGACCCCGCCGTCGTCCTCTACCGTTTGGAAGTTCTATACACCATGCTCTTTCCCAGTTTAACCGGAACTGTCGGCGTAGAAGTCGCGTGGGAACTTTTAAACAACTTTTTCATATCCGGAGGCGCCCTCAGTGTTGTTGAAATGCTGACGAAAAACAATTTCATGCCGCTAGCAGACATCAGTACGAAGCGAAGCGCGTATCTCGCCGTGCTTCGTTTGACCAAGGCGGTGCTCACAGTGACGAGTTTGCTGGTACTGAAGGTGGAGGTGGACGGGTGTGGTCAGGGTCAGCTGCTGAGTGAGAGAGGCAGAATTTTGGGCGAGGCGATGAAGCACATTCCCAACGCGCACGCAGAAGGGGCACTAAGAACCATGGCAGAACATGTGGCCAAGTCGTTGCACTGTTACGTGAAAGGGGGTGGAATCGGGGAAGGTGGAGGTGGTGCGTTGAGGGGGATGTTGAGCGCAGCATTGGAGAGAAGTTTACCAGATGCAGAGACGATCCGTTTGTTGATGAAGTTGGCTGGAGCGACAGCGAGTGGAAGTTTGGCTTATTTTAGCAGTGATGGGCATCAAGCGAATAGGGAGCCTTTTGAAGAAGATGTCTTTGGTGAGATACTGGATTTCAGTTATAAATTTATTTTCGAGAGAATTTTAATTGGAATGTTTGTGTTTTTTTTGTGCAGTATGTGAGGAAGCGTTGGAGACCTTAACGTTGTCCTTTATCTTGAATCCTATGGCGTTGGAACAATTGGTGTCGGACCCGAACCAGATGAATGGTTTTATCCGCCAAGTGCTGTTCTATACGCAGGGACGCACCATCCGCTTCACGGCGAACGAGCAGTTTTGTCTGATGGCGACCAAGGCTACTGGGAAGGCGAGCGTAACGACGTTCTTCATCATGGTTCTCTTTGATATTCTTCAAACCTCGGCGCGGGAGGTTCCTCACCAGAGCAGAGACGCTTTTCACCTACTTTGCAATCTCCTCCGCTACGCTGCCAACTTTAACATCCCGCTCGATAAGCATGAGCAGTTCTTGGCGGATCAAATCCAGTGGTTGCGCCAGGTCAAGGTGGGTCAGACTTTGGAGTTAATTAAGAGTCGATTTGGATTAATATTCTATTTTTTTGTCAGGAATATGTAAAGACGAATTGTGAAGGGTGCGTGCAAGAGGATCTGTTAGAAGGTCACATATCCCTAGCTCGCGACCTGACGGCCTTTCTCAGCCCAGCCAAAAAGTTTGAGTTGGGATCTGCCCCTTCCTGCGACCCGTCGAGGGGTCCTCTCATCACTGAAATTTTGCATGAGTTTGTCTTCCCGTGGAGTCGGGCATACTCGGCGATGAAGAGGTCAGGTGAAGTGAGGGTGGACTCTGCCTCGTCACCCGTCCAGATCTGCACCACGCCCACGACGCAGAATTGTGTGCTGGAACTAGTCATGTCCCTCTGCACGGGCTCCTACCCAAACATGAAATTGACCGTGGACCTCCTCACTGACCTCTTTTCCTACGGGGGAGAAGGTGGCAGCAGCACTGACGGCGCCTTAACCGATTGGGAGTACATACCTCTCGTCGGAAATAGACCGCCTGGTGGCTTCGTCGGACTCAAGAACGCGGGTGCCACATGGTAAGAAAATCAAATTTTGGTAAACTTTAGATAAATGTATTAATTTAGCTTATTAATTTTGTGGTGCAGTTACATGAACTCGGTGCTGCAACAACTCTTCATGGTGGACAGTATTAAGAGGGGGCTTCTGGGGGTGGAGGTGGATGCTGAGGATGGTGCCGTGCTGTCAGAGGCAGGCGATGAGTTAGCGAACAACAAGGACTCGGAGGCGACGGTGGACTCTGGAACAGCCGAGGAGGAGAGAAAGACTTACAATGTGTGCATTTTGAAACAGCTGCAAAATATTTTCGGTCACTTGGCCCTCTCAAAATTGCAGTATCACGTCCCCAGCGGGTTGTGGAAACATTTCCGGTGAGACGAGAATATAACTAATTGATTACTCGGTTGGTCGATGAATTTGTGATTGGTTATATAACATAAATATTTTTTTATGTGCAGTCTTCAAGGCGAAGCAGTGAATCCTCGTGAGCAACAGGACGCGGTCGAGTTTTTCATGTCACTCGTGGAATCAGTGGACGACGGGCTGAAGGCGCAGGGAGAGGAACAGATCATGTCGAAACATTTGGGTGGGTTATTCTCAGACCAAAAGATTTGCAAAGAGTGTCCTCACCGCTATTCGAAAGAGGAACCTTTCTGCGTCATCTCAGTCGACATCCGAAACCACTCCAACCTCCCAAATTCGCTGGAACAGTACGTGAAAGGGGAGCTTCTCGAGGGGGCGGATGCTTACCATTGCGAACGATGCAATAAGAAGGTCGTCACAGTTAAAAGGTTGTGTGTCAAGAGGTTGCCGCCCGTACTGGCCATTCAGTTGAAGAGATTCGAATATGACTACGAGCGTGTGTGCCCGATCAAGTTTAATGATTATTTCGAGTTTCCGCGTGAGTTGGACATGGAGCCGTACACGGTGGCAGGACTGGCCAAGATTGAGGGGGAGCTGGTTGACGCGGAAGAGAATATCGGAGGAGCCCCCTAACGACCAAGTACAGACTGACCGGCGTTGTGGTTCATTCTGGCCAAGCGTCCGGGGGACATTACTACTCGTATATTTCGTACAGGTGAACATTGCAAATCATATTTTGTGACGAATATTTTATAAACTGGGTCATGTTTTTTTGTGTAGATGTAGCGACGGTTTATGGCGATGGTACAAATTTGACGATGGGGACGTCACCGAGTGTCGGATGGATGACGACGAAGAATTGAAGAATCAATGTTTCGGGGGAGACTATTCCGGAGAGGTGTGTTATAAATATTGTAAAAATTTGCATACGGGTGTTGATTTTATCTAATTTTTTCAGGTTTTCGACCACATGATTAAAAGGATGAGCTTCCGTCGCCAAAAACGATGGTGGAACGCTTATATTTTATTTTACACAAAGATCGACGTGTTGGAAAGTTTGGGGACGAAATTTACGTCCATGTCGTGTAAGATTTTTTTTTAATATTAATTTCGAGTTTTTCGTTTGGTAAATTTTCTACTTAATTTTGTGTATTTTTTTCTCAGTGTTGGAGAGTCGGCTAAAAATCCCTGCCCCTATCGAACGGAGCGTGCTGCGTCAAAACGTTGAGTTCATGCACATTCGCTCCCACTTTTCGTCAGAGTACTTCCAATTCATTCGAAGATTAGTCAGCTGCAACCACTTCTCTGTCGCTGGGCTGGATGTCGGACAGACGGCGGTAAGTCGGATTATTGCAAATTATGTTAATAATGCATTAATAATGTACATGACTAATTTTGGGTAATTTTAGACTGAAGACGTTGAGCGATTGTCGTTGCTGAGTATCCAGATGGCGTCATATTTTCTCTTTAACGTTGGTTTCCGAACGAAGAAGAATCTGCGTGGGGTTGCGAACGAGTGGTTCGACATTATGATGCCTTACCTCAAGGTGTCAAAGGTCGTCAGATTCTGGTTCGCGACACACGCCCTGTTCAGAGATCCCTGCAGGTTAGCAGCCAAAACCAACTCACTCGTACTGTTTTAGATAAGTTTGATTAATTTGAGCATTTTGTGTCCCAGGATTGCCGAGTACCTTTTGGAGTGTCCAAGTTCAGATGTGCGCGCCACCTTTTCAAAATTGCTCATCGCCGTCGCTCATTTCTCAAAGAATGATGGCGTCTATGTGCCTATGGTGCCCATTGCGAGTCACAGTGAGTAGACGAAATACTAATATTAGGCGAATATGGAGCTATAATTTAAATATTTGTTTTTGTGGTTGCAGCGCGGACGACGAACAAGCATTTGTGGGAGTATATCCTGGACGGAGTGCTAAACTTGCTGAGGCGTGACGTGTCCGAATATGGGCGTCATTTGGCCCAGTATTTCGGCTTCTTTGTGAACTATATCAATCTGGGAGACATGGAGAAGAGACATTTGGTCGAGGTGGGTATAAAAATCTACTCGTGGTGAATACAAAGTATTTTGAGTTCTTATGATTAAAATTGTATTTGCAGCGCGACGTGCCTGCGACCTTTATCAATCTGGCCTTGGACGACGGTCCCGCTCCTCCAATCAAATACCAATGTGCTGACCTATCGAAACTGTACCAATGCGTGGGCCTTCTCGTCCGCTCTTGCGATGTTTCTCACCGCTGCAAGAGTGCGGTTCCCGAGGGGGAGGAAGGACCTGGTCCAAATCCTTTCCAACTCTACCCCGCGACTCCAGACTCCCCTGTCCCAATTCTCCAGCAGAATGTGGCCGACCTTCTCTACGGCAGAGGGTTAGTCACCACTCATATTTGTATTAACTATTAAATTAGTCGGGTGAATTAAATGGACTGATTTTTGTGTGTAATTCTTTTCAGTCCTTACAACTGTTCGCCTTACATCAAGAAGATTGTGGACGACGCTTACGGAGCAGAGGACACGGTTCAACTCCTCCAGTTTCTCTCGTGGGAAAACCCCACGTTTTCACAGAACGCTCTGTCTGAAATTCTAGGTCGAATTTGCTACTCGTACACGACCGAGTTGAAAACCTTCCTCGAGATTTTGATCAGTTTACTGAGAATTGGAGACTCGTGGCAGTTGCAACGGATCAGCAACGCCCTCAAAGGTCAGCAGAGACTACTTTATTGAATTTTGTAATACTCAAAGTTCCAGGTTTAATAATAATTCGAATGTATAGGACTTCCTGACGATAAGGACAAAGGGCTGATTGACATAATCGACCGGAACAAGACGGCTCACCCCAAGAAGGCCTACCTTTTCATCAAATGCATCACTGGGATGATGGAGCGTGGCAGTCTAGGTCATAAAGTACTGCAATCGTCACCAGAGTTAAGTCGGAAATGGAACTCAGCCGTGGACTGGCTGCACCACGAATTGGACCGACGAGGGACGGGGAGCTCGAGCTATGGCTACTCCACAACGTCCTGGTCACCCCCATCGAATGAATCCTCCAACGGATCATTCTTCCTCGAGAGATCACTCTCAGCCAAAACCACGCTCGAAAAGGCGGTCGACCTCAGAATCGATCCAGAACAGGTAAGAAGCAGACAAGAGTGGAAACATTAGGTTTTCGATAATAATATAGATTTGATTTAAAACATTGTCTAATTTGATTTTATGTGGATTTTTCAGCAGGAAGAGAACGATGCAGAAATATCGTCCGAGGGCGAAGAGGACGGCGAGAAGGTGACCAAGGACGCCTTACCCACAGAGGAGGAAGACGAAGACGAGGACACAGGCCCCACCACAGTCAACGACCATCACCATATCCCCGAAACATTGGACGCGATGAACAATCCCGGCCCATCTCGTTCCTCATCCTACTTCAGCCAAAAGGATTTGCGAGAGGGTCGAAGATCCCCGGCAACCACGACCGGTGTAAATCACTGGGGTCCCTCTGGCCTGTGTAATGAACACGTCACAGTGACGACGGCCGATTTGGAATCGAGACCTCCGACCGAGTGGGATCTGAATAATTCGGGAGAAGGTGGAGTGACAACGACAACAACACGTACAAGCGAAGAGAGCGGTATGATCAGTCCCGACCAACTGCGCTCCATCCTGATGAACCAGAAGAGAAAGAACGCAACGACGGGGGACAGCGTGGTGCCAGATATTGACGGTGACGTTCCCGGACACGATGAAGAGAGGCCTGGAACGAGTGGATGTGGCGGAATGAACAGAAATTAAAAATACGACGATTTAGTTTTTCAAAGTCAGATTCGATTTTGTGATTTATTTTTTAAGAATTTTGTCTTCTGAATTTCTGGGGGAAGATTTTATAACGTTGTGTAACATTGTGGTTTAAATTTCCATATGGGGTTATTAAGAAAGGGACGACCAATTTGTCTAATTAAGTAGGGATTTAATTAATATTTGTTAATTAATCGTGGTGGAGAATGCTCCCTCCTCCACGCACGTCGTCTGTCTCCTCGTGTCGAATTTGTATTTTCTTACTCTCGAATTCTCCTCTTCTCTCTATTGAAAATTTATAGTGAAATGTCTTCTCGTGTGGATGTGCGTGTGTACGAGTGTATTTAAATTTAACTGTAAATTATTTATAAGGCCGAGGGTACAATATGTATGCTTATTAGTGTACAACTAACACGTGTAAATTCTGAGTAGAGTTATATAAATAAGGTGCTTTAAATATTAGGGGAGGTTTATTTTCCATTAGACATGTAAGAAATTGATGAAATTGTCGCACGTGTAGCTCGCATGAGTATTAATTATACTTTGTAAAATATGTGTTGTTGATATTTTGGCTTTGTTTTTTGCGTAAACTTCGTTTCAGAGATGCGAGGAGAATTAATTATGCTATTGTAAATTAAATATGTCATGATTAGTTACTACATTTATCTGTAATAGTGCTCATTCCTCCTACGGTATTTACAAGCGCCGTCGCAAATCGCATAAGCTATTTATTATTATTGTTAAATACAAAGTTTTACGTGGGGTGAATGTGCGTCCCAATTTAATAAATGTGCTCGTGGCTAATTTAACCCTAATTTTATCGAAAACTCTACGATTTCCTCTAGTTTTCCTGGAATACGAACTGAACTTTTTGGTGATCGCTATTTAAATATTAATTAAATTGTCGCATTCTTGCATTATTTTAATGTGATGTTGTGGATTTTATGGGGAAGTTACAGAAAGCGTACTTTTTTCCAAAGGCGTATTATTATCGATCATGCAATGGTTTTTAATTGTTTAAAAGTTTGCATGCAGTTTTGCGGGGGGAATTTATGAAAATCGTTTTTAGGAATAATTTTGTTAATGAATTTTGCCAATTTTTTGCGATACGTGGTGGGAGAGAAATCTTACGCGTTGTTAAATGTAGCTTAATAAGATTTTAACTTAACTATGTACTGCTACACATTTGTGTTAAATACTTACGGATAAGGAAGCTGCTGTATACTGATATTCTTTAGGTGGATGAAGATGCAATATTTATTGGAGAGAAAGTAATAATTATGCTAATTAATTAAGAAGATTGTTTTATTGCTGTGTCGGAAATGAATTGAGTGTAACGCGCAAAACAATTTGTACCAACGAATGGGAGAGCGAATGTGCTGCATAATAATTATTTTTAATTAAGAGTTAACTACAATTTATTAACGTAATTAATTAATTAGTACGGGCACACACTCCTCCTCCTGCTACTTATTGTGTAATAGTTAAGTCTAACACGATGCTGCTGCCGTGCCAGCCAGCGGACAATGCAACTGACTGATTGAATAAATACGATGATGATAATGCGATGAAATAGATAAATAAAAAGAGAAATCGTGAGCTGTTTTTGAAATTTTGATTTTTTCGAAGGCATATAAAAAATTTTAGAAAATATTAAACAAAATGAATTTCATGTAGGATAAAAACAACTTTATGATCATGCAAATTCGAAAATGATTAAAATTTTATGAAATCACTGTCAACGTCATAACCTCAATTTGCCTCGATTTTCATGAAATCATGTAATTTTACGTAAAATTAAATACCACTTTTAGGCATTTTTGGTGACTGACCAACCAAAGGATTCATTGATTGAGTGGATCTTGTCCAGGGTTAGATGTGGATTTAGGGGTTGAGTGGGTGTCAAGTATCTCTGTAGGTGCGAGTGAGTCAATTCACTGATGCCCGGATCCGGGTATTACGTACTGATATGATTTTACTGGTTGTAGTTTTATTAGACATTGTATACATAAATATGTAGCTTTCTCTTGAACTGAAGAGAGAGAGCGAATAGGGTAGAAAACCTGTCAGGAACCGAGGAGCAGGTTGTGGCGTCGCCTATGTATATTCGTATTATTAGTGAGAAGGGAAAGTCCGCGGAGAAAGAAATCAATGCCAAACTTGTCTCGCAAGGGGAGAAAATAAACCACATTTCGGATCACCTAGGTTTACTTTCGTTGCTTCCATGAGCCATTTTTCGGGGATGGGTGCTCCCGAACCGGGGTTTGCATGCACCACTCTCTCCTCTATGCTTTCTCTACCACTTTCTTCTTCCCGAGAAGACCGAAAAAGGGGACCACTTCTCTCCTGTCCAGAGTGAACCTGGTCGTCTCAACTGATCCTATCTTATCTTTAACATGTGAGTCGTGAGATCAGTCTGCTCTTCATAAAGAGAAAGTTGGCAATTTTTTTCCGGCAAAGTAATTTTAGATATTTAAAAGTCATGTGGTTTGAATACGTCCTCACCGTGGTCGTGCTGCCGTGATGCACCGACCATGCACCGATCCTTCATCGATGACAATGGCAACCCTTTTGACGACGGTGACGACGACGATTTGGGTCGAGATGACTACTTCGACCCAGTGAAAGCGGTCGTGGCTGGCGTATCGCGAGAGGAAGAGGACGAACAGATGTATCCCCTCCCCGGCGGACGACGTGGTCAGGGGGACTTTTCACCTCCAAAATATTTCATTAATGCTGCCGAACTCTCGGAAGAAGAATTTCAGCAGCATCAGCAGCAGCAGAACGAGAACCAGAACTCGTCTCAGATTCCTGTCCTGGTGAAAGTGGGGGGTGAAAGTAATAATAAATTGACGAGTGAAAGTGGTGGTGGTAAAAAATCGTCCATAATTCCACGTCCCAGGTCACGCGTGCCAGTCTCAAAAAGTTATCCGGACATTGTGCAGACCACGTTGAACAACGATTTCAAAGGGTTTGACGAAAGGAAGCCGAACAGCACGGGGGCCGCGGGGGTGATGGCGTCGCAGGATAATAATGATGTGGACGTGGTGGCAGACTCTTTGGAGAATTTGAGTGTTCAACCGGAAGTGAAAGTTAAGAAGGAAATGGAGGCGGAGGAGGAGGAAAAGGTGCCGATTCCTCCAGGAGGTGGAGGTCAAGCGCTTGGTGGTGGCATCATGGCGTCCTCCGCGTTCATGACGGAGTCTCAAATGGGCGGAATCCTGGGGGAGAAGCCTCCCGAAGCGTGGGTTATCGACTTAAATTCGCTATCCTTACAGTCCACGGATGTTTTGGAGTCGCAAACTCGAGACCGAAGTGAGAGCATGTCGAACTCTTTGGTGTTCTTTGTGAATGTGGGGGATGACGAGGGGATTAGTGGCAGTGTGACGTCCAGGATGAGTGGGAGTGGGCAGGAGAAGAAGATTTTCAACATGTTTGTCGACATTAAAGAAGGTGAGTGAGCATTTTGAAAATGTAGAAATTTTCATAAATAAATTTCCCGTTTATTTTAGGGGATGGCAATAATGCAACGTTGAAACAGCATCATCAGGGTCAGCACAGGTCTCAAATTCCGAAAAAGAACTCCACCGGTCAAGGAGGCATTGTGAACAAGGCCGTTTTCAACGTGATGGAAACCTCGACTTCTTCTTCGGCCAGTGGAAAATCTACTTCTGCTGCCGGGAGGAAATTTCCGTCCCCAATTTTCAACCATAAAACAGCCCGACAGTTGGCAAGGGCAGAGTGGGAGAAGGTAAAACAAATTATGAGTTTACAGAATTCATGCAAATTTTACTGACATTTTATTCATTTCGTAACTTTCTTCAGGAAAAGGAAAAACTCTTCTTCGACTCGTTGGACCCACAAGTGATCAGTATGCAAATTGCGGCGCAAGAGGCGGCTGCTTTGGGGGACAGCACGATTAGCAACAGGTCAAGTTTGCATGTCGCCAATGTGTTGGACTCGTCCTTCTCGAGCAGCATTATCAGTTCGATGGAAACGCAAGGAGAAGGTGCGTTCATTTCTTGACAGGAAGTTGAAAGGCTGAGAATAATTTTAATTTGGTATTTTTGGGATCTTGCAGAGGTCGAGATTTGTTCGGGTGGAGCCTGTTTTAAACTTCAGCTCGACCTGACGCGCATGTTTCAGGAGGGAATCAACACGGACGTCATTATTTCAGTGAATGGGAAGTGGATCCGCGCCCATAAATGTATCCTAGCCTCCAGATCGCAGTACTTTGCCGCTATTCTGAGCGGACATTGGGTGGAGAAGGCAGGAAACACAATCAATCTGGATGGGTCAGTGACAAGATGTGGGAATTGGTGCAAATTAATTGATTAAATGTGCAAATAATTTGCGTAGATTTTCCTACTCGACGGTGCAATTCGCCTTGTACCACATTTACTCTGGGACGAACGAGATTCCGGATACGATCGACTTGCTGGAGCTGGCCACGCTGACGGACCTCTTGGGACTCGAGGGGCTCAGGGAGAACATTAGTCAAACTTTTCGTGTCAAATTCTGCCACAACTTTCACCGAGTGAGTTGACACATGCAATTTTTTTGCACGCTTTGGGGAGTTTGGGAAATAATGCAAATTACGTGGATAGTTCAGTGCTGCGAATATTTTTGCAAATTTATAGAAATTATTTGTATAATGGTGGCATTGAATTTGTACGCAGCCGTGTACTGGATGCATAACCGGAGTTTTGGAATGCTTCCCCATTGCGGCGACTTATGGGATGGACGACCTTCACAGAAAAATGATTAAATGGATTTGCAAACATTTCGTGCGAATTTGGCCCACGAAAGGATTCGCAAGTTTGGGAGAGGACTTGAAAGATAAATGCTTAAAGTATAGCGTTAATCATTTGGTAAGTTATTTATTACTTGAAGACAAAATTTGCATGATTTGCAAAAATTATAGACAATCTTACTGTTTTTTTTTGCAGAGTGTGGACAACATTTTAGACCACACTTTGGGATGCGACCAACTCACAACGACGATGCCATCCCTGAGGTACAGTACATTACAAAATTTTTTGGAAATTTTATGGAAATTTTATTGAAATTGTATTTCATGACTTTATTTTCAGATGGACAGAAACAATATTCAATCTTGTCAACCAATTGGGAGACGAATGTGTCCAATTTCTGGGTGAACATTTGAGCGACGTTCTTCAAAGTGAAAAGTAAGATGATGATGTAAGATTGTTTGCAATTTTTTTGAAATGTTAAATATTTACGAGAATATTTGGACCTGTAGGTTTTTGCAATTCGGGAAAGGTCAAGCATGGAATATTTCGAGAATTGAGGACACGTTTCTCGAGAGTATGACGCTGCTACGGCCGGATATGGCGTGCCGAACGCACACAGCTCTCGAGAGGCTTATCGACCTCGGGACGGAAACAATTGACGATGTCGAGTGGTCCACGGTACGAAAATACGAATTTATATTTCTGGAAATTTCAAAGTTTCTGGCTCAAACTGTATTAAAATCAATTTTTTCCCAAAAAAACTGTAAAAATCTTGTCCCAAAATTATCATAAACATTTTTCTTTTGTTTTCAGAGTTTTGTCGATTTTCTGAAAAGTTTGCGGTCCGAGGTGGAGAAATTTTTATTTGCCAACGCATCGAAGGCCGTACTTTCAAAGGGATGGGAGGAGCTGGGGGCTGGATTTCGGAAAAAGATTTGCGCCTCGAGTTTCGTCGGGTATGACAAATTTGGGAACAAGGTGGTCAAAAACAGTGCAGTGACTGGGGGCCAAGGAACTGGAACTGGGCAAGGAAAAAGGTCATCTGGAAATTCTTCATCTTCAAAGGGAGGAGCGCGCGATCGCCCTACTTCCTCCGCGACCAAAGTAGCCTCCGTGCGACCCATGCGACACCGCGGTCGAGAAGAAGAACAAGAACGGGAAGTAGAACGCGCCGAGGTCGAACCCGAAGTTAAGAAACCTGTCCCCACGCCAAGAACGGTGCGAACTTTGTCCTCATTAGGAAGGTCTGAATCGAGTAGTGAGGCAAGTCAGAGGTCCTCCGGGGTCAATGCACCGACAAGAGCGGGGACGGCAAACACCAGAGCAAGCGCCCCAGCAGCGGAGAAGGCTTTTATCTCGAGCAGAAGAACGTCAACATCTTCCCCAACGACGAGTAGGACGCCAAACAGGGTTTTGACACCGGGAGCTTCAAACAAGACATTGTCCACGTTTCCGGTCGCGCCAGAGAGAGCAGTTACTCCAACAGGAAGTAAAAAGATCATGTCTGCCATGGCAAGAAATCATGCTCTAGCGCGACAAGCGACTAAACCTCCACCATCCCCTCCAAAAAAGACCTTTGTGACAAACTCGGCGAAAGCTGCGGCCGTGTCGAAACCGATTTTAAATCGGGCTCGCACATCGAGCGGAATGACGCCCCCACCAACGACGCAACACCAACAACAAGCCCAGCAAGTGGTCACATCAAATAATACAACAGCCACCAATCAACGAGCCATTTCTAAACCGGAAACGGGACGTTTGACTACGACGACGACATTCTCAGCGAGAAATTCTTTCTCTGGAGTGGAGCGACCAAAAACGACGCCAAGCGGAAGAGGCAGAACTGCTGCTACTGGAAATACTCGGGCAATAGCTGAACCCATTTCGAGGCGAACTGCTCCACAAGTGACACCGTCATCACGTGGGATTAGTCAGACGACAAATAAGCGCCCCGTGTCGTCATCAACAACATCACGTGGTGGAGGTCGTGTCGCCACCACGGGACGATCCACAACTTCTTCCGCTTCTGGCCCACGGTCCATGCCGAATCAAACGGTTCAAGATTTCCGCACGTTTTCCGAATCCTTCCAACCCGACAGTTTGATCTCATCTGGCGGTGGTGGTGGCATGTCACGATCAACCATTGTCGATACCGAGGGCGGTGACGAGGGTGGGAAGAAGACCCGCACTTTGGCCGAAATTGGGAGATCGTCCACCTTTTCGAAAGACGAGCCGACCATTTTAGGCAAGATGGAGGGGTTTGGAGGGTGTGGTCAGCAGGACGAAAGTGGAGGTGACGATGGGGACTATCAATATGAGGACGATTACGAGGAGGATGAAGATTATTAGCAGCCCACTTCCGGTCGAGTGAGATGTCGATTAACGTGTCAATTGTGTAGATAATAAAAATAAATCATGTGAGATTTAATTTTTGGCTTCAGAATTATTCTGCAACTTCCGGTCCAAGATTGATACTTAGTCCCTGTCTGTATTAATTAATCGGAAATAATTATTATTGTGCACGTTTCATGCTTATTATGGTAAAATTATGTGGATGAATTGAAGGAATAAAGTCAAAATTGTGTGAGTTCGTCGCCGAATCAAAATTATGGTAAATTTTATTTATGCAAAAATGATTGAAGATGTGTTGCCAAAATTTCGTTTTTTGATGAAACGAAAAAATGAAATTAATAATTTGTAGAAGATTATTTTACGAATTTATTTGTTCATTTTTGATTAGGTTTATTTCAGTGTTTTAGTTATTTTATGGAACAAGTATTTAGAATCAGATCAGATCAATTTACACAAGTTAACAATTTATTTTTCCACGAGGCGAGGAAATTAATTAACAAAAGTCGACTACAGTAAAACTTACGTCTTCTGCACTAATTATTATAATTGCTGCTCTAAAACTGCAGTATGTACATATTGCATATGCATTAATTAGTATTGGGAAAATATGGTATGATTAAAATGCATTCATTTCATTTCATTCTCTCGACATGTAGCGATTAGGTAATTAACTAGTGATGATGATCCAAAGACGATAGTGACATGAGGAAATTTGCAACTTTTACTTCCATAAGTTAACATCTGGCCCATACTTCGTAAAAGTCTTAAATTTAATTAATAGGATCGAGAAATAGTGGCAAGAAATAGGGTAAATAAATTAGACTATGAGAACAGCATATGTACATAAAATCTACTTAATCACATAATCACTAAATAAATAAACATTTGACTAACAATTGTAAAAAAACATGATGATAGGATTTGTTTTTCGATCTTATCGAGGGAAAATAGAAAATATTTGCAAATTTAATGCCTATTATATAATTTTATCTTTGTGCTGGCCGTACGACGCCAGGGATGGCTTGATGGAGCCAGGACTTGTTAGCCAGAAATTCTGCATATTCGACATTATCGTCTTTCGCCTGTTGCTTCGTCTTGTAGCGTGCAGTCTGATTTCCCCCTCCTCGACCCCCTCCCCCACGTCCCCCAAAATTATTTGAAGATCCCGCTCCTCGTCCTCCCCCTCCTCTTCCGCCGCTAAAAGTGCCCGCGCCAGGACCAAATCCACCACCACCGCCTCCTCCTCCGAGTGGCATTTCATTAGGATTTATTTGATTTGCGCCGCCTTTACTCGCGCCGAGGCCGGGATGACGCGCTTTCTTCTTATTCTTTCCACCCCCGACCCCACCTCTGCTAGCGCCCCCTGCCCCACCCCTGTTCCCCCTATTCCCGCCGCGTCCCGATCCCCTTCCGGCCTGATTAGGAGCTCCGCCACCACGTTTGGTAACGTTTTGATTCCCATTCGGCTTCCGTTTTAGGTTAGAGTAGTCAAAGGGGATGGCGTTGAAGGTGCCGTTGATGGTGTGGGGCACGTCGAAATAAGAGTCTTCTTGGAATGAGGGATCATCAGGGGGGAACGACGACCCGGGTATTTGCTCTTGCGCAAGATAGTTGGACTGTGACGAAGAAGGACCATATCCTGCCGCTGTCATGAGTTGTTTGGCTTGGAAAGATTCGACCTGCGCTTGCTGCGTGGCGTGGCGTTGTTGTTGAATAGTTGAGCTGGCTCCGCGACCACGTCCCCCTCGACCACGACTAGGAGGAAAATATTCTCGTTCACCGAGTGAGAGCTGAAGAGCGGGAGGTTGTGTGGTGGACAAGTAGTCGTCATCCTCGGCGAATGGGTTAAAAGATGAAGGCATGAGAGTGGGGATGTTGTTTCCGGGGCGAGAATTGCCTCCTCCACGACCACCGCGACTACCTACTCCCCCACCACGCGATTTTTTCTGCGGTGGTGACGAAAAATTGCGCATGTTTCCTTGAATTTGTTGCGCGTAAGAGTCGTATTCGTCCTCCAAGCTCGGGGCGTAATGGTCCCGCGCCGAGGCGGCAGAGGGATCTTGATAGTACGTGTCGAAATCGTATTGTTCTGGGGGAGGAGGAAAGTGAGGCTGGAAGGGGCGTTTCGGAAAACGGGGGCCAAATGGGGGACGTCCTCCTGGTGGCATATTGGGCATACCATTTCCTCCTCCACGACCTCCACGAGGTCCTCCAAAAGGTCCTCCGCGAGGTCCACGCGGTCCACCACCGCCGAATAGACCGGGCGGCAGCATGGGTTGTGGTGGCCTGTCACGAGCGATCCGTTCAGTATGCATCATCATTGGAGGCCTGTGAAACATGGGCGGCCTCATCCCAATGCCACACCCTCGGCCTCGAAACATTGGCGGAGGTGGGGGAAAGTCGCCGTAATTGTGGTATCCGTCGTCAGCGAAGCGTTCCCTGTTTTAATAGAAGAGATGTGATTAAGCAAATTTACGTGGTATTTTAAACTGGTAAACTGTGTCAACTTTTTAATTAGCTTTTAAAATTCTTAATTAGCTTTTAAAATTCTACAAAATTAGGAGAATGGACTAATGGACGTCACCAAAGTTTACACAGAAAGTGCCAAAATTATTGATTTGATAAAAATCTTACGGCATGACTCTCATGGGGGGTAGCATTGGCGGAATGGGAGGCGGACGTAACGGGGAGAAATTGTTCGGTCCTCCTCCACGTTTCTTCTTCTTCTTAGATGATGAGGAGGACGAAGCCGCGGAGTGATTGAAAGCTGAGCTGCTGCCGGAAGGGGTGGAAACGATGGGAGGAGTTTCGAGGAGAGCTTCGACAAGCAATTTCTTCCCATTGAACTCCATTTCGCCGAGATCTTTGATGGCGGACCGAATGTCGCCAAGCTGTTCCAATTGCTACGAATACAAAAAGGAAAATCCATTGATCATAAACAACCATGATGAAAAACGTGACAGTACTTTTCGTACGGAGTTCGATAGGAAATTCATTAATTTAAAATCAAACAAGGATAAAACTTATCGAAATTTAAGATTTGTTTGGCGACAAGATAGAGCTTTTCTGTAAATTAACTTGGGAATCCCAAACTCTTGTAGATTCAAACAATTTAGACACTTTATGTTCGGAAATCAATTGTTGGGCTGTTTTTTTGCAAATAACTACGTATTTGAACTATACCTATGATTTTTAATTGCTTGTGACTTTTTCCACGGAATTACTTACCACGATGGCCTTCCTGAGGGGATCGAACTTGCTTTTGGCGAGGGTGGTCGAGACGACGAGGCCATAGGGCTGGAATAGGGAGCGGATCTGATTAGCGGACAAGTCTTCGGGTAGATTCTTCACCTGCAGGCGCACAACAGGGATCCTAAAAAATAACAAAATTTGTTTGTATTAATTAAAATTCATGAATTAATCTAGTGTTTAATACAATGTTTTTACCTCGGCCCTTCAGGATTTTTAGATAGCGAGACATCAATGGGGCGCTCGAACTCTGGAACGACCTTCCCGTTCAATTCCTGTATCACACGAATTCCGGCCTCCTCCTCCTCCATGTGCTGCAACGACATTATCAATTGACTGATCAACTTCAATTTAAGGTAAGATTTTTAAACATTTTGCCATCACATGCAAAATTTCACTTGTAAAATGTTAAAATTTGAAAGTTTTTTTTTCACTCAACATTTATGGTTGTATATATTAGAAACTTACCACAAAGGCGGAATTTGATCTGTAAATCTCAATGTCGACGATTCTCCCGTACTCTTTGACGAGATCGGTGACAATCTCTTTGGTGACATTGGGTTTCAGGTTGGAAAAGTAGATCTTGTAAGTAGTCACGGTTTCCTCATTGGCCGAGGAGGGGGGTGCCTTTGGCACGACATTTGTTGCCAATTTAGACTTCATCACTGTAATATTCTGCCCGTTGAGTTTTATCTTGTTCAGCATTTTGATCGCTTCCAGCCCACCCGCCTCATTATCCAGATGCTGAAAGGACAGCAATAAATTCGTTAATATGGCAAAAATATTGGTGAAATTGGTATGTAATATTTACACACTTACGACATAGGCGAAATTTTTGTATGGAAATAATTCGCACTCAACAACGGTACCGAAGGGTTCAAACAAGTTGACAATGTGTTCTTCCTTAAAGCCGGTGGGAAGTTTGGCGACATGGAGTTTGATCCTGGCACCGGGCGAGGGGGGTTTTAAATCCAAAAGTTCCTCATCAAGTTTTATATCGTTTGTGTCACCATTTCCAAGCAGTACGACTTCGTCACTTTCAATAGCGGAGGAGCCGTTATCCTCATTGGTTTCTGTAACCTGTGCCGCGGAGATGTCACTGGCGAAATTATCAAAACTGTTGAGACTTGCGTCACCCATCTCTAGATCGTCCGTAAAGTCGTTAATAGCATCGGGAGGAGGGGCATGAACCGGCAGTGTGGCGACCGACGTGATATCAAAGTTTGCGCCGAGTTTAGAATTAGTAAATAATGCCGAGCCAAGATCTTCTTCTTTGTCGCCCCCGAGCCCAGGGATTTCTTCCTGTTGCATCTTGACGTCACCGTCGGGAGGCGATGGCGTGGTGGGCAACATAGAGTCGTGGAGGTCCATCAGGATTCCTTTAAATTGGTTGGAAATCGAATCCAGACCGGAACTTGGGCTGGACGAGGAGGAAATTGACGGGAGGAATTCGCTCAGGTCGTGTATGTCGTCAGTGGTGGGGTGAAACGTGTCGTCGGGAGGGATCGTGCGGTCACCATCCGCCATTACACGTCAAATCCACCAAAAATTCTGTCAGTTTTATTGTCGAAGCTTCTCTAAAAAATATTTAAACAAACAAGATGAAATATAAATATTTTTTAGACTACCGGCTGAAAACTTTAAACAATTTTGATGATTGGGTGGCTACCTTGTTTCGAAAACTTGAAGTGACGATGAATACTTGACGATGCTACTTTTGTGGGAGGACACAGCGAAAAATTTGTAATTGTTCTTGTGCAAAGTGACGAAAAAATTGCAATTTTGTAAAGGTGGCTGGCATTTGAACGTGATGTATGTTGGGTGCACTGGGGAAAGTTGGGAGTGCAGTCCAGTTTGGATAAATTTCCATAGGAAACTTTCCATTGTTCAGGTTTGCATTATGAAACTTATGAATTTAGATATATGATACGGAATCATTTATCTTCTCATTTTTTTGTTTTATTTAAAAGCACAGTTTATGTCGTAATTTGAAATATATATTTACATAAAACTGGTTAAATGATTAATGATAACAATATGTACATACATTATGCGGTGGTCAATTAATAGGAGTCAGTCACATGTAGAATTTATAACACAAATCCTCTAACGTTCATCTGAAAATCATTTTTTCAATGTTTCTGAAAACTGAACGAGGAAATTTATTTGTCGTCAAATCATAGTTGTTTTTGCCCTTGCTGTTTTTCCTTTGCTTTAGTGAAGAGTTTGTTGATGAACGGGAGGACGCGAGAGGGGTGGCAGGAGTACACGATGGCGAGGAGGACGCCCAATCCCACGTAGACCAAGTACTGTGCCGCCACACGGAGGAGGACGTAGGTCAAGGCAGAAATTATGAGGACACAGACGACCAAGGTCACCAGGACGGAGGTCAGGTCAAGTGAGATGCAACGTTCCATGAGAACGTCCCAGCCAAAGATATAGGTCACCAGGCAGCTCGATAACGTCGTGGCCAGAGTCACTAAAACGCACAAGTCCTTCACTGGAAAGAAAGAAAGGATTTATTTTTAATGGAAATTTTAAAATAGAAAATTCGAATTTTGGTCAAGCTTAAGCATAATTTTTGATGGATTTACTTTTTAAACGAGTGAATTTGTATGGTCTAATTTTTAATTGTAATAAAAGCACGTTATCTTATATGTCATTTGTTATAAATAATTTATAAATAAATAAATAAATTTCAATCCTGAATTATTCAGGATTGAAATTTACTTATTTATTTTAACTCATCGCCATCGAATCACAATTTCTAAAATTTCAGGTAAAATGAGATTCATGTGTTTACCTACTTTGAATCGGAAGGGTTTTGACTTGTTGCATTTTCAGTCGTGTCACATAAAATTAAGTGAATCTAACAAGTTTTACAGCTCCGAATTTCTGAGGGTCACAAATCCTGAACTTACTACATATTTGTAAGGATATATCTTAAACGTGGCGATGTTAAAGTGTTTCACTTGAGAAAAAAACGAGTCAACCTACACGAGAAGACGGTAATTAAATGGGCTGTCAATTCTAGGAATTAACAACTAATGGTAACAAATATGTCACACATGCAACTATGAATATGGAAAAGAACGATAAATACGAAACATGCTGCATCCACTAATGAGCGCATGAGTATATGCAATATGTCATTTGTGGTGGCGAAGTGTATTGATAATTTGGATTGTGGTTGGTGAGTATGAATGCTGATAAGTCAGGTGAGTAATACAAGCTTATCTGATCGTGCCATGATTTAGATATGTACATTATATTACTTAATGGCAATGGGATAGACTTGATATTTGGGAACACAAACCTGAAACTGGAGATGCCGAGGAAGGTGTGGAGTTATCGGGGTCGATAACATTATTATTATCCGTGCCGGCATCTTTGGTGGGGTGGTGATTTGTGATTGTGGTGCGTTGTTTGGTCTTGGATTTCGACGATGTCATCTCCGATTTATTTATGTATGGATTTTTGGTGAAAATAATTAGGTTTCCGTCCGATTTGATTAAAACTTTTGGGAGGAGAAAGTTGTAGGCTTGATTCGATCAATACGTAAATGGCAGTTGCTTATTTCTGCATTTTCATAAATAGTTGGGAATTTAATTCCGCGTGGATCAGTTATGGTTGGTAAATTGTGACTGGTTTGTAACTTATTACTTCTGGGGAAGAAATTGGTGTAATTGTTGTTATCTTTTATTGGCGAGGGAACTAAGGTTTATCGTTATTTCTCAGTCGATCATTGACGATGTGGGTACCGGCTCTACCGTACATATGTACGCGTGGGGTGATTGATTACAATGGCCGAATTACTTATTTATCGTGGAGGTTTGTGTGTAATAATTGGCAAGAATCTGCCACTATTTAGTTTAACGAAGTCGGCAAATTACACGCCTATTTACTACGAACACGGTAAATACGTCAGTCAGGGTTTGAGGATGCGTCACTAAAATGTAGGGGTCCCAATCCCGGACGATTTTGGAAATCCCGGGAATCGGGATTCCCGGTTTTGGCCGTGAGAAATCCCGGGAAATCCCGGGATTTTTTCCCGAAATTCAAATATCACCTTATAACTTCAAATTAGTCAAATTTGGGTATACAAAAAGGTACATGACTATAAAAGTACAGCGCCTGAGCGTATTTATAATACTTACATATCTCTTTATGTGTTTTCGGGCTCTGTGCATGCATGAATATTATTATAAAGTATGCTATTTTCTGGTCAACTCAAAATAAATATGGTAGCAATACAAATTAGCGATTATATGGTTTTGCCTGCTATTGAAAATGTTAAATCTCGGTGTATTTCGGCGTAGCCCAATTTTCGCCCTCTATCTTTGAGAGGTGATATGTGATATGCAAAAGTTTGACAATTTCATTCCAGAAATCTTAAATAATTAACCAACAAGAATGTTAACCCGAAATGCCCAAATTGACGTACTTATATTATTTGGCCTAAATTGCGAACCATTATTCAAAAACTTCGGTTGGATATGAAGTTTAGCAATTCAAAAATTTCAAGATCAAATATATGAACCACTTCGTGCAAAACGCATTAAATTTAGCTTTAAATTCATCGGCTAAAATTCGAACTCACTTCTAACATAATAGCATTTTTGAGCATAACTGATTTCAGATTTTATGATTATAATCTTGCTTAGTTCAAGTTAAAATCTAACATCGAAATTGGGAATTTGAAGCTCGATCTTGAACTATAAATTTCATTTTGAATTATATAATTTAGATATGTATAAATATATGTACATATGTATACGGGTTAGAAAAATGTGGCTAACCATATTGTTAAACATTTCGATTTTCGAGTCCAGGATCAATTTGTATGGTTACGTCATCGAAACTTTTCTTACCAATCATCATATAACCGAAAATAATGTAAAATTGCTATTAAAATTGTAAATTATAAGTAATTTTCAGCTCTGAATGACGAATTGAAAATCCCGAAATATCGGGATTTCAGTTCTTCAAATCCCGGGATTTCGGGATCCCGCTTCCCGGGAATAAAATCCCGGGACTGGAACCCCTACTAAAATGCATGCACAGTGGAAATTTGTTCTTCCGAGTGCTTTACTAAATACGTATTGCACACATTTTTTAAAAATTCTACAATAACTAAATGGTTGATCACTAATTAAGTAAAGTGGTATTTAGTTGGTTATGTAATGAGGAGAAGTTCCAGGCTGATCTTAAAGCAGAGTTCTATTGTATTTATTGTTATAGTCGACTTGTGGCTTGTGAGGTGTGATAGGCACGAGGGGAAAAAATGATATAGTTGACGGGTGTATATGTGGATATGTATGCCTGGTTAGTTATTAGTGAAGCATCTGCTTTCTTTCTTCTCCAGAATTTATTTGTGCGGTTTGGTTATAATGAAGAAAAAACAAGCATCTTGTAGAACTTTATTGCGTGAAATGAGTGCATGGGAAAGTTTTAACCCTTTGCTCAAGTTTGTTCGATATTTTTCATGCAATTTCCCCTGAAAGATTGTACTTTGGTTGGTCAAGTTTTGGATGAGGTGGACTATGTAGATTTTTAATGCAGATTAATCAACTAGCCATACATGGCATCCAATCCCCATTACCCACAACGTGGATCTAATACTTACTCTAATCGTAAATCTTTTATTATTTAATCCTCAATCGGCGTCGTAATCTTGGTAAATATTTAGAATGAAAATTATTCACAAGCTACAAAATCCAGTCTGAAAAGTAACAACTAATCTAGATACCAGTCAATTGCAACTCATCCCCAGAACTGTGTATTACAAAATGCAGTCTCTCATACAGATTTTTCATGTATTTACATAAAGTTTGTAACACTTTAGAGTACAAAAATTGTTGTCATACTAAAAAAATCCTAGATATTTGTAGAATGAATATCAGTAAAATTCCGACATAGTTAATTAACTATTAATTAACTACTAAATATGAGATCCATTCCTAACTAGATAACAACTGTTAAAATGTCATTAAACTCATTAATTTACAAATCCTCCTTAAAAGTAACTCTAACTTGCTGGCCTGAACTAGGATGGAGGAGAGGATGAGGATTTGAACCATTTATTGTCGTGATTGTCGAACTCGGAATAATTGTCGCCTCTGTCGCCGCGGAGGAACTTATGTTGTCCTCGCTTTCCAAACTTTTCCTCCCCCCGTTAAACGACGACTCTGGCGTTATGGCGGTCGTCATCGCCGTGGGGTCCGTCGTCTCAACGGCAACCGACCTTTTTAGCGTGCCCTGTTTCACCGGAACATATTTCGGCTCTCCCATCTCCCCGTCTTGCTCGTCAGGGTCGAGGTCACGCACGATCAGGGTAGACGATCTCTTCGGCGCCGAGACCAGGATCCCTTTCGGCTGATTTTTCGCACTAATATTATTCGCAATAATGGGTCCGTTCGAATTGGCAAATCCTGCCGGTGCGGAAATGATTGAGGGCGAGGTGGCCCTCGAGTCCGCGTAGGGAATGTCACTCCCCATCGTGCGAGGATCGGGTTTGTACGGCGACCCGTGATACGGCAATTGCGGGATGAACTGGACGGGCGGGTCGGGAAGGGCGTGGGGTGGGTGGTGGTGGTGGTGGGGCTGGTTTTGACGTGGCAACGAGTTGACGTTGAATTGGAGGGGGTGCGGGGTTGAGGACGAGGAGAGGAGGTAGCCTGGAGGGACGTGGGAAAGGGGGATTATTTGTGGCTGGTGGTGGTGGTGCTGGTGGGGGGCGTAGATTTGCCCGCTTGGCGTCGGGGTAGGTGTCACGGATTGTGGATTGTCGTCATCATCGTCCCCGTGACGATGTGGTGGATGTGACGATTGTGGGGTGAGCATCCATGGCGGTACGTCTGGTGGACGGGGAGGATCATCATCCTCTCTCACGTGCGAGAGGCGTTGGAGTTTCGGATGAGTGTGATTCTGCTGCTGCTGGATGGACGGGGTCGAGTAGAGGTCACGCGACTGTTGAGAAGCCTGCGCCTGCATTTGCATCCATCGATTAACCTTCGTTTTCGGGTCGTAATTCGGAGTCAGGAAATCTGGCCCGAAACCGTTCTCCGTTTCAGTTTCTGACATCGTGTCTCCACCACCGTTGCGAAGCATCATGGTGGACACGAGGTGAGGGGAGCGACGGTGCTGGAGTGGTGGTTGGGGTGGCGGTGGAGCCGAGTATTTTGACGGTTCACCCCCCACGAAGGAGGAGGAGCACTCGATATCGTCACCGGAAGTGGCGCCGCCGTCTTTGTTTCTTTGTTGCGTGTCGAGGTAACGTTTCCGCAGTTGGAGTTCCGCCTTCTTGAGACGTTCCCGTTGGTAAAAGAGGCCCATGAAGCAGAGGAAGTTGAGGAGAAGGAGGAGACAGCCGATGAGCACGATGGCACTTTGACCTCCCAGAGTGACCCCGGCTGTGGTCGTGGTGGTGGAAGGGTTATTGCCAGGTGGGGGGTAGTAAAGGTCGGGATTGTTGGGGGAGTAGTCATCGTTGGCGTGGGTGTGTCCAGGGTAGTGAGGAGGGGATGAAAAGTGAGGTGGAAACTGGGGGAAGGTTGAGGAAGATGAGGTGTCAGTTAGAGATTTGTTGGAAAATGACTTCATAATCGAGTGGAACGTCTTTCCCCAGAAGGTCGTGGAGTGTTTTCGGTAGGATGAGGGAAATCGGATGTCTTCCGCTGGGGAGAGAAAATTTGCAATTAATTTCGCAAATTGTAGATACACGCACAATTTATGCTTTGGGAAAAAAATGCGTACCGATTTCTAAATATCGTCCATACTCGGGCGTATACTCTGGCCAGGATTGCGGGGGTTGGAAACGATCCGTCGGATCGGAAATGTTGGGATCTCTGTTTGGAATTTAAAAAAAAAACTTGGTGAAAAAATGCTTTAATAATAAATAAGTAATAAAATGCGTACCCATTTCTGACAAAGTTGGCTAGTAGGTTGATCAGCATGACGAAGGGGTGGAGTTTATAGGCGTGGGACGGACTTCCCGTGTACTTCCACTTGTAGACCGAGCTTGAGAAGATGTACGAGATTTCGTCCATCTGTGATAATAACAATGGAAATTTGTTGAATAATTTTTTTACGAGGGAAAATGTTAAGAACTTTTTTAATACCGCTTTTGTGTTGAGAGGGTCAAAGTCTTTCAGAACGTAGAAGAACGTCTTCTTGTCGGCACGGGAGGCGTGGGCGTTGAGGAGATCGATCATCGGCTGCACCACCAGAAAGTCAGAGATCAGTTCGCGCATCGGGGGAGAGGAACCGTAGCCTTGGTCGTTTATCAGGGCTGACCGAATCACCTGTGGTAGAAATTTTTTAGAAATCTTTTTAGAAATCAATTTTTTGAAGAATTTTTATTTGAAAAATGTAATTTTCTTGTAAATTAAATTCGAAATTCTAATTTTTGAACAGGTTTGATTCCAGTTTGTGAATTTTAAGATATGTGAACCTCTTCAATATAATTTTAGGTCAGCAAGCTGAGGATCGTCAAATAAATACTTTCCCCATGCAAATTTCTGAATTTGCAGAATTTTTAGAAAGTTTATACCCGATTTTTTTTGCCTGATGAAATCGTGTAGACCAATTATTTTTATTTTTTTTATCATTTTACTATTTTTTGCGAAATTGCATCCAATTTAATTTCTCACCTTTTTGACCTGTTCCGTCGGTTCGGAACCGGACTCCATTTTCATCGTGAGTTTGATCACGGCCGTGATGAACCTGTCGAGGTTAATGTTGTTGAGGGTGTGACGACCGACGAGTGGGAGGACTGGCCCCTCCTTCAGCCCGCAGAGGATGTCATACTTGGCCAGCATCGCTTCCACGGCGGGGGCTGATGCGGGATGGGGCTGGTTCATCTCGTGCGGCACGATTATCCCGTCCGCGATCGGCGAGAAGGGAAAGGTCAATGGAGGAGCGCCAATGTTCTTTTCGGCGGCAGTGATCAGACGTGGGACGGGCATGCCTCGCAGACATTTCGCCAAGTCAGAGTCCCCACTCGAACCGGAAATGGAGGAGGCCGAGGGACATGGCAAAGCTCGGGCGAGTTGGAACTGAGGAAGAATAATTAATTATGGAGTTCTTTGGGTGGGGAAAGTTATAATTTTTTAGAGTCAAAGAAGAATGTGGGAGAAAGTTGGGGATAATTATGTGCATGGTTTTTGCAATTTTTTAGAGTGAAAGTAGCCAAGTAAATATTTGCGTATTTTTTTGTTTACCGTGGTCCGAATTGGTTCAGGGTTGATGGCGTTTGGCGTAAAGGGAGATCCGTTGAGGAGGATGAGACGATGGAATAAGCCTGCACAACAATAAATTGAGTGGTGGATTTATTCTCATTAATTCAGTTACAAAAATTGTGCATTATTTCAAAATGGCAGGATTAGAAAATTGGGCAGTAAGGATGTCCACAATTTTTCCAGTTTATTTTGAGAGAAAGCACGATTAAGTAATTGATGGATATTTAATTATCCTCATATTTAATTGTTTATCTATCATATTATAACGTAGATTAATCTAGCATGACAGAAATATAGTGATAAACTATTGGTCTTTACCATTGTACGCTTGTGAGACGGGAGAGAGTGAGAGTAGTCCTGCCGTCGTGGCGTCGATGTCAAATCCCATGAGGGAAATGTTGTCAGAATCTCCGCCAAACTCGGCTATGTTCTCCTACAAAAAAAACTTGAAATTAGGAATTGACTCCCTTAAAATTGGCCACAATTTAATTAACCTTGATCCACTGGAGGGCCGCAAGCTGGTCCCAAAGACCAAAGTTTGCTCTGACATCTTCAGAATAGCTGGGTTGGAGAAATCCCAGCACGCCGGTTCGATATCGCACCGAGATGACGATTATATTTCCGATGGCGGCCACGCTATTTGGAGGAGAAAGTGATTTAAGTCACTTCCGGTTTGGGGGAATAAGTAACTTTTTAACTACCTGGAGCCATCGAACGGATTTTCAGGGTCGTCGGGGTGAGAGTTCATGTAGACGAGGACGGCCAGCCCATTGTTTCCTCGCGACTTATCACCTGCGTTGTAATATATGCCTGCAAATTGGGGAGGAGACGTGCAAAAGGAGAGAAAGTGAAACAAAGAGAAAGCAGAATTAAATATACAAGAGAGAGAGTAAATAAATAATAAATAAATTGTGCATAGCAAAAATTTCGGGTTAGGAGAACGAGAGAAAGTTGAGTTTGCAACAGGTGGAGAAAGCTGTGTGTGACTAAGAATTCGTGTTTAAAAAATATAAGACATCAGAAAATCTAAAGCTACTAGCAGTGAAGAAAGTACGGAGAAAGTTGAGAATTTTTGCTAAAATGTTTAATTTCAAAACTTCAAACTATGAGACTCAGTAGTGGTGAAAGTGGAGAAAGTTGAATGCAAATATTAAACTGAACAAAGCCGCAGTAAAAATAGCAAGTTTTTTAAACTGAACTACAAAAATTAAAATGAAGAAAGCAGAAAAATGAAATTTCGTAAAGAAAAAATAAAAGGTTATAATAAACTCGAAATACTTTGACCAAAATGAATATGAAATTTGAGAATGGAGAAAGTTAGAGATTACGAAAATTTTCCACGTACAGTGAAGTTTTCAAAAATTAGAAAGTAGAAAGTAAATAAAAATCGGATTTTCTGGAGTTGAAAATTTTACGATTTCACCGAAATGGATGGAGAAACTAAAAAAAAAACATGTAAATTTTCTGCATACTGTTGAGTGGAGCATAAATGTCGAGATAGAGACAATCCTCCACAGAATTCTCCAGCGTTTTCCGTAACGTTCGAAACTTGTCCATAGGTCCTCCTCCACCACCTCCCATCGTCCTGTTTAATACTTCCTCCGACGTTCTGGGGCACGAGGGGTGCGACACGTTCGCATTGAAGACTTCCGTCCTCGACCGGTGGGGGAGTGGAGAGGGTGACTCGTACCGTAGAAGCGGTCCGATCGGGGGCGATGCGTACGGAATACCACGAAATATCTGGAAAAAAATCATACCAAATTTATGTTTTTTAACTAAAAATGTATTGACTATCAAATGCAAATTTTTTAGTTTTCCAAAATTTTTAATTTTTCAAAATTTGTCATGAAAAACCAACAGTTGAGTGCAGCCTTATTTAGCCCAAGTCAGGCTGTTATCAATAATTGAGGAGGGTTTATCACCACCACAGCTTTTTTATTTTTCCACAAATTTTACCCATTTTCGGACTTCATTCCTAAGTGTACATATTCTACTTGTACGCAAAATTTTAAGTCGATTGGATAAGTTTTACCAGCGTAATCGATAAGACAGACAGACAACCATGACCATAACCGGTAAGCCCTGACTTTGCCTAAAACTGCATTTCCGCTTTTATTACTTACTTAATTTACAAAAAAATGTCCAGTCTCACCTCGATAATAGGTTTTCCATTGTACTGTCTCATATCAAAACCTCTATCCCTCCCACTACCACTCCCCCCACTCGAATAATGCGGCGTATGATAAATCCCACTATCCGCCGGTCCCAGAAACCCCTGGACGGGACCCTGCTTCGTAAACACCACTCTCGGACTCATATTATGCAACGTGGAAGCGGAACTCACTTCCGGTGACAATACACCCAAAACCACGACGAGTACCACGAAGAACTGAAAAGTTTTCTGTTTCACGGGCACCATTTTTACGACAAATTTTCCACCTATTTATGAACACCTTTCACTTTACGAGGTCACATTTCTGGTTTTGATATCCATTTTGGCGATAAAGTTGAACTTGGTCGTCGTCCCCGTCGTCATATTATTGTGTTGTTGATTTGGTGATAAAAGAGTGGAGTGGATTGGATGCATGCATGCCTTATTAGCACGTATGTACGTAGTTGAAGGAAGGAAGTTGTATGAAAGGGGCATCTATTTTTAACCCGGGTTTTGAATTCTGTGAGAGATTTTTTAACCATGCGGGCATTATACTCGACTCGTCGGCCCCACTAATAACGCCATGCACACGGGAACAGTACTTTTCGTTCGTAGTACTGAGATCGAGTAGTACTTTGGTTTAACGAGCGTTCGAAGAGCAGCTTCTTGAGGAGTAACGTGTATGCAAAGTCAATCCACTTAAAATAGATGACAACGAAGAGGAAGAAGACGACGAGTCAACTTTCGTACCATTATATTCTCGTACCTAGGCGGAATTACTACTTATTTTATGCAGGCAGGGACACCACGTGAGACACTAGTGTTCCGTTAAGTGGATGATTTTTAAACAAAATGTAATGTGGTGAACTTGGTTTTGCATATGTGGATGTATGAAAATGCGTATGGAATTAATTACGGAACTGTATCTATGAGTTCGTAGGAGGAATATGTATTTCTGCAAGTCGGGTTCGAACAACCTTCCGCTAAATAACTGCTCCCCTGGTTTTTGGCTGATTCAAGCATATCTAAGGGAAAAATATGGCTGTGTGGTCGTGTCGTGTATGTACCTCTGAATAATTCTGATGAAAGGAAGCGTTTTTTTAAAGATGGAGGAATGCAGAATGAGTTGGAGCTTTGAATGGATGACTGTACTGTTTCGTACTGCATGCAAAATTATTGGAGGAAATGAAGCCGTATTTGTCTTTGATTTGGGCATAAGGAATTTAAAATGGGGTCAGATTTCCGTCCTGTTTTGGGTAGATGCAGACCCGATCTAAAATCCGGGTAGAATTGCGACGTGTCTCTTCAATGGGGAGCTCATTATCTGCATATTACTATTATTGTATCGAATTAGGCATTAAATTCCTCCCTTTGTGGACGGAATAAACAATTGGCTTGGAATTTCTGTGTGTACATATTTTATTCCGCGTAATGATCGAGTAACTCACAAACGGTGGTCTTTGTTCTTCTTAATCCCATTCTTCTCGTCTGAATGCTTGAGCCATGTGGGCTGCCGTAATATGGGAATAATTGGCAATTAGTAGCATAATTCGGCTTCTGAAGGGGAGAAGAAGGATCACTTTGTGGGCACATTTAGCCCGTTAAACAAACATTGGCATATGTATGTATGTACATATTTTGACTCGTGTGAGTCGGAAGGAAGTGGGTTTTGTGGAGAAAAGAAGAAGAAGAACGAACAGAACAAGACGTGTTCTTTTATGTAAATGAAGGGTTGGAACATTGATGAAAAAGATTACGATTTGTTGCTGCCTTCTTTCGTGTTTCCCGACTTTGTTCTTCTTCTTGGGAGAGAATTAAAATTTAAAAAAACAACGGACACAAAGAGAGAGAAAGACATGAAAGATTTTTAAGAAAATTTAGACAAAATGCTTTTTGAAGAGGTAACGAAGGACTGATTTGTGTAACATGTTTATTTACTTGTGAAGATTTATACATATTTTACTTGGTTAAAATATAAGTCGTTTAGTGTACTTTTTGGTTTTTGATATATTTTCCTAAATTGTGGCAGATGAGTGGTGTTTCTCGTAATTATTCCGCATTTGACGCTGTTGGACTTGAATCTTGCCTTGCCGTTATTACGTAGCTTTTAATACGGAAGGAGTAAAAGGATGGTCAGAATTCTGCATCTCCCGAGGAGGATTTTTAGTTTGTTGGGTTCGAGAAAAGCGAGGGTGGCGGTGTGCCAAAAATGTTGATCTCTGCGTGATTTTGATGCATTACACTGCATGCCTTACGTTTCCTCCGTGCCACGCCATACACGCCACGACACGCTACGACAGATGAGCGGAGGGCGACAGACAGGAGAGAAATGAATCGCGTGTTATTACAATTTCTGGTATGAAAAGAGGTACACGGGAAGAAAAAGGACATGGTTCTGGTATGTTTTGTATGTGGGCATCCATATTTCTCAGAATGGAGATGCCTACATGCATGTTTACTCAGGAAAAGTTAAGTTAGAGGGGAGAATAATGATAAGCCGTCATGTTAAGAAGTTAGGGTTTATATTTGAGCTAAGAATTAAAAGAATCAGAGGAGAGAGAGAGAGAGGAATGTGTCAAGCCAAGTTGGTTTTGTGTATGTCTTGGAAAAGTGCATCATTTCTCATCCCCCCGTCTTCTTGGCAAACACTCTTTCTTGTTGGACAATGACGACGGTAGGGAAAAAATGCGTATGTTCAGAGGGCAAGATAAGCATCAAGATAACTTCTCACACTGAGATAAGAGGGCTGGGCAGAAAGGATGTGGGCAGGTTTAGGTTGACGAGGGTGGTGGAAATCGAACATATTTTCTAATGTGAGGCAAAATCTGGAGAAGTTAAATGGAGGACGTTTTGTTCGGGTGGGTACCGTTTTCGGAGTGACGACACGATGGTTTTTGATGGAATGCATTTTGAGGTTGAGTTGGTTTAGAAAGATTCCTGTAACGGGTGAGAGGAGAGTGAGTGGTTCACATGTCGGGTAAAAATCGTCAGCCAAGTGTCACAGGAAATATTTAGCAACTTGCATATAAAAATCTTAGAAATTCATGCAAGGAAAATTATGCAAGAAGTTGAGAACAAAAAATTTTCAAAAAGTGGATAACTTTTTTTATGCACAAAAATTAAAAACTTTCAAGAGACGTAATATTAATTAAAAATGTGCATAATATTTTGCATAAATGGATCACAATTTATCACATCAGACTAGTCGTGCACACTTGTCGCCTCCTTTCTCCTTGGAATTTTCCAGTTTTGCAATCCTGCTGCCAAACTGCATCGCTCTCTTGGGAAAGAGCGCCACGGAGGAGTGGTCGTCTCCAAAAAGGGTGAGGGCGGTGGCACGGAGTAGAATTTTATCCCCCAAACCGACATGCTTAAAAAGGGGGCAGCATTTCACCCACGTGGGAACCTCTCGAGCCAGGAAGTGAACGACGGCCTCGTCCAGAAATGGCATCCTGGGAGACAAGCCGTGATCAGAGAGCACCCTGCAAATGAAAATAAATTAGGATTCGTTCGATAATATTTGCATAATGAAGTGGACAATTTTATTTATTTATTAACCTATTGTCTCGTCCCATGTTCCGGATAGAAATTCGATCCAGGTCCATTTGCATTTCCGCCGTAAGACTGTCCCATCCTCCTCTTTCGTAAGCTGATTTGTGTCGACTGTACCCACCAAACAGTTCGTCGGCACCTATGGGAAAGGGTTACATTTTAGATTGTCGCCACTATAGTTCCGAACAGATCAGATAATTCAGATCAGATATCAGATCAGATCAGATAATTGTCAGATCAGATACCAAAAATATCTGATCTGATTAAAAAATCAGATAACAGATCAGATCAAATAGTCAGTCGTAAAATCAGATATCTGAACTGAATTTTTTTCAGATATCTGATATCTGTTCAGATATCTGGTTTTTAGTAATTTTCAGATTCAATCGAGTCAAAACTGCACTTATAATGTTTGTTAACGTGCAGCCATAATAAACTTGCAAATAGACCAAATTCTTGGTGTTTCCGTTGATTTAAATATCCAGAGTTCGAATAAAAATTTCGAATAATACAACTGAAATAATCACAAAAATTCTAGAGTTAGACTGAGGTGATCGGGTTATCTTAAAATCATCGAGGCAATTAACCACAAAATTCTGATGGTTTTACTTCAGATTAGTAACAGTCGTGATTTGCTAGAGGATATAATTATTTTGATGCTTGGGTAATTTAATGTAAAATTATTTTATGATATTTCAACCTCAAATAATAATATTCTTTAGTAGTAACTGCTTTACTATTCCTTTATCAATGTGTGAAAATAAAAGAAAAGAAAGCAAATAAATAATTTAACCTGAAATGTTTTTAGTAGTGTTTGCAATATTGACAATTTTATTTCAGATATCTGATATCTGAACAGATAAATCAGATATCTGAATGTTCAGATCAGATATGACATTTATCTGATCTGAAAATTTCAGATCAGATCAGATAACGATTTTGCATATCTGAAATTTTCAGATCAGATCAGATATCAGATCAGATACACGATTATCTGATCTGTTCGGAACTATAGTCGCCACCCCAAAAAAAGTCTATTTTATTATTACCCGATCCGAGAAGAACTGTCCTAACTGGGGACAAGTTGTTGTCCTTTCCTCCTCTACCCGCAAACCAGAGACAGCACCCGAGCGAGTCGTCAATCACACTCGTCAACGGGGAAATAAGGGTCTTGATCCTTTCACGGCGTTGGGTGACGACGTCCTCCTTCGTTTCGTCGATGAGGACAAGGTTGAGTCGTTTCTTGGGGAAAAGTGCTGTCAACATGGCGTAAGACTCGAGTCCGGTGATGCGATCGGGCGCAGTGGAGGATGTGAAGGAGACGTTGAGCAAGTCCAGACTGTCTTCGTAGTTGAGTTGTTCGGCTGCGAGATAGGCCAACACGGTCGAGTCGAGACCTCCTGAGAAGAGAATTCCGACTCGAGAATGGTGACAGGAAGTTGAGCAGGTTTTACAGTGTGGCGCAACAGCGGTGAGACGAAGATGAATGGCACGGCGGAGATGGGAGAGGAAGGAGGTGATGTACGGGGACAAAATGGTTGCAGCGTGGCGAAGGGTTTCGCCAGGAGGGAGATTTTTGGTCGAGAGATCGACGAGTTTAGCGAGAGTGGTATTGTCGTCGTCATGAGATTGGAGAAATGTAGTGTCGAAACTTTGGTGAATACTATGAGGAGAGTTATTTGGGATGAAGGTGAGGTCAAACTTGGACAAGAATTCTGCAAATTGGTCGAGATTTGCAGCGACATCGAGACGTTGATGGTTCAAAGGCTCGTGGTAAGGGAACAAGGTGACCGTCTGAGAGGATAGGTCAAGGCGGAAAATTCCCGTGGCAGGGATTTCGAAAAGGTCGGGAAATACAGAAACGGATGAAATGTGCCAGCTCAATTTTGAATTACTGCTGGAAAAGAGTAGACTCTGCCGTCCAAAAAAGTCGCGACCGAACCAAATTTCCCTTCCTTTCACGACCAAGATGAAGGCGAAGGGTCCGCGCAGATTGGAAATTACGGAGGTCAAATTCTCCTCAAACGAGGTGGAGAATTGTGTCAAGGCGTGAAAAAGAGCGAGTCCGTCGTTCGTCTTGGTAGGGTCGAAGGCTAGGTCGTTTTCGTAATTGTGAGCACCCGTAAAAGAGTAAATGTCCCCATTGAAGAGGAGATGGTACTCATTATCAATAGAGGAATATGGTTGTGGCGAAGGGCGGGGTCCTTGTGTCCAAAGAGTATAACCGGATAAGTGGACGTGGTGGTTGATATCATCATCGTCCGAGAAAATGTGAGAGGTTTCCCACGGAGGGGGAGAAGAAAGGTCAGGACCCCGACGGGCGTGCAGGGTAACCATGTCGTCAAGCAGGGAAGAGGACGAAATATCCTAATAGATAAGCATTAACAAAATTTTTAATACATTACAAAGTCTGAATTTCAGCTACAAACTGTAAAGTTTCTATTTGATATTTGTATTTGACAAGGAGCTCACATTTAAGTCACGACCCCGACAAATGTCGCATTGTTGTTGTGATGAATTGCCACCATTTCCGGTAGTGGAAATACTACAGCAAATTCCACACATTTAAAATTTAAACGCAAAGGAAAATATGTAAAATGTACACACGAAAGTGAACCGGTTCTTGTTTTTGTAAACTCTGCCGCCCAGAACATCCAAGATCTCATTGACTTTGTTCCACAACCAACGCTTACAACCTCACAAATGATATGAAAAAAGTGTCTCATACTCTTGGTTGGATAAGATTTTGAATAAATTAGGACTGATAACCATCTCATAAAGATAACCACATAATAATTATTTATTTATTTATAATATATATGATTTTCACAATCATCAATTTCCATCATCTTATGACTCACAGTACTGTAATTCTTTCGTTCTCCTCGGGTTTCTCCCAACACAGTTTACAATAGTGGCACAGGGATCACAATTCTTTTCGAAATTATACGTAAACAAGGAGGTGGTGGTTTATTAACACGTCATAATAACTAATAATTAACAAGTAACTTAACAAATGGTTAACAATCTGTTATACAAAGTTCTATAGCTTGAATTAAATAATAAGGATAGAAAAGTAAAGAACGAGGAGAAACCCAGGAGGAGGAGGACGAGAAGAAGTTCGAGCACCGTGATCTTATTATGAATGATCCCACCAGTTCAAGTTCAGGTAACAACACAGCCTCTTTTCTTATTCATATCGTGTCCTAAAAGGTTTAGTTATTATATTATTATTAAACGCGTTATTTTCACTAAGGACGTCCAAATTCGGGAACGTTTCCACTTCCAAAGTTAAAAGTTTGGGGGACAGCTTGCGGTCGGAATTCGAATCCTTTGGACAAAATTAGCAAAATTAAAATTATAGTAAGTTTTTAATGCAAAATTTGTAATCAAGTTTTTCTCACCTCCACGTTTCTGGATTTCTTTACTCTGTGCTGCCGCTTTTCGCTGATCTGCCAACGTAAAAATTTCTTGCATAGATTTTCTCTGGTCTTCGTTTAAATTGGTGGTCAACAAGTTGTACCACTCGGGCTCGCGTTGTTGTAAAGCTGTAAAATTATAAGGTTTTAAATTTCTGGGGAAAGTTTAGAGTGAAATTGTTGAGAAATCCTGATTTTTATTTTATTACCGATGAGAACTTCTTTGAATATGATGTACTCGTCGACGTTAGACTCCTCGTCGTCCAACGGCGTGGCATAGCACTCTAGTGGAGTTTCCTCCCCATCCGAGTAGTCGTCGTCGTCATCGTCATCTTCGTCATCCTGGGAAATTATAATAATAGTAATAATTAGTTCACCAATTTAGTTCACTAACTTAATGGTTTACTCACTCCTTGAATTTCTGCATTCATGGGGAACGGCGTTTTACTCTTGTTCAACTTTTCCTCCAGGGTTTCTAAATATTCGGCGGATTCTTCATCAATGTCGTCCTCATTGTCGCTCAGAGCTTCTAAACATTTTTATTAAACAAAGGGCACAATTTTAGTAAATAGAAAATAATATGAAATCAAGATTTAATGTGGCTGAGTTACCTTCGACTTCACACTCTTCATCTTCTTCCTCCTCTTCCGAATCAGAGTCCGCATTCTCGAGGGCTTTAGCTAATACAGAATAAAAATGTTTCGTAATTTAATTTTTTAAGAAAAATGAGGTGAATTTCTTACCCGCATAGGCTCTCTTGAGTCCGTCGAACAACAAAATGAGGGAAGGTAGGACTTCTTTCGAGCATTCTTGCAGCGCCATGGGTTTATTCGGACTCTGTAAGGAAAATGAGGATACAAATTGAATGGCGCAAAATCCACAGAAATTTTGACGTTTTTCTTTCACTCGACTCACCTGAATGAGCGCACAGAGTCCGAGAACGCAGATCTTTCTATCATGCAGACCCAAAAAGCAGTCCGTGTCGTTGATCCACTGCTTTACAAAGGCGTCCATCCCACTCACGACGACACTCTGGGTGAGGCTGAGGTCATGATAGAGAGATGCGACGACGACCTGTTGTGACCCGACAAAAAATGATGCTAACACTGCACTACATGCTGATAAGTGTGCTATTAGTTTCTACTACGCACCTGGAGACACATTGTTCTCAACTCGGATGTCTTGATAGGTCTGTTGAGCCGTTCGAGGGCGAGTTGTAAGAGGGACGGGATCACCGGCTGAATCTTCCCACGACACTGCAGGATCAAGACTTCGATGAGCTTTGCGGCATGACTTTCGGCATCTTCTCCAACGTCGGCATCGTCCAGGAGAACCTTCTTTATTATGGAGCAAACCGCAATGAGACGGTTCTCGTCGGAGAGGAACGCGTCAGTATCGACCGTGATGTAGTTGTGCAAGGTGGGCATCATTTCAACAAAGTAGTCCGTTCCGTCACGCTCAATCACACTGGAAAACCAATGCAAAGATTAGTGATGGCTCATGTGGTAAACTAATTAGAAATGGATGGAAATATAAACATACTAGAGTAAAAATATTTTGTAAAATTACCGGTACAGCCCCCCAAAAACCTGCCACATTGCAGGGGAGATTTGTTTCTCTGTGAGGGAGGCGATGAGGGAGAAGGCCTCCTCGTAAAATTCCATGATGGACTGTTCCAAAATAAGCATGACAACCTGGAGAAGGACGGGCTCCAGCTTTAAGCAAACTTCGGGTTGTTCCTCCATTACTACGAGTACCGTTTCCATCGTGTTGAGCAGTCCCATGGCTACAATCGTCTTCTCGCTGTCGTCAATGGTGGCAGTCGACTCCATTATTTGTTGGAAAGTGGAAGACAAGTGGACACAGATTTCGTGCGCGATTTGCGCCACGTCTTCCACGAAGGCGCAAACAATCTTTTGCAGCACGTTGGTCAGGTCGTCGTTCTCGGTGGAGCGAAGCATTTGGAGTAGTTCTAGTGTGACTGGGCGAATTTGTGGTTGGATGAGGGCATGAGTGCGGTGCTGGTCTTGGATGAAAGCTTCCAGTCCGAAAGCCGCCTCCACTTTGACGGGCAATTCCTCCTCCTTGGATAAAACGGCTTTGATGAGGAGACGCAAACATTCAGTGAGGACTTCTTCTCGCGAGAATTTTAGGGTAGAAAGGCGCTGCATGAGCCAAGCGGCGCGAGCCCTGTGGAGAGACGGAACGGAGCACATTCGAATTATTAATTTATCAATTCCTTTAGGTAAATAGTTTGAAAATATTAGACGCACCGAATGAATGGGAAGGGAGCATCCATTGAAGGGAAGACGAATCGGATGATAACGTCATCAAAGGCATCCTTATATGCATCCTTTTTGAGGAGAATGTCCGCAATCGCGCCGACCATATGGAGCGCACCGTCCTTCTGCTGTGGCGTAGAGTTTGGCTCGTTGAGAACCTGCGTCACGAGAGCGATACACTTTGGAAGGACGCCCTTCCTCTTTTTACACATCGTATTGAGCAACTGCTCCCCACAGTTGACGGCAGAATCCTCTTCCAACGACTCGCCATACTTGGTTCGAATGTACTCAACGGGATCGTCTTTCCACATGGTCTCATCCGCCTCGGAATGGCACATGAGGGGAAAAATCACATCTGACAGCATCGTGTTCGCGTGGGGTTTGATGTACTTCCATGAGTGCGCATGGCTCACGGCGTTCTAAACGGGAACATGGAATTTATTTAATCATGGCGAAATCATTAATTTTGTAACGTTTCCTACCTTCAAGTAGAGGATGCCGTCTCGCATGACCTTTTCCGCAACGAAATTTCCCCTTCTGTACGTTTCCATGATTTTGAAGACGACTTGAATAGCTCCCTCAGAGAAGTTTGAGAGGTAATATGTGGCAAAGTCTTTATATTCCTTGGTCACACCGCCAGGAGAACCGTACCGCTCAAACATCCGGTATAAAATGCGCATCGCCCACTTTTTAGTCTTCCACCACTCGTTCGATTCCAACTCCTCGCGATCCTCATCGTCCACTGGCTTCTTTTCCATCTCCGGGTTCGTTCTAAATTGATTGACTCTTAGTTTGACCTCCTTTTATGCGTATATGACCTCACACTACTCACCTGTCGAGAACTTGTCTAACTAGCTCCATCCACTGTTGAAACCTGACCCATTGTCCTTTTTCGCCGAGAAGGGCGAGTGGGAGGTGGTGCTGAGTGAGGGCGTAGAACGACTTGAGGACGAGACGCTGCATCATGAGAGCTTGAGGGGAATGATCAGGGAGAAGACCGACCATGATTTGCTGCACAAGAGGGAGAAGGAGATTCATCGCCTCGTCCAGTGCCACCCGCTCGTCGCCTTTCCTATATTCGAAAACCTGTCAAAAGCAGATAATTAATTAGTTTGTAAAATTAATTTAAAGAGGAAAATCTATGTTTCAAACCTTAACAAGGGCACGCAACCCGCTCAACGCTCCCGGCCATCCCGCTGCGTCCGGAGATTGTAAATAGATTACGATCTTATCGACAAGGGAGGTCCACCGGGTGGGGAAGTCTTGTTTGCACACGTATCCGATGCACTCGCAAAGTTGGGATCGGATAATTGTTGGGGCGTGAACGGCAGCATCGACGAGGGCGTCACGAATGACAGCGCGGTCCTGTTCATGAATGTGGAAACGGGTCGTGTCCTCTTCGTCCTCTGACCACGACTTGAACATCATATTTTTTAAGTAAATCACACCCGCTTGGCGGATCGGCATCTCGACCTCGTTTGACATGACGATTTGGAGGAGGGCGGGTGCCACGCCGATGATCTTTTCAATCTGTTAATTAAAGTTTCATTATTTGTCAGTTAATTAATTTAATTAGTGATGATGATGAAGTTAATAATTGACCTGTTTGAGTTGCTCTTCCGCTGCGGCACGTTGATTCGGGTCAATCGTCGCGCGGAGGAGTTCTGCCATCTTTCGCATGTCCATTTTTATAAGGATTTTTAATTATTTAGGTAAACAGAATGAGAAGTTTGGTGGGGGTGGCCCTCTTGATATCGACAATTCCAATCCTGCAGAGATTTTTTGGTTGATTTCCTTCACTCGAATAATCTGAAAATATATTAAAATGGCTTTATTTATTAATTAGTGAATAAGATGACCACTACTTTGTTTGTAGAAAGAAAGAATGGAGAAAGTTTATGACATCAGCTTAACGTCAATTAAATTCACATTTAAAAATACTTAATTTTGACCAAGAAGATCTGAGAAATAGTTAACTAATTAATTAATACGGATAACTACCCAATAATTGCTTATCTAAAAATATTTCTTTCTTTCCAACCGGAAATCATGTAGGTACTTTGAGACAAAGGAAGGAAAAAGGGTGCCTCTGCAAATGACTCTTGCAAGCTAGACAGACTGTCCGTGATTATATAAGTGCTTACCTTTTCTTCTATCCTTTCCGATGCTGATAAGTGGTTATCTTGATATTTTCGAAATTTCCGATACTCCAGACTAGTCCAGCCAGCGATAAAGAGAGAGAGAGAGAGACAGGAGGCGAGGAAGAGAGTGATTCAATCTGTGAGAGTGGGTGAGTGGGAATCATGCTGCACGATTCTGCAGGGAGGGCGCAATCTCTGGAGGCACGACTCATCGCAAACTCTATGACTTCGACTACCCCCGTGATCACCAAAGGTCAGAGTCCATCTGCAAATATTATGCAAATATTATGCAAACTTTTCATACCACATGATCATAACCGCACCCACTCATCAGTTTAATTAATTAAGTGTGGTGACTAATTTTTGCATCTAAATCTTGGAGAGGGAGTCAGAATTCGGGAGAATGCAGTGATTTTGTTTTGGTAACCTCGCAGGTCAGAGTCCATCTCTTCTTATGCAAATATTATGCAAATTTTTCATGACATGCCGTCACTTATCAGCTTAATTAAATAAATGTGATGACTGATTTTGCATTTAAATCTTGGAGTGAGTCTTATTAGAATTCGCAATGATTTTGTCGGTATTGACCTGACCACCCCCTCCCCCCTCCGACTAAACAGGAAGAAGAAACCTATGCACAAGTGTAGTTGTCTTCTAGTCAATTCATTTGAATTCCCAACAATCATGTGCAGACAACTAACCTAACGCAAAATGAAGTAAAGCGTAAAAATGTGACCACTTTGACCACGCTGTGTTTTTCATGAATATGTATGCAGTTAGCTAGTTAGTGTTGTGACCTCCTATATCTCTTGGTGAAGGAAGGAAGCCAGGTAGGTTCTTCATGTGTTCTTACGAATCAAATATTTGCATAACAATAAGTTATGCAACCTATTTAATTTTTTGAATCATCTCATATCGCACCGCACGAATTGTGTCGCGACCTCATCCACTCCACCAAATTGTAAAAGTCTCTCTCCACATTCGCTGCTTTTCGACTTGTCATGATGGTTGACGAATCTCGACTCACTTTTAGCCGTTGTCTATGTGCCAAAATGAGGATGGGAGTGGGGGATGATGATTAGGAGGGCGATAAAAATAAAAAGTGAGACCGTGTTCCTCTGCAGTCTTAGAAAGGGATTCGAGCCAAGTAGCGTATGTACATAGATAGGTGACTTGTCGTCAAGAAATTGGTCATCAGCGTTAATAATCTCGCATTTGTGTACGCTTTCCTTTTCTTCTTGTCATTGGAGAGGATTAAGTTATCATTGTGTAATAAACCAACTACTTCCTGTGCGTATTTGTCATTCATTGTGCGTGTCTGGTTGAATAAGTCGAGTTGATTGATAAACTGTGGATAAAAGTTGAGATTAAAGAAAGTGATGGCTTTGGTGAATTTGGTATGTTTGGTTGTGGTGGGTGTGGTACTGGAGGTGGCGTCTCTTCCGGCGGGGGTGAAATACCCGACTGGAAAACGGATCCAAATTCCGTCCTCATTTGCAAAATCGTACTGGGTTGGAGGATCAGCCTTTACGAGAGATAACTTCAAAGGTGAGACGATTTCAGGGAAAACTGAGATTTTGAGGAGTATTAAGATTTTCGGGGAAATTGAGACTTGGAATTGTGAGAATATTGAGATTTTTGAGAGTTGAGATTTTTGTAAAATGTCGAAATGTTAGAGATTTTTGACATAATTGAGATTTGAAAAGTCTATTAATTTTGATAGGAAACTGAAATTATCTAGTACGATCTGAAGAAAAGCAAGTACTAAATTTTGTTTTCTCCTCCCGATTGAGATTACTTTTAGCAATTTTAATTTTAGCCAAGATTGCAGATTTTTAAATCAGAATTAGGTCAATAATTAATTTATTTGATGCATATTTTCTAACCGCAGGTTTACCCCTCTCATTTTACACTCCCGAACCAAAGTGCACCAACTTGACTCCCGACACGAAAAAGTCGCTGATTACCAAGACTGAGTCCGGAACCGGAAGCGTCGCCGACTGTGTTCTCCTCTACAAGGCGAAAAACTGCGAGGGAGCTTACATCATGGGCCATCACTTGGAGGACGCCATCCCCGACATCTTCCGTGCCGAGGATATCGCCTCTGTGAAAGCCTGCCCCCCAACCGACGACGCCTGGCGAGGTCAACAAGGTCAAGCCGAGGTCAGAACGCCGATCCTCGAATACGTCGACCCTGCCCAGTATGAAGAACTCCTCGAAACAGCCGCGGACCCTCGGGAGGACGCCCCCTTTTACAAAACTGTCGATTTAGGCGGAAGGTCGTAGGATTTCGTCGAGGTGTAAAAATAAGTCAGTACTGCCACCAATTTGTTCTGTCGAAATGAGGGCAGAATTAAAAATAGTTCTTAATTAAATAGGTTTGTTAAGGGTGTGGTCGTGAAAATGATAAATAAAGACTACAGTAAAGAATTGTTGTTGAAATTTGGCCCATTTTTTGTGGCATTTGACATAATTTTATGGCGACTTGCATAGTACATAAGTGCATATGGGGATTTTGTGTGTGCTTATACGTAACTCGTTTTCCCTTTCGATTTCATGACAGGATTCGTGTCAATGGTGTAGTAAAGTGCATAAATATGTTATTATGTTAGTGAATCTCGTCTCATCTTGCCTCCCAAACCGGAAATCTTTCCCATCTCTGCATTGCTGACAAGTATCTTGTCGAATCGGGGTATATGTAGTTTTGAATAGCTTGCGTGATGCCATAATAATAGCCTTGTACACATGTACATATTGACATAAGGAATCATTTAGGGAGCCATATGTTGCAGAAATTGTGACCACGGTTGTCCCTTTGTTTGAACGAAATTTTAGAAACTGAGCCAAATTATAATTTAATATACGTCGTGTTATTATTAACCATTTTCCAACATGTGACAGTTGGTAGTCAGATATCTTGTCGTGCGTAGTTGAGAAGATATTTATAGCTTGAATGTTACTTAATTGTTATGCTTTTGTGTTGTGGTTGCATGAAGAAATAACAATAAGAATAGAATCGACTGTCCCCTCTCATTCACTTATTGCCTCCCCACTTACTTTTTTTCCTGTCTGACCAGAATGCAATGAAATGGCAGGCAGGAAAGAAGACATTGAATGACAGAACAAATTCATGCATGCGAATTCATTGTGGTCACGAATGAAATCAAATCAATAATATGAAGCCAATAAATTTGTATCAATCGACAAATCTGATCTCTTATATCATCCTCACGTTGTGGATAGAAATGCAATGTTATTAAAGCTATCCGTTACGCATACATAAATTAATTAAAGGAGAAAGTATATAAAAATAGTTATGAGTGTCAAAACGGTTGATTGGAATCGATGCGATGATTATTATCAATTCGTCCACGTCCCTGCAATCTCGTGTGACAGATCGTGGTCAAAAATCGAATCGATAACAGAAGAGTCGTCGTGACGTGACATAAATGATGGATCAAGTCGTGTCGAAAATTGTGAGTGGTGACAATTTGGCGACAACGTCAGTGCGTCTTTTTATCCTAATCACGGTCGTGGCGACGGCAGCGTCGGGAGGATTGAGGCAACCGTACGGTCGTGTGGGGACAGAGTTGGGGGATTATCGGTTGGCAAACGGGGAGCCGTTTGTTACATTGTATGAGCATGAGAACTTTCGAGGTGAGATATTTAAATTGAGATAAGTAAATGGTTAGATAAGATTTTGAAGGGGTGAACTATGTAATTTCCAGGCAAGATATTTCGCCAACGGGTTCGCCGAGAATGTTCCAACTTGCCGTTTCGATATCTGGATTGGAGTTCCAGCGTGGCGTTGCATGGGCGTTGGTGAGTTAATTAATGTAGTAACAATTTGTTACCGCATTATTTTCAGTGTGGTAATTAAGGTTATTAATTTCTTAATTGTTCTGAATTATTAGTGTGACCATGTGTAGCGAGAGGAATTGTGGGGGGACTTGTGTAAATTTGTACCCAGACGGTGAGCAAGGGGACAAGGGCGTCAAACGGTTGAACAATCTCGGAATCAATGATCGCGGTCGATCCGTCAAGTTCTGTTATCAACAAAAGTTTCAAAAATTCTAAGAAAAACAAAAAATTCCTGAAAATGGATAAGCGAAGAATTTTGGATTCTTAAGACTTATTTTCTTTTGAATCGAGGATTGAATTGTGTGGTTTTAGCTTATTTTTTCGAGTTTTTAGTTACAGGTTTTTAGTCATAAGAGAAAGTTTGTAAATAGTTTGATGTCAATATGTGACATGACATAATGTTAGTTTTGAGTTCCTCGTTGATTTTTTATGGGTTATTGTTGCATGATGTAGTTCATATCCGGTTGTAATTGAAGACTGATTATGGTAGATGTGTAGTAGTAGTAGTAAAATTTTAAGATGTGTAGTTAGTCGTTGGTGATGGTAGGGAAGTCACGTTTTTTGGTGGTATAGATAGATGGGGGACGCCGTATGACATGGTACTACTGGTTTTGGGTTACTATTTATCATCACCGTGTAGCGTGTGGCTGCTTATTGTGCTCGTGGCGTCACTTTTTTTATCCAAAGTTTAAAACTTTTTTTACGGCTTGGTTACATATTCCTTATTCTAATGGTGAGTGGTTAATGTGTAATTATGTTGTTGCTTTTTCTCCTGGTTAGTTAGTTACTTAATTGCGTGTATACATATGTGCTAGTCTTCTGCTGCTGTAATAATTAATAATAAAGAAGCGATGATGGAAATTGACTTGAAAAAAGGTCCTGGCATAATTTGGATGGTTTTGATGATTTTGTTGGCAGGAGATAATTTCTTCCTGTCGCCGCTTCCTTCCTTTTTGGCTTATTAACCTATGTATGTCCTCGTTATTAAAAGGTATGTATCCCCAATTTTTGCTAGCTCCCCAATAAATAAATACTTGTAATTTTGGCGAAATGTTGGACCAGATTATTTATTTATTCGTTTCATGAAAAGTGAGCAGTTGAGTTTATTTCGTTAGTTGGTACGAGTTGTGTCGTAAATTCTGAGAAATTGCAGTTGAATCTAAATATTCATAGGTTTTTGAGATAATAAATTTAACAAGAAAGTCAAATTCAGAGTTAAAGACTGCAAAAAAATCGGGAAAAATCATAATTTCGGTTAATTTTGGTTTCAAACCTTGTTTCATGAAAGGTGATTGGACCGACTTGATTCCGTTTGTGCAGATTAATTACATTACTTTTTCACCGTATTGAGGAGATTTTCAGTTGATACGAAAATAAGAACGTCTTTAGAGATAAATTAAATTCTGAGTAAAAGACTGCAAAATAGAATCGGGAAAATCGTAATTTCGATAAATTTTGGTTTAAAACCATGTTTCATGAAAACTGATTGTGCAGATTTATTAGATTCCTTATTAACCGTTTGGCATGCAAAGAGTTGTATTTATATGTCTTGAACCATTTTATCTATTCAGTTTTTGGGGATAATAAAGTTGTTAGAAAAACTTAAATTCGGAGTAAAGACTGCAAAAAAAATCGGGAACAATTTCAATTTCGATCAATTTTGGTTCTCAACCTTGTGCGATGAAGATTCCATTACTATTTTCATACTGGACCGACGCCCTCCTTCTTTTGGGCGTGCTCCTCTCCATCTTTTCCGTGGGTGTGGTCACCTCGGGAAAAATCTTGGCGAATGCGCCCCACGTGGAGTTGGACGATTACAGGCTGGGATCCACCCGCGGCCTGGGCGACCCTTACGTCATCCTCTACGAGCGAGAAAACTATAAAGGTTTACTAAATATTTTTTATTTCGGAAATTTTAAGTGGGAATAAAATTATTTTTATATTTTTTTTTGTAAATAAAAGGACGCGTCCACTATCACCGGTTGGCGAAGAAGGGTTGTACGAATGTGGCGGCGTCTCATGCCAATTGGGCATCTTCGATTGATCTGCAGCGTCACTGTGTCAAATTGTGTGACGGGGTGGACTGCGGGGGGAGGTGCGTGATGGCGGTGGAGGATCAGGCCCCCAGGGCGGCGAGGGGGGTGGGACAACTGGCCAAAATCGGGCTTAACGATGCCGTCAAGTCGGTCAAGTTCTGCTTCTCGTGACGAAAAAAGGGGTCGAAGTTGCTAGTTTTTGTTTGATTTTGGTTGTTTTTTATGTCGATTATTTTTGTAACTGTGAGATTATCTAATTGATTAATTTGTTTGTGTTCCTATTTTACGCCTTACTTAATTTACTGATTGATTAGTTGAGTGATTTTTTTTATTAAAATGAGTCCAATCGGTACACGCGTTGTTGGTGAATTGAATGACAAAGTGCGTTTTCGATGCAGAGTTGTTTGGTGACTTTTTATTTTTTGCTGTGCTGGCCAAACTGCATTTCCTGTCGATTGCTTCCTGTGGATTGACACATTAAACTTAATTATGAATTGGTCGTATGTAGATTTGTTTACACTTTCCTTCCTTGCTTATCCCCTTCAAAAGGATGAGATGCATGTGCAATATGTAAATTTACACCCATCATCGCCCCTTCAATTTTGTGCGTAAGAGTCACAAAATAAATTGTCAATTGATTCATTTTTGCATCATTATTCGTACTCGGATCTCAATACATCTCAGAATTTGGTTTGTTACGGTTGCCGATCTCATCGGGACAAATTGGACGTTAAAATTGCACAATTTTTGCATAAATCTGAGGTAAGATGAGACCGGTAATGACCAGCAGCCTTATCATTGTGCAGCTGATAAGTGTCGTCGTGAGTGGAATGAGATCGGAAAAGTCAGTCCTATTCCTGGTAGCACAACCACCAAAAATCCCACTTCCCGTGTCAGCAACGCCATTCGTGACGTTCTATGGGGACGAGTTGTTTCGAGGTAAGTATGATAAGTAACTTATCATTGACATGGGTGTGACCTTATCCGTGCCGTGTTATCTTTAGGGAAGTATTATCATCACTACTTGAAAGGAGAGTGTACCAATCTGCCCTCGACGTACGATAACTGGGCGTCATCCGTGGATACGTACGACCGCTGCGTGTATCTCTGCGACGCCAAGGATTGCGGTGGCCAGTGTAAACGGGTCCATGGTCAGACGGTGGATAGATTGACGCCGTTCCGACTCAACGATAAGGTCTCGTCAGTCAAGTTTTGTTATACGTTTGCGCAGCGGGGGTAAATACGAAGGGGGAATAAAGTTATTGTTTTTTGTAAATGTTTTAGTTATTTGTTGTGTGACGCCAAATAAAAATTTTTAAAAAAATTGTGAGGCATGTTTTGAAATTATGATTTTAGTTATTTTTTTTTAACTGTAACTGACAAACAAATTGGTATCTGCATGAACTGTGTAAATACTTGTCTGTTGTTTTATATTTTGTGACGTCAAATTTGATCAACAAAATCATAAAAAATTTATAGCGGTGGTTCATTTTGAATTATTTTTTTTTCAATTATGAAAATTTTAATTGGATTTTTTTTATACTGAGAATTTTGTTGTTCGAAATTTTGTAAATTATTTCCCCACAGTTGTAACATTCGATCACTCTGAATTTCTGAAAATAGACCGCAAAACATTTGCCGACGACTTGTGGTGCTTGGCTTCTAATTTTGCCTTTTGTTTCTGAATGACTTCAGCCCTGTGGGGGTCGAATTTGTTGTTTTCTCGCTCCCAAGCGGGATCGGAAGGGTGCGAGAGGTAGGTCGAGTAGGACCTCGTGTCCGTGTCGAATAAGGCGAGAAAGGTCATCATGGCCTTATCTGTGGGTAAGCATTCTCCAATGGCTTGCAAAAGAAGGGGGTCGTGTTGCACTGCGAGGCGAAAATCACCAAATTTTATTGACCCATCGCGATCTAGGTCCAATTTTCGCATCGCCAGCTCCACCATTTCTCGAGAACCTTCCTCCAAGTCGAAGTCAAGGTCGACGCCGGGTACGTTGTGAAGACAGCCGCGTAGGCAGGATGTCAACTCTTCGCGACCGATGGCTTGGTCGGCTTTAAGCAGTTAATTGTATCGATAATTACCAGTTTTTGCGAAATAATTTGCATAATTGCATATTTTTGCGTAATTCTCTTCCTCACTTACCATTGACGTCGTAAACTTCGTAAGCATAGGAAATTTGTTCGTCAAGCGTGCCTTTGAGCATGACTGAGAGACCGAGAACCCATTCTGTGTCAGATACCTAGTAAAAGTTTCAATTTACATACGTCACTAATTTGCATATCATGACGTATTTCCATACACTGCCTTCATTGTCGCCATCAAAGCTGGCAAATATCCTGTCGAGCATCAAATCGCTGGTGAGACCGAGTGTGGAGTGAAGCGTTTCACGAAATCTGAGCCGATCCATGGTCCCCGTGACGTCACTAATTTTGCGAAAGATTTCCAACAGGGCGCGGATCTGGTCGGGCTCAAAGTGCGTTTTTCGAGCGAGAAAGTGTATCTTTCGGGATAAATTGGATTTCGCCAGGTTGCGTTGTTCCACCGCTTTCAATTCGGTCCGCGTCTTCTTTCCGATCAAGGGCACCGTTTTCTTACGTTCGGCCATGGCGACATTTTTGCCGGACTTATTTTGAAGTGGGGACGGAGGGGGAAGAAATGTGGTGGAGTCATCGTCAGTCAGGTGGATGTTGACATGGACGTGACCAGGACCAATGGCGATGGAGGAGGCTTGACTGGTTGAAATGCGACCGGAAATGGAGGGCACTTGGTCATGCGGAGAAGTGCTGGTCCTGTTGTGAACTTGCAGTTGGGTGGCCCTTTTTGACCCGTGGTGGCTGAGTGGGTGGAGGTTTCGGCTGTGAGTGTTTGACGGTGGGTGGTTGTATTTCATTAATTTGTTCACTTTTTGTTGGTGGTTCTTCCACATGGTTTTGAATTTTGGGGATTTTTAGAATTACAAGTACTAAAATTTTGGGCCTGATTTGTACAAGAATTTAGCGCTTGGTAAAATTAGTAATTTATAATTTTGAGTAGGATTTTTCGAATTGTGTTGATACAAATAAATAATTTTGAAAATTTTGAAACGTTTTGTGTCGAAATTTTGCTGCAATAAGTTGCCAAGTATTAAATCTTAAATATCTTTTGATCTGCGGCATCAAAATTTTAATTGCACCATTATATTTTTACGGATTCTGCATATAAATCTTTAATTGACAAGAAATCAGAATATTTACAAATTTGGGATATATTTTAATCAAGCGAAAAAAATGGGGAAAAATTTGGTAAGTTTTTGTGCTCTGAAAATTACATTTCGTTTTGCAATTTTACAATCTGAGATTGCTCGTACTTTTTATACCAGAGTAAAAATGGAGATTTGGCTGAGAATCATGTACATGACCCGTCCATGTCCGTCGAACCGAGTGACGATGAAAGCATTTCCCGTCCTTCGACATGTTCCTTTCGTGCTGATTCGAAAAGTATGGGTGATGATGACGCCGGAAAAGATGATTTTTTGGTGGATGAACAAGTTGAAGATGTTACTGTAACGAAGCCGGGATTGGTCTCGTCGTCACCGGAAGTGATAGATCTTGTCGATGGTGAAGAGAAAGTTATTGGAGACGAAAATCTCACTTTTCCCAACCTTGGAGTCATCCCCTCCTTCGTTTTGGTTAATTCTCGTCGGAGCAGCAGTAGCACCTTTAACAAGACCATAGCGAAGGCAGCATCACGAACTGATAATGACCACGATGCACAAGATTTTAGTACCGAGAGATATCTTGGGGATTGTCATAAATCCAACTCATCTATGACCCAGCTTGACGTAATTTTTCCAGGGAGGTCAAATCAAGGTGACGGCAAGAAAGCCCACGCCATATCGGAAGAAGTCTCTGAAGAAGAAGGAGATGCGTCAGGGTATCCAATTCCACGACTCAATTTCAGAAATTGTGAGGATCCCTTGTTCAGAAATGAGGGGCAGGGTCACAGGTCAACAAATGGAGATGGTGACACCCTTATCAAGCCAGGAAATAGTGGAGAGAAGTTTATTATTGGTCAAAATTGTCGGGGAGATGACGGAATTTTAAACGAGATGAAAAAGACGCATAGTTTTATTATTCCCCAAATCGAACTGACCGTCGCAACAGCAACAGTGCCCACGAAACCACCAATCCCATCCACCAAACCTGTCGACAACGATGCCACAAGTTCTTATTCGTCGTACTCCACGTCCTCCTCGTCATCTCCCAATCCCGTCGACCCCAAGAAGAAACTCGTTGTCCGTGGTTTGAAGAAATTCGTGTCCACACGCGGAGGTCACACGCATCCGCCCTCCTGGGTTCGCGACTTCCCCATCAAGTCGAAATACCACGTGGACAACTACCTCTGCGGAGAAGAGGGTGACGCCACCACCACCATAAAACCGGAAGTCAAGCAAAATTTTCATCCTGGTCGTCGAAGTGGGCGCTGCACGACGTGTGGGATCTTTTCCGTCGACACGTGTCGTTGTTGTCGCAAGTGCCAGTACGACTGTGCTTGTCCAACACCACCCAAAAAGTTGCCGGACGTCATGGCGCAAGCGTTTGGTGGAGGATGGATCCAGGCACAAAAGGTCATCGCAGAAATGGCGGATGGAGGAAGGCAGGTTTGTTGTCCTCGCCAACCGGAAGTGAGTGGTGAGGATGAGGAGTTGACGCGAAGAGAGAAGCGAGCCCCCATCGGGAGGACTACGTATCCACCCCATTTGCAAAGCCAGGTCGACGTGCTCAATCCGACAAGAGAGGTCAAGATGATGATGTCACCACAACCACAAGCGGCCGAAATTATGATGCAACGACCTCCATCCTATAATAACTACCCGCCTCCTCCCTGCTACCCACCTCCACAAATGCCCGGGTATTATCCACCCCCACCCATGTACCAACCATTCCCTCAACCATTCTACTACCCTCCTCCACCACCACCACCGCAAATGTATCCTTACTATAATCCAACCCCACCAAATTATTATAATCCTTATCCACCTGAACCTCCACACGGCTACTATCGATAAAAAGTCACATAATGGTAATCTGTATATACTAGTAAGATGAGCCAATGAATGATAAGCTACTATGCAATTTAATACAATTATCCCGAAAAAACATGAAGTAATAAATAGCACAAGCACAAGTAAACCAATTTCATTTCGTACGGAGCAATTTAGAGATTTGTATTATCATCACAACGCATTATTAGTTTTACAAATAAAAGTGATCACTCTGAGATATTTAGTTTCGGGTTATCAACATGATAAAGGGAAGAACTTCCGGTGAGAGAGATTAGGCCACGACGTTATTGTTCGCGTCTCCTCCCGTCGTAATATTGGGGTCCACCTTTTCTTGCGCTACCTCCTTCTTCTCCTTGATCTCTTCGGCGTAACTGCCCTCCGTCTCCTCGTCCCCTTCGGCATACGAATCCCCAAACTCTGGCTCATTGACGGCATCCTGATACTGCTGGTACTCGGCGATAAGGTCGTGAATGTCAGACTCTGCCTCGGTGAACTCGAGTTCGTCCATCCCCTCGCCCGTGTACCAATGGATGTACGCCTTCCGACGAAACATGGTTGCAAAATTGTCCGTAATCCGCTTGAACACTTGCTGCATCGCGGTCGAATTTCCGATAAACGTGGCGCTCATGGCGAGTCCCGTGGGAGGAATGTCACACACGGCGACCTTGATGTTATTCGGGATCCATTCCACGAAGAGGGGCGAGTGCTTGTTCTGCGCGGCCAGCATGGTTTCGTCCACCTCCTTCATGGACAGCCGGCCGCGAAAGATGGTCGCGACGGTGAGATATTTGCCTTGTCGCGGATCGCAAGCGGTCATCATGTTGCGAGCGTCGAAAAGTTGGTTCGTCAGTTCGGCGACGGTGAGGTTTTCGTAGGCCTTGGAGGCTGGCGAACAGAGTGGGGCGTATCCTGGCATGAAAAAGTGGAGGCGAGGGAAAGGAACCATGTTCACGGCGAGTTTACGCAGGTCGGCATTGAGCTGGCCGGGGAAACGGAGGCAGGTCGTAAGGCCAGACCTTAAAACATGCATAATGAGTGATGAGATTGTTAAGATAAGTTGTTATCGATGGGTATTTATTTAGTTATTTATGCTCACATAGTTTGGGAGACGATATGGTTGAGGTCTTTGTAGGAAGGGGAGGCTATTTTCAGAGTTCGGAAACAAATATCGTACAGGGCCTCGTTATCGATGCAGAATACTTCGTCCGTTGATTCGAGAAGCTGGTGGATCGAGAGGGTCGCATTGTAGGGTTCAACAACCGTGTCAGATACCTAAATAAGTAAAAATAGTCATTAATAAATGTACTTATCATGAAATTTCTAGGTCGACTCGTGACCAGACCTTTGGCGACGGGATGACGCCAAAAGAGGAGATAATCCTGTCGGGAAATTCCTCCTTGAGTTTGGAGATGAGCAAAGTTCCGAGGCCCGAGCCAGTGCCTCCGCCGAGTGAGTGTGTGAGTTGGAAACCTTGAAGGCAGTCGCAGGCTTCAGACTCCTTGCGAACGACGTCCATTATTTCGTCGACCAATTCGGCGCCCTCCGTGTAGTGTCCTTTCGCCCAATTGTTGCCAGCACCGGATTGACCAAAAACGAAGTTGTCGGGGCGGAAGAGATGGCCAAGCGGTCCGGAGCGGATCGAGTCCATCGTTCCTGGCTCGAGATCGACAAGGATGGCGCGGGGGACGTATTTATTGGCTCCTATCAAAGATAAGGCAAAATTAAGATTACGAAAATCGAGGGAAGGAAGATGAAAGGTCAAAGGTTTTCTCAGGTCGTTATACCATTCGTCGTTTCGGCAAAGTAAACGTTGAGACGTTCAAGTTGGACGTCCTTGTCGCCACGGTAGGTGCCTTCCGTATCGAGACCATGCTCTTCAGAGATGGTTTCCCAAAACTAGACACATTTTTGAGGAATTTAATTATTGTGAGAAGATTTAAGAGATTTGACCTCTGCAGACGTTTACCTTTGTCCCGACTTGATTTCCGCACTGACCAACTTGAACGTGGAGAATTTCCCTCATGATGATAACCCAGATGATGTATGATAAGGTAAGGTAAGGTAAGTGGGTGTGGTTGATTGATAAGTGAAGAGACAAAAATGGAGAAAAAAAGTGCGAGGACGATGTGTCCGGGTCAAAATGTAAAAGTCAACTGAGCTCAAATTGCAATTTGTCGCATTTTTGCAAAAATTTGCGTCTGGTAAAAATCCGTTGGCAGGGCAATTTCTCCTTTATTACATTTTGCATTTATTGCGCCTATCGGGACCTTTTTTGCATGAAGTCAAGATTGCTTGACAATTTATCATAATACAAGGTTACGACAATTGCTTCGAGACAGGATTCTTCAATCACTAACGGCTACGGCCGGTGTTTCTGGGTTCGGCCGTAACTCGGAAAAAATGGAAATTTTCATTTTTTGAAAAGCTGGATATTATAATATCCAGCCTTGTGTACCCATGTGTCTGTCTGCCTGTCTGTTCATAAATTCATACTTTTACATAAACTGCTTGTGCGGCACAATTTTACTAACGTAGAAATTAAATAATAAATTAAAATACACAATAAAAATCTACAGTGCGTTCAGGAAGACTCCATAGCCGAGTCAGGGACAGAGTCCATTGCGTCAGAGTTCTAAATTTTTCTCCGAATTGGCCGACATAATGAGGGTATTCATTATTTCTTCGTATCTTTAGTATTCTTCGTATCGTAAAATAACTTACGACGCTTACGAGATTTTGTAAGCGTCGTAAGATTTTGTCATCGAAAATCACGTTACTACGCTTACGATTTTTACTAAACCTGACCCCTTGTTTCTTCTTCGTAAACTATTTTACGATACGATGGATACGAAGAAATAATGAATACCCTCAATACTACCAAACTCCTTGTTGTGGATAGCTAAATGTTTGTTAGATTTTCTATTATTTGGCATACAAATCTTTAACATCTTGAACTTCTAAAGCTGGGTGTGCTATCCAGAAGTGGTTTTTATCCCCCATATCAAATTTCAGATGAAATAATAACGTTTCAAAACGGTATGGGTGAGCCTCCAGGGTCACTCTGGTTGCACTTTTAACTTTAAATTCATTCATAAGAAGCCATTAAGTATCACCATGCCGGATTTCATGTTTTTAAAGCAATTTCTAAAAATCTGGATGGGTCACCCGTCACCCCATAGAGTCGCTCCAGATAAAAATTTTACCAATTTCATTCCATATTCTTCCATTAAGACACGTAAGCAACATTTCAGCTCGATATGACGATTTTGAGAAATCAGTAAATGCTATAGATAGTCAATCTACGTTGGGCATGATTGGTCAAGTGGTTGGTCGGTGGGGGTCATTTAACTAACAATGCGATAACGCCAGCGGTCTCGCTCCGATTTTGACGAAACCACGACAATTATGTAGCTTTAAAAAAATCATTAAACACGTGCTTCAGGATTTATCATAATGCCCAGTTTAAACGAAATTATGACGAAGTCAGTGAGCGAGAATTTTCATTTTTACTGTCAACTGTGAAATATTTCTCGCGAGGGAGGAAAGACGAAAGTACAGATTCCATCATACATAATTTTGTTTAAAATTTTTGGGCGTGACGTGGTTTTTTCCCTCGCACAAATTTTTAAATTATGATAAATTTTGAAAATTTTGAAAAATGTAACAAACCAGAAATTTTTGAAAAATTAAAAGTTTTTGAAAAGTTGATTTGTCTTGAGTTATGTGCAAAAAGGTTCTTTCATTTTTGAAGTCGGGTCAAAATTGGAAAAATTTACAGCATTTGAAAAAATCTTGACTTTGGCTGATTTTGGTACAACGACTTGCGCTAATTTCCTTGTGTGAACAATTTAAAATTGGTCAGGTCAAAATCGGAAAAAACCACTTCATTCCCACGCATTTTAAGTTTAAGCGAAATTCTGATGGAATCCGTAAGCGAGAATTTGTATTTATCTCCCTCGCTAGAAAAATGTCACGCAAAAATGGAAATTCTCGCTCATGGCCTTAAAAGGCCTAAAACAAATTTTGGTAAAAATGTTAACACGTTGTATGACATGCCTCAAATCTCGAAAGAATAATAAATAAAAATGTGTACGTAGAAATACTGTCATGCATAAATGAATTCTTAAAAAAAAGCTTAGGTGAGGCTTGCTTAAAAGAGGAAAACAAGCTGTTATCATCGTGTACTAAAATAATATGCGAAGTCAATGATCATCTCACGATTTATAATTTTTGGCAAATATAACAGCAAATTATATGCGTTTGGGACAATATACCTCGCCGTGGGCCGTGATTAAATGTTTGATATAAATATATCTTTTAATGATCATAGCTAAATTTGAACTATATTTAGCTATGATACGTATTGCAGTAATTAAACTTCGTTATTATTTGATTCTGTTATTTTTGATGACTTGCATGAATATGTTTCAAAAATCAGCCTACATATATTTGAAAAATTAAGTGTTCTGAACTATAATATTTTATATTATATATAACCCACACTTCGTAAATTTGATCAGCAAGCGATTATTAATAACGAAATTAACTAAATCCCGCATCATTCCGTATGAATTATTTATCGACATTGGACACTAATAAATTTTAAAATATATTTTAATTCTTCGTATCACAAACTGGCCCACGGCGAGGCAAATTGTCCCAAACGCATATAATTTGCTGTTATATTTGCCAAAAATTATAAATCGTGAGATGAGCATTGACTTCGCATATTATTTTAGTACACGATGATAACAGCTTGTTTTCCTCTTTTAAGCAAGCCTCACCTAAGCTTTTTTTTAAGAATTCATTTATTTTTTTGTTTTTAAGCCTAAAAATAAGAGTCCCTCCCAAATTCACTTCACCATCCCCTATGGTATAGATGCATTGCATTGCATACCAAATTAATTATAACCTTTGAGTGCAGATGCGTTACATATCAGATAAATTCCCTATATGTAAGTGTAAATACACTGTAGAAATCTGGTATATTCAGGTAGGTATTGTTTTCTCAGTATCAAAGTTCCTGCGTGGTATTAAAATTATACCGGTCCGTAAAAATTTGCTGCCGATATGGCAAAACTTTAGTACGGAGCTATTACATGTTCTATTACACTCTTAAAAACCCGGTGTTAATCGTCACCAAACGGTGTGCGTATGTGACTTCACCGTGCGGTAATAAGGTGTCTCACCTAAAATTAACACTAGCTAGTGACAATTTGTCCCCATGCCTGGAAGATTTATCATCAGGCTGTGAAAAACATATCACCTTTTGGTTAAGTGGCATATGTACACCGTTTGGTTACGATTAGCACCGGGTTTTAAGAGTGTACATTCTTAACTTCAGTTAAGAGTGTGCATAAATATTAGATATACACATAATATATGTAGATGTACATATTTCCATACGCCAGTACAGGTCTCAATTGTTTCACTTATGTTGGTTACTAATGGAAACCTCGTATTTAGGTATGCATGATAAGTAATGGAGGACTGCTAGAAGTAACGTAACTGGTTGCAGATACCACCAAGAAAAGTTTTTCATTTCTTATCCGATTTCGCTCGGGTTTGCTTTAAATGACGCGTTATAGATTTCTGCACATGAAAATCAGGGTCTCGCACTATCATTGCATGGAAGAAATGAATTTGCCAGTCGTTTGAAAGTTTAAAATCGATTTTAAATGCGTTAAAGTAAGATTGCCATGTCTCTAGACCTGACGGGCATCATCTACCCAGCAAGGTCTGCACGATTGTCTTTTACACCATTTTGATACGATTAGCCGTTTTGTCACAAACTTGAGTGGAACTTTGGGAGGGGGGGTCTGTTTGCATTCTTAAGTGGTGTTTATGCTTCACGTCATCGTCACGTCCTCCTTCAAATCCGATTTTTTGATTGGCTGAACGAAATTATCACTACGACAATTAAAAATTTTAACCAATCAAAAAATCGGATTTGGAGGAGGACGTGACGGTGACGTGAAGCATAAACGCACCTTTAGGCTTCGCCGTAACCATGCACTTTTTCATGTGGTCATGGTTACTATGCCTCACCTAAGAAAAATAGAGCAATTAGTCAGCAATTAAAAACTACTACTCGGGCTTCATTGTCAGTGATTGGCAAAATCTACCAAATTATCAAATAATTAAAAATTAATTCGTTGACTGAGTTACGGCCGCACCCTAAGAGGAAACGAATTGAATCATCCTGGCTTCGAGAGCTTCAAAAACCTTCATTTTTGAAGCGCTAATTATTTGGGCCATCGCTAACGGTAATTAAAGCAGACAAATTTTTGCCGGAACGCCGAAATAGCCGATTTTACATTTACAACTGCACTGATTCTTGTATCTATGGTTACGAAATTAATTCAAGGGAACGAAATGTGAGTGTTGACAAATTTTGGGCGTTTTATTTTTTGGGTGAAAATTTGTGCGGCGCACACTGGAGTCTACAGACTCCAGGGAGCTCATGCTCGAACGCGTCGTTAGCTTAGCGACGTCGTAAAAATTAGCGACACATGCTCAAAATAATTTTTAGCGATGTCGGTATTGCTGAGGACACATTTGAGCATGTGTCCTTAGCACTTGTCGCTAGTAACGACACCGACGTATGCTCAAAACTGTCGGTAAGACCATGGAATTTGTCGTAAAAGTTTTCGACGCCTAAATAGCTGTCGAAACGAGATAAATTTGTCGTAATTTGCTGTTAATTAGGATCAGTTCATATATTATGCAAATATTTTATGGTGGAGTGGGTCGAGAAGCTATTAACGATTGTTGACCAGGGAGTGGGTATATGTTGGTTTGCGTAGGTTGACGCCAACTTTTTTTTAGGATAAATTGGGTCGCTGGACTGCCCGAAATTTTATTATCGGAGATTGGCACATAATTAAATTTAAATGCAATTTCTTTAATTTATATCTCAATTATTAAAATCAAATTTTAATTTTAGAGCTTTAATTATTACAAACGGGAAAAAATAGTAATTATAGATCAAATGCAATTTCTAAAATTGAATCAATTCCATGAGTTTTGAGACAATGGGTTGAGTTAACTCAACTCAATAATATAAATCGTCGATTCTAACTCAAGTCGACTCAAATTCGTCTCAACTCAAACTCAACTAAATGTCAATGACTGAAACTCAACTCATATAATATTAGTCAACTCACCTATTTTTAGAGTAACGTATTAAGTAAATGCATTACAAAGATGCCAAATAATCCCATTTGAACTTCTGATTTTTAAATAAAATTTTCGCTGAGTACGATCAAGGTGAAAATCTTAAAAAGGGTAAATTGACAATAAAAAATTCTTAATGAGTTTCCGCAACTCAGCTCAAACTCGTTATTGTTCAAGTCACTCATTTTGAAATGAGTCGTTTGAAATGAATTGAATGAATGAAATGAATTGACTCAAACTCAATTCAACTCATCCTCAGCAACTCATGAGTCAAATGCGTTGACTCGAACAGTTCGAGTCGAAGTCATTGGCAGTCCTAATCGAGAGATTGAAGGAAAAATATAATTATGCGGCGCTTCTGTGCTTATGAAAAATGAGATTTTTAGATAACTCAAAATTTTTTCACAATTCGCAATTTTTCATAGTAAATTTGCTCAAAAATTAATTTGCTAATTTTTTCAAAACGACTTATTTATAGTATCAAAATTTAGCTTTAGATTAAAATATCAAAGTTGCATTTACCTTAAAACTAATTTTGTACACTCAATATTAAGAGGACCTGTATTTTTGCATTTTTCTGAATACCCATTTTAGTCCGTAACGGAATTTCCAAACAAATTTTAAGCTAAAATCTTGATTTTGTAAATTCTGTAACTTTTTAAATTATGACATAATTTTAAAAACTCTAAAACATGTCTGCTCACAATGACTTCCCCATTTTACTTAAGAATTTTCTTGGATAGTTTGACAAGTTATTACAAGTGGGTTGAAATTTTATCCCACTCCTACACCTAAAATAAAGTGGTAGTAAACGCAAGAACAAAACTCCTCAGTTACCAAGATCGTTGTGAACCACTCCCTTAATCGGAAATGGATTACAAATTTTAACGATTTTTTTCCGACAATGTCGTTAAACTCATAACGACAACATTTTCCGACGCCTTGACAAATGATGAGCATACGTTATAATTTGTCGTTATTAAGGCGTCGTTAACCTTTTAAAAACGGATTCCACCAATAAGGTGGAGGGCGATTTCGATCTCTTGGCGACGGACTACACCAATAAGGTGTAGGCTAAATTTTTCGCCTTAGCGACGGACTACACCAATAAGGTGTAGGCCAACTTTTTCTCGTTGGCGACGGATTCCACCAATAAGGTGTATGGTTACAGAATTCCGTTGAGACCGGGCTACATCAATAAGGTGTAGGAAAAAATAAAAATAAAATGACTGAGAAAATTTTCTCAGTTCCATTCTTTCCTCCTTATTTGTCGTTGGTTTTTCTTCAAGCCTGAACTAATTTTTTTAGAGTTTAGAGTTGTAGTTGTAGTGGGGGAGGAACTCGGAGGAAGTGCATCAGAGGTCACGCCGCGCCCCCGAAAAATTATCCAACATGGGCGCCGCTAATAAATTGGTCGGCGTTGACCTCTGACCTGTATCATGTTGTAAATATGATACAGTTCATATTTTTTTTAAATTATCACAACGTTCTCTTTAGCTAATATATTCGCAATAGTGTCACCACCGATCGGAACAAGTCACAGAACACTGAAGGACAAAATTATAGCTAATAACTTGTTTAAAATATAAAATGCATCCCAAAATCAGTGTCATCAAATTGATGACATGAATGATGACGATTTATTCGTTTAGTTTATTTTTGTAGTACTATCAAAATCAAATCCGATCTTTTTATCAAAATTAATATCGTGTGTTCATTTGGTTCAGTTGCAATTTCATGTTAAAAATGTATTATGTTCTAATTTTTGTTGTCGAATCAGTTCCAGGTCTCTAATAAATCATAACTGCATCAGTAGAATATTCAAAATCGGTTTGCATTAATTCAGTTCCCAACTGATTTTATCACCGCCCCACAAGTCGGTCTCAATGGTATTCTGCCCCCCAGTAAATCCGCCCCCAAATGCAATAGAAACCATTTTTAATTCCGTTTTTAAATGGTATCCAGGTCAAAATTAATTAGTTTTTATAAGGTTAATTTACGACGTCGCTAAGTTAAGGACGCGTTCGAGCATGAGCTCCCAGGCTTTTCGAAAATTAAGGTTTTTCAGTCGTCTAAGCAATTGTCGCAACCTTGTAATACTAAAGTTGTCAAGCAACCTTGGCATGAAGTTTCATTTTATGAGTATGTTTGCTAAATTCCATGCACAGAGTTGGAAACTTGTAAAGTGACAGAATACATAGAATTGTTAAATTGAAATGATGAGACTCGATAACAGAATTTTGCACAAATGATGGGTATGATGAGTATGATGAGCTAATCACCTGTAAATGCTTACAGATTCCCAATTCTTATGTTTTAATCATTATCGTTCAGATATTACTACAATTTATTAAACATAAAATACACTTATTTCTGTACAGAGTAACAATGTCTGTAAAATACATGGTAGTTTTAGATATAATAAACTTCATTAAACTTTTTTCCTGGTGGAAGTGTCCCCAGGATTGAAGCTACATTTCCACGTTGAACTGTAATGCCGAGTCGCTGGAGGAGAAACGTTGTGGAGCGTGGTTCTCCAGTCGCGGTAGTGATCCGTTGTCCAATCTCTTTAATGAAGGATAACCCCTCCTGACCCCATGTACCTGTCGTCTCAATTGCAACGGGCATAAAAATGAATCGGTCCAGGAGAAAGGCGTACAATTTTTTCTTTCTATCTTCTGCCTTTGTTGCTGCTGCTCCTTGGTAATCGTTCAGATTATGCTAAATATCTTTTATTTTTGCAATGCTAAAAAATTCGCATGTAAATGTAAATGATCCAGAACAAAGTATGCATCGCTTGGGTTCTTCTAGACTGCGGGGGGAGTTGAGTTTATTGGTGTTGCTTGAGGCAGACCCGCTCGTCTCAATCGATGCCTTGTTGCTATTTACGACTTATTTATTGTTCCGGCTGCACCAGACTTTCTTTAATTGCAATTAATTGTCAATTGGGTGGGACGCCGACTCCGCGGGATAAAGGTCGTCGCCTCATCATTCGTGTGACGACAAGGCCACCACCACCTCCCCCACAACAGGGGCGCCGAGTTGGTCCAAGTAAATAAACCAAATCAAACTTGTCATAAATTGTGACTCACAATTGACAATTCGACGATTTATTTAATTACTTTGTTATTGCAAGTGGCTAATGTTTTTTCTAATTTGTGCAGAATTGTCGTGGTCCCGGAGAAGTTGACGGTTCAGTTTCTTGAGAGTTAATAATAAGTAAGTTTTTCATTTTGAGTGTTCGATATTGGCAAACTTATAATAATTATTGTTAAGATAACTTCATAATAAGAAGTTGTTATCTTATGCAGGGTATAGATAAGGCCTATTTATTCAAGTGATTTCATTTTGTTGGAAAAATATGTGCACTGAATAACTGTTTTGTATGATTGACAGGTTTGGGTGCAGTGGTAGACGACCTTTATTTATTTAGAATGGCTGACTCCGCCTCTGAGAGTGATTCAAGCTCGATTGACGGTCCCCTCATGATGCCGCCCAGTCCCGTCAGTCGAGAACAGCTCTACAAACGCATCGAGTCCCTTCAACAGCAAAATCGCGTTCTCAAAGTGGAACTCGACACGTTCAAGTTGCGCGTGAAATCGTTGCAGGAGGAAAATCGACACTTGCGACAAGCCTCCGTCAATATTGTGAGAAGAGAATGCAATTACTTTAAAAAATAAGTATTTTTCAATAACCAAAACTGGTTGTTTTTAGCAAGCGAAAGCGGAGCAGGAGGAGGAGTTTATTTCAAATACGCTCCTCAAAAAGATTCAGGCACTCAAGAAGGAAAAGGAAACCCTGGCCCATCATTACGAGCAGGAAGAGGAATGTCTCACTAACGATTTGTCCCAAAAATTGAATCAGGTGTGGTGTGACCCCGTAAAAAAATTACAAGTTTTGAAAGTGCCATTCTAAATTGTTTTTATTCTTTTAGCTTCGCCAAGAGAAATGCAAACTGGAGCAGACGCTGGAGCAAGAACAGGAATGTTTAGTGAACAAGTTGATGCGCAAAATAGAGAAGCTCGAAGCAGAGACGAACGCCAAACAGAATAATTTAGAACAACTGCGAAGAGAAAAGGTTGAGTTGGAGAATACGCTGGAACAAGAACAAGAAGCTCTAGTGAACCGGTTGTGGAAGCGAATGGATAAATTAGAGGCTGAAAAAAGGTCAAGATTATGGTTAAGACTTTATTAATTAGGGATTAATTGACAAGTACTTATTTTTTGTGTGTAGGAATCTTCAAGCTAAAATAGAACTGGGTCAAGGGACCAGCGGCGGTGACCAATCGTCGTCCTCCGCCTCATCGACGACATCCTCCCTTCCACCATTGAGTGGTGGCGGTGGTGGAGCGGCCGGTGGTGGTGGCGAGCAATTTCTGAGACTCAGACTTCAAAATATTCAAAATAGTCAGAACAGTGGTGGTAGTGGAAGTGGGGACAGCGGTTGCTCCCCTCACAGCAACAACAACAGTCCAAGGGGGTTACCCATGCTCGGACCGGGAAGGAATAATCCTGCCGCGTACGGACCGGAAGACGTGATCACACTGAGCAGCAATGTCCAACTCTTACGGAATGAGGTGGACAGGTTAAAAGGACAGTTGAACATTGCACAACAACAGCGTTAGTTGAAAATAATCAAAAAACCTTATGTATTTTCCATTGCAAAAATTAATTTGGAATTTTTTCTCCAGATTCTGAAAAGATGAACCAATTTGCCATGGAGGAGAGGCAAATTCGTGAAGAAAATCTCCGCCTGCAACGCCGCCTGCAGTTGGAAATGGATCGTCGCGAATCTCTCTGTCGCCACCTGTCTGAATCCGAGTCGAGTTTGGAGATGGAGGACGAGCGTCACTTTCACGAATCTATGGCCGCCCATGCCGGCTCCCTCTCGAATAGTATCCTCTCCACAATGCCCCCCCTTCTCACGGCTAACAACCAGCAACAACAGCAGCATCAAGTTCGTGGAGGGAGGAGTCCGGGACCCTTTGTGCCTTCGCCAGGGTCACGTCCAATCAGTCCTGGTGAGGAAGTCTCATTATTTACATCAAGCACATTAGCATTAGTATTTAACTGTTGATATTTAATAATAACTAAGGATCCTCCTGCTCTCGTGACATCATGATGAGTCCGCCCAGTCCGGTGAATCGGTGTCACTTATGCAATGGACATGGTTGGGTGGGTCCATCATCCTTGATGGGCGGAGGCGGCGCAGGAAACGCTCCTCTCGTCGTCACTACAACGTCGGCACAACAGTTATCTCACATTTTGGTGTCATCCTCATCACCCCCGATTCGTCATTCCAGCCGGGAACGGTTTGCTCGACCTGCGCCACCATTGACAAGTACTTGACCTTAGTAATTTGACCTTATGGCCTATATAAAAATATATCTAAACACGGTGTATATAGGTGATCAGCAACAGCAGCAACGCAATCAGGAGCCACGAACTCCAGGAGATAGCACGATGACATCTCCGGCCCCGTCGCCCGCCCCATTGGAAATTGTGATGAGTCCGGCTGCTGTGCCGTCGCCCTCTCCCATGGACACGTCAACCACAAAGACTTGAAGATCGCAGTGTCGTCACGTCCGGCGGAAGATGACGTGACGATGATAAAGAACATAGCATAACTATTAATATTATTTTAATTCATGAAAAAATTCAAGTCAAGTTTAACCTAAACTTTGCAATTATCTCTTTTTTAAACGAGTATTGTATTGTTGTATTGCTGGGTGGGACGAAGTTGGAAATCGATTGTCGCTCATTTTTTGTATTGTATTGTAGCAACAACAATGATATGTGTTGATTGATGAACTGAATGTTATTATAGTCGTATTAATATTAATATTATTAAGTTATTTGGATATTGATTAATTAAATAGATTGTAATGGAGTCCTGACCACAAGTATTAAGTATTAATTGGTCAATTAATCATAAAATTTTACATCACCTGCTGCTTGCTATTATCTAAAAAAAATCTTCTGAATTAATGTAAGTATTCGTTTGTGAGCGGAGTGGTGATGAAATTGATAAAAATAATTGAAATATTTGCATACTTGTTCTCACCAGTAAGGAATGAAATGCTAAAATTAAATAAAAATTACAGTTTTCGTTCAAGTAAGCAGTGTTTTATTCAGTGTTTGATTAATTCACTTGGAGGGTTGTCCCCAATCCTAACGTGCCGAATAAGAAGAGCATTCACGTATGAAAAAGTACTGGCAGAGTGTTATGCAAGTCTATCCTGTAATAAACTTGGGTTATCTTATTAACAAAAGAGATTCATTTCATGAGTATAATTTATTAGACGGATTATTTAAGTAATTAGTTAATTATTGGCACACAGATCAATTAAACTTATTTTGAATACCTTACAAATAAATAACGAAATTGCATCAATTTAGCACTTGCATCAACACATTTTAATTTCCATTTAGTTAAATATCACATTATACACTCATAAGCTATAATAAATCATCATCACATTCAGTATGTATATGTATTACTTCATTATTAATCAGAAAACACTCGCAGAAAAACTGGGGGTTGAATTTGAAATCGATAACAGATTATGTAAATCACATTATTTTACGTATATCTCAAATCATGGACGCTGACTTGTCTCGACTTATCAAAAATGTGGTGCACGGCGTCGATAAAGAGGGGTACCTGTGAAATGATAAGCAAAAGAATATAAATAATTAAAATAATACATCAAGATAGGATTAAGTCAACATTTATTAATAAATTCACCGATGTGTGAGGATGTGTATGAAATCCTGACGTGTGGGGACAACTTCCAATCATTTCCATTCCTTCCGGTGATAAGGTGAATGTTCCCACCCTGCAGAAATGTCAAAAGGTTAATGGTTACCTTGCTCGATAAGAGGTTTATTTAATTAGTTAATTAATTACTGATTCTTCCTTGGCGAGCAAACAATTGCTATCGCTTCCGGCATCATTTGCTGATAACAGAATTGACTGTGCATGTCGACAGATCTGAAAAGCAAAGGAAAATTAAAATCCAGAAGTTGGTAAGGTCAAGAATATAGGCAAAATTGTTCTTACGACAAAAACGCAGTTTGGCTCGGATGAGTGTGAATCCATCCAAACGTTATCAAATCCAACTGCAAAAATTGTCATGAATCATGAGCGATGTGGTCTTAATTAAATTAATCCTTGACTTGATAAACAGATATCATCACATCATCCATACCCTGTCCTGCACCATGATATACTCTTCGTCCCCTTTCGCTAGACAAGAATCGGATGTCCCATCCTGTTTCGGAATTATCAGATCGGTAATGACCAACTTTCCTTGGAGAATCCTCCCCGTCAGAAAACCACACGTTTCCACATTGTTCTCCGTGTTCTTGTCCGCACAGCGTAAAAAGGTAGTAATCAGATCTCCCGGAATCACGACCTCGCGAAGACCAGAATTCATCGGGGACAAGAATCTATTCGGCTTCGTTGTGCGGTCAAAGCCTGGATGATTTTGGGATGATGGTGGAGAAACCGTGACGCCAGATCCGGGAACTGATTGCTCGATACGGAGGTCAGCCATCATATCGGTGTAGGCTAAATTAGACGCCGGAGTTGGCGACACAATAGGAGCGCTCGGAGTAACGTTATTATAGTGTCGAAACGGGTTTTCCCAAGGGGTATCGTCTGTGCTACGGTTATTACTATTATTTTGGGGACGGGATAATGATTCCTCTTTTTTCGCAGCGGCGGCCGCCGCCGCTTTCGCCAAATTCGCCTGATGGGCGTCATACTCTTCTTGAAATCTTTGGAGTAACGTGACTCTGAGACCTTCCGCTTTGGGCAGGATTTTAGAACAATTGGTCTGAATGAGTTTCCTGTCTGCGGGGGGAACCTCTTTGAAACCGGGGTGAGCGCGAAGTCTTTGGAGGAATATTCTGCAAGATAATCATGCTTTACTAAACTTATCGGCTATGATAAGGTACAAATATTAAGGGTTTCATTAGTACGTGAGGTATCTGGTGTAAAGAACAAGGGCCAAGTCGAGCTGGCCATCCTCCATATAGTTATTCGCCATGCGGAGGAGTTCTCGTCCTGACCTGATGTAATGGATGGCTTTTGTGTCAGGATTCACGGAAACGGAGGACCCCTCGTCGATCAGGGCCTTCAGTCGGTCGGCAGGGAGGCAGTCATCGCCACGACTCATTGTTTTTGTCGATTAATTGATAACCTACTCAGAATTTTTCGCTTTCACTTTTTCAGTCACCAGTGAAATGATCCGAAGTTATGATATTAGCCAATTTTGTACTTGATAAGCCACTTGGAATTTTAAAAATTTAGATTAAACGTTAAGTAAATATTCTTAATTGGGATGACTCAAAAGTCAGATGTTGACAGAAGTGAATCATCCCGATTCTCGCTCTGCTCGTTCGTCTCACTGTCTTCATGAAAATGAGACGATTCGTCATCGTCACGAAATAAATACCCATAAATTCGACATAAAATGACCCCACCCCAATAAAACAACCTGTTCTTTGTCTTTCACATGTTTTATTATTAATTATTAATTGACATTGATCATTTTCCAGGCGAGCTTAAATTTAAAGATAAGTTATTTATCGTTAACGCTGACTCGCTAAATGACAGTGCATGTGGCGGAAGGGAATAACTTTTTACATTATTTTCATTTCTTACTAAATTTAATATTACACAACTTATCAATGTTATTAACGATCTTGTCTCTACTCGAAATATTTGACTATGTGTGTTCTTGTTACACGATGATGTCGAATTCGCCCAGTTCCTCTTCCGTCGGGAGGTTGATGTTCTCTGGTGGCACGAGGTTGGGGTCGATCAAGGGAAGGCCAAGGGCTTCGCGACGTGCTAGCTCGATATACGCCTCTCTTTGGAACCAATGCTTTCTCTGTATAAAGAAGGATATCTGATAAATTGTCATTATTTTCTCAGAAGCAGACATGAAATTAATTAATTAATCAATTACCTTAATATCTGGCATGTACGCTAATATGAAAGTAGTCCCAACAATGGCGATCGTCACGGTCATAAACATTATAAAATTTCGGATACTCAAGTCCTGCTCTTCCGTCTCCCAGTGAAAGCCGAATGATACCCATTTCTACAAAAGTTTAGTAGCGTTAGTTTATCATCAAATGTTTTACTTCTCAATTAAGACGACGACCCACCTTTTTTGCTGCCTCGTAAGAAAAGTCGTCCGCCCTTGGCTTATCTTCTACTTTGTCACCTGTCCCGTCCGCAGTAACGGTTCCGGTCCCATCCTTGTTCTTGGAGGTCGAAATAGGTCGCAATTGTTGAAGCAGTGGAGAAATGGCACCAACTTGGCGATGCTGCGACAAGACGACGGGACGCAGGCAGACTGACGATGCCAATTTTAGACTGCGCAGCAAACTTGAAGCCATCTGAACAATTACAGATTACAATTTACAATTAATTGAATTTTCGAGCTTTAATGAAATTAAATTACAGTATGATGATGAGCACTTATCGACACTTACCCTTACTGATTACTACTTGACCAACAATAATAATTAATTCTTGTCGCAGACTTTGTGGCGACGACGGCGACGACGACGACTGCAAACAATTGAACAATTCAAAGAAACCAATAAAATTTTGTATGTCGCAAGTTTGCAGTCTCGCGTGAAAACTGTGCCGGGAAAGAGTTGCACTACACGAGTAAAATCTCATTCTTCTCACAACACGACACACGACAGGAGTAACATTGCCAAAAATATTGCAAAAATAAAATACCCTTCAATTTCATAATTTTGAAGTTCGAACAATTTTAATTATTACAAGATAAGATCAGATAACAATGGCAGCACATAATACGGATCCTTCCACCGCTGCTGCTGCACATCTTGTGGATATCGACGAACTGGAATTGCTTGGCGTTGATGTCGCCCAGTTATTGCGAGAGGGAGAAGAAGCCAGTGGTACTGATAAGGTGGCATCATCCACGGCACCGAACGTCTTGCTTGGGGGACCTTGCGGTCATAGTTCTGCCAGTTATTTCAGGGCGGATGATGCTGATCAAGAGGAAACAGAAGAACAAAGGTTTGCAACATATTATTAAATGAACTAATTACGTTAACTTCTTATCTTTGTTGCCTTTTTCTTATCCATGTAGTGAGGAAGCGGAAATCTTGAGGAAGCAGATTGAAAACAGATTGCAAATAGATACGGAAAACAAGGTGAAATCAAATCCAGGCTTGCGCTTATCGCTGAAAGATCAAAAGGATGCTACAGCCACGATTCCCATTACAATAGCGCTTATCGACTACTTGACAGAGTTACAGTGGAACTTAGTAAGTAGAAAAGTCATGAAATCCGGAATGGAATGCCTCAAATTTTTTATCGATTTTTTTCTGTACTTTGTTGTAGGAGCAGAATCCCCAAGAATTCTACTGTTCCCTTGACCTCCCAGGAACCCAGCCGGCAGAAGAAACGCTAACGACGACGCTGAGTGATGACGTCCCTTCGAAAAGGACACGGTCACAAGTCAAAAAGACGCTTTAATTCTAAATTAGGCTCCCAATTTGTCATATTTATTCCCAATTCGATGGAACAGGACGCTAATGAAGAGGGTCAAAATTAACCCACTCATCGTCGTCCCTCATCTCGCAAATGTATAAAAAGGTACAAAATACTTTAGCATTAGCACTGTAATCTTTTATTTTTGTATCAATCACATTCTACTTCTATTATTCTACAATTTCATCCATTTGATTTCCTCCTTTTGTTTCTACCCCCTCTTTTTAGAACAAAATTACTTAATTAACAAATTCCAATGACCAAAAAAACAGAAGATGATTCCAATTCCAATCAAATCCGGCAATCCTGCAAATCCCCATCATTCAAATAATAAAACAATGGATTGCAATCTTCAGATCTCAAGGGGACTCGTTATGCATTTCATGCCATGAAAAGCAAAGAACAGAGATTCTCTTCACCCAGTCAATGCTGCCTGCCTGCCTGAATCCTATTATTTAATTCTCCTCCTTCCGACTCGACACCACTCTCGACATTCTCCGTCCATCCTATATATGCGAGTCCCCTCAACAACAACCTGCAAGTAGGACCAGAATCTCGACCCCGACATCACCACCATCACTATTACTATACCTTCTGAAGAGCCACCTTCTAAAATCATAGCAAAAAAAGTGCAGCAGGATTGCGCTTGAGTTTGTAAAAAGCGGAATCAACCAGAACTCTGGTGCGTATCTGTGTATATGTACATACGAGAAGACCAAGAAGAAGAAGCCTTTTAGCTGCTTTTTAGCTTAGCTCTGCTCCTGCTGCCTGCACCACTTAATCCCATCCACAATAATAACACGGCTTCTCATAACCTACCTACTTAACTTCCTTCCGTTTTTGAGTGAGAACAATAACAACAACACCACAACATCGAAACTTGTTTCGATGTCGTTGCATGGGTTGACATAAAATCAAGGATGGGATGAAAACGATAATTAAAGATAGGAATCAGGAGACAGGAAGGATAAAGAAAGTAGAAAGGTTGGTAAGTGTTCGCAATTATTAATTGTAATTTGTGCAAAAGTTGTGTAACTTGGTGGGAATTGAATAATGGGAGCAGAATTTTGCGCAATCGTGACTTAACTTTGGTTTTACCAAGTAGTTTTCAAAATCGTGAGCACAATGAAGTGTGAATTTAACTGATAGAAATGTGAAAAAAATATTTTGGGTTTAAAATAAATCAAAATTTCGATAATCTATATACATACCCGTAATTAATTTAAGGCAATTTTAACTTAAATTTTAAATTTTGCACAATTTCCGTACTAATTTAAATGTCTTTATTGATTTTGGATAATTTCAAGTCCTGATTTTTATTTCAGTTCAACGAGACGCGGCGCAGGAGGAAGAGTAACTGCCATGCTGAGCACACCCCTCTACAATGTGACCAGTGCCCCTACTCTCATCCCCATAACGCCAAATCCTCCCCACATTCATCGCGGCGGAGGACCTTCTGTTCCCGTACCACCCCAATTTCCTCACGGTTTGGAACATCTGCCTCCATCAATCATCCCAATCTTCTTCCCTTCACCACCCTTCGGCAATGGGGGCAACTTTAATCACTCCACGCCTCGAGTATTTCATCACGGTATCGCGCACGACCCCGTCTTCACTTCCGGCGTCGCCAATGGGAATGGAAAACCATGTCCGGATCTTAATGGGCGCAAGATTCCAAGTGGAATGCACTACGTTCCAGGACCGGACGAATGCACGCTATGCGTCTGTGAGGACGGGGGGCCGAAATGGTGCAAGGCGGTGTTATGCTCGCCTCCTACGGTAAGCAAATGAATATAACGTTATCAATTAATTTTTATTATTTTTAAACACGATTTTATAACAATTTAGGACTGTAAATCGTTCCGAGTGGGTTCTTCCTGTTGCGACTTTATCTGTCTGGACGACTCTCTGGGTGGGAAGGGATCTGGCGGAGGGCAGAAAACGGGTGGACCCTTCAACGGCGGCCCACTCGACTTGGCTGACGTCGTCCCCAAAATTATCATCGTGGCAATCACGACAATTTTGTCAATGTCGCTCCTCCTCTTTTTGATACATCGCTTGAGACAGAAACAAATTCAGGGTGCGTATCAATCAAAACAAATAACCAATCGCTTATCAATAATGTGATCTGATAAGTACTTATTGTGGATTGGATTGTTTTTTTAGGTCGACTAAATTCAGCCGTAGCTCGAGCCCGTTGTGGCGAACATGACTGCGAGGACGGTCGAAGTGTGGATTTTTCTATGGATTTCTTTGACCGAGGTCCACCTCCACCGCATTACATGTCGTGGTGGAAACCTCCCACAACGTCATACTTCCCTCCAAGAGGGGAGGCTCCACCGCCATACGAGGAAGCCATCGCGTCAACCTCTAACTCACTTCCATCAACATTCACCGCCATTTACAACAACAACAATGCTCTCGTACCAACGGGAGGAGGAGGAGAAACAGCTGGTCAAGAAGGACCACCTCCACCGACAGCTGAATTGTACCGGACAGAGACACAAGAATGCAACGGGGTGACGATTGCGACGACATCTTTAACAACAACGGACGGTGATCCAACGGTGACGACGACAACATCATCACAAAATAATAACCAAGTGGATCCTCCCAATGGAACAAGTATCAGTCAACAACAAAGCGAAAATGCTGGTGCTTCTACATCTTCAGCAACCTCTCGTCTCCTCCCGTTCACAAAGACGAAACGATTCCCGAGCGTGAATACGCGCATTCCACCGCCACCATCCACATCTTGTCCTACTCGGTCAATGATTGTGATCGGATCAAATTTCGAGTCTGGCATGAGAGGAGGAGGACAACGAACCGGAAGCGAAACTGAACATCTCCGCCGATCACAACAAACTGGTGGTGGGTCCACCTCCTCCCATCTCACCTCCAGAATCGGCACCTTTCTCACCAACATGCTTCCCCTCCCACTCGGCTCGTCGTCGTCCTCTTCAAACAGCAGCAGCTTCGGTGGTGCTAATCACAATTCCTCTGCTAATCCGACAACCAACTCGAGCAGTATCCTCCTCCCCCTCAACAACTATCCGCCACCCTACGATTACGCCGAGGAAGCTGAGAATCCCTACTACTTACGCCACCCACAGCAAAGTCTCACCCTCCCGAGACACTTTGCAAGTCAAGAGCCGAGCACGTCAACCTTTGCAAGATCTCAACAACACATTCACCCGCAAAGATTTAGTCTACAGTTGCACCCAAGTGGTGGACGGAGTGATGGGTGTGGTTGGTCTTCATCCGCCTCCAGTTCGACGTTATCCCTCTCGCCAAATTCTCCGAATGAAGACACCCTCGGCTTGGGCGGGGTGAGTGGAAGCTGTGGGGGCAGCGGGAGCGGGGGGAGGATGTCTCATCGACCACCGTCACTCTCTTCAAGCTCTTCCTCGAATGGTTCCGGAACGAATGTGACCCTGTAATTCGTCTCATCTCGAGAAGAGTGTGACCTGATTTCTTCTTGACCTGGCATGTCTGAGCTTAAAAATATCGGCATCTTCAACAAAATTCGGAGAACAAGTGGGAAACTATTTCCTCGTACAAATGGGACTGATGTAAAACCTGTGAAAAATATTTTGTTTCCTCTTTCTAAACAATACCCAAATATGATTTTTGTATGATCTCGATTTCTTCTCATCCCTGTTTTATTAGTATTTTTGAAAAGATGATCATGATCATGAACAGAATTTTTGTAGTTTGTGTAGCCAAAAAGAGAACAATTCACTCAGTAATTGACAGACATTTAAATGAGGATTACCTCATTTGTCATGTCATGAATAAGTATTATTATTATAATGTAGACTATTTTAATCATCTATGCATGTTAATTCTCACGATGATTTATGTGTGGTTAAATAATAAAGTGAAGCAACCGAAATAATCGAGTAGAGAATAATATTCATCACTTTTATGCTACAAACAATCTTATCGCAATCCGGGTTACGGCCCTGCCCGAATCTGCGCATAGCATAGTCAAGTCATCAGCCTGCTTAAAGTCAGTCAGTGATATAGTCATATTAGTCACCAAAAACTCGCCCCTCTATCTCTTCCTTCGCCAAATAAATAATCCACGTCTTCGCAAATAAATTCGCAAACAAGAGGCAAGTTCCCAAAACAAATTTCGCTTATCTTCCCCTTATCTTACCCACCCCTTCACAGCTTATTATCTATTTTTCCCTTGGGGGGTAAACCTTTTTCCCCCGTAATTTGTCACCACTAACGGAAACGGTGAAAGCTCCTCAGCAATTTCCTTGACCTTCATCCATCCGAGCTGGAGAAAGATTCTCCTCCTCCTACGCCGCGCCTCTGTTTGGTTCGTTTAGCTGCTTTCTCCTCACTTCTTTCTCCACCCGAGAAAGTCCGAGTCGAGGTTTGGTTCTGAACCAACGTCAAATAAGTAACCCGTCGTTCTCTCTCTTTCTTTCACTCTCTGCTTGCTATGTATGCTCACTGAGAAAGAAGGGAGTTGGTGGTTTGGTCTGTCCTTGTCAAGTTCTATAGAGTCAGAGTTGTCTAATTGGGTTAAATTTAATGTGTCACAGTTGTTTGCGACCACCTTATGAAGCAATTTGGTGCTGGACATCTCGATAAGATTCTCGTTCCCTGGTAGATAAGTAAGAATTGACTGTGTGTGGAGGGCGTGCCCCTAGTTGGCCGAGTAGTGGAGGCAGCCCGTCCCAGGGCTAAACAACACCACCACCCTTCGCCACCATGTCGGCCGGAAATGCGGGGATGGAGTCCCTCATCCCCATTGTCAACAAGCTGCAGGATGCCTTTACCCAGCTGGGCGTCTCCATGTCACTGGGTTAGTTTTAATTAAAAGTGGCTTTGATTTTATCGAGAAGTTGTGGTTTGAATAAGTGATGAAGTTTTATGAGGTGGTTAATTAATTAATCTTCTTATTGTTGCAGACCTTCCCCAAATTGCCGTCGTGGGAGGTCAATCCGCCGGAAAGTCATCCGTGCTAGAAAATTTTGTTGGCCGGTAAAACTCTTTAAAAATTAATTATAAATGAAGGATTGCCTAACCTGAATTATTTGTTTGTTACGCAGCGATTTCCTCCCTCGCGGGAATGGAATCGTCACCCGGCGGCCCCTTATCCTCCAACTGATCAACTCACCGATGGAGTATGGCGAATTTTTGCACGCCAAGGGGAAAAAATTTGGAGATTTTGACGAAATTCGGCGTGAAATTGAGGCAGAAACTGACCGTGCAACGGGGTCGAATAAAGGAATTTCTAACGTGCCCATTAACCTGCGTGTCTATTCACCGCACGTCCTCAACATAACACTTATCGATCTACCAGGTAAAAATTAAAAATACTGTTTTTATCTATAAAAAAATGTTTGCATATTTGTAAAATAATCCTGTCATTCACAGGATTGACTCGTGTTCCCATCGGTGATCAGCCGGCCGACATTGAGCAGCAAATTAAGGATATGATAATGCAATTCATCTGTAAAGAGACGTGTCTCATCTTGGCCGTGACTCCAGGAAATTCTGACCTCGCGACATCTGACGCTCTAATGATGGCAAAACAAGTTGACCCCGACGGTCTCCGAACCATCGGTGTCCTCACCAAACTCGACCTCCTCGATCAGGGAACCGATGCGAGAGAAACATTGGAGAACAAGGTCGTCCCACTGCGTCGCGGTTATGTCGGGGTTATCAACCGGTCACAAAAGGTATTAAATAACAAAAATCAATAAGATAGCTTGCCACGAGTATATTTGATGAGTAATAATTTTCCGTGGTTGTTAGGATATCGAGGGAAAGAAAGACATCAAAGCGGCGTTGGACGCTGAGCGCAAGTTTTTCCTGAGCCACCCCTCCTACCGTCACATGGCGGACCGGCTGGGGACGCCGTACCTGCAAAAGACGTTGAACCAGCAGTTGACGAACCACATTCGCGACTGCCTCCCCGCCTTACGCGATAAGATGCAGAAACAGATGCTCTGTCTTGAGAAGGAGGTCGAACAGTATAAATATTTCAGGCCAGACGACCCCGCCATCAAGACCAAGGCCATGCTACAGTGAGCAACAACTCATAATTACTGCAAATTTTTATAAAATTAAATAATAACTCGCATTTATTTATTTCTCTGACAGAATGATCCAACAGCTTCAGTCGGACTTTGAGAGGACGATCGAAGGTTCAGGGTCGGCCTTGGTGAACACAAACGAGCTGTCGGGGGGAGCCAAGATCAATCGCCTCTTCCACGAGCGCTTTCCCTTCGAACTAGTCAAGATGGAGTTTGACGAGAAGGAGTTGCGACGCGAGATTGCGTTCGCCATCCGTAACATTCACGGCATCCGAGTCGGCCTCTTCACCCCGGACATGGCTTTTGAAGCCATCGTTAAAAAACAGATCAACCGACTCAAGGAGCCCTGTCTCAAGGCTGTCGACCTCGTCATCGCCGAACTCTCAAACGTCGTCCGACTCTGTGCTGACAAGGTTGCTAAACTTCCCATTAAATTAAATTAGTACAAGTTATGATCAAGGTTTGATTACTCGAGCAGATGAACCGCTACCCCCGCCTGCGCGAGGAGACTGAGAGGATCATTGCAAACTTTGTGCGTGAAAAGGAACAACTCTGTAAGAACCAGGTTCTTATGATGATCGATTGTGAGCTGGCCTACATGGTGAGTAAATGTACCACTTATTCTGTTATTATAAATTACACTTAAAACCCCATAAACTATTTTGTCATCTAAAGTCTCATAGTTATTCAAAAGCCCGTTATTTTTACCCCTCGTTATTAATTTCCTTGCAGAACACGAACCACGAAGACTTTATCGGATTCGCCAAGTAAGTCACCTCCTGTCCACATCACTCCCCGACTCTCCCACACGCCAAAAAAAAGACAGACAGAAAAAATAATTACAGTCAAGAACAAAAAATTTACAAAATTAGCAAAGGGAATTTTAAGGACAGAGTCGAGTCAGTCAAAAAGAAACGTATTTTTGAGTCGTCGTCGTCCTAGTTTAGTCAGCTTTTAATTTATTACTGTATTGAATAGTAGACAAGTTATTACGTAATTTTTATGTACCGTATTGTTCCGCGCGGGGTTGACGTACATATTTATTATTATTCTTTGTTGCTCTCGGTGGACGAAACAATTTGCAGTTATTACCGTTACAAAGAGGCAGGATGCACTTCGTCGGGTAGTCTTGTGGTTGGAGAATGCCCACTTGTTGGTGGGGCCGATAGGTTGGCCAGATTATTATTAGTTTTGAGTGAGCCGTTTGTTTACCACCCCTTTTTGCGTGTGTCCTTTTGCCTTTAGTTTGTATGTAATCCTACACTTACACAATAATACATTACATTACATGAAAAATTAGACAAAAAAGTAGTAGTAACTAGAATAAACTTAGTTTAGTTTAGTTTTAGTAGTCCGCTTTCTAAAGTACTCCTCGACTACCGATCGATACTAAAAAAAGTCTCTCTTGATGATTCCCAAGATTTTACCTTTTTCAAAAAAGCATGAAATTTTATCTCGTTTGTTTAAAAGAAAACATTTTCTAAACTTACTTGTTCTCTTCGTCATGACTGATTTACCACACCCCAGAAAAAAAAGAATATATAATTCTCTGTCTTCGCCCCCTCCGAGAAGTCCCCCTTTCCCAGCACGACGTTGTACTCTTCTACTAATAGAGAATTAATATCTAATATCATGTGGTCGTTTAGTGTGGTCAACCTGTTGGACAAAAGATCGAAGTAAGCACTCACTAAAAATCAAGCTCAATCAATCAATTGCTATACAAATATCGTATTCATTATTCTCTTAAGTAAAATAATAACAATTACCAAAAACCTCCTACCAATACCCAAACTCACCGAAAATGAAAAAAAGCGAGACTGACATGTAACAAAAAGAATCGACTAATTAATTAGTCCTTAATTAATTAATAATTAAAGGAAAAAGATGATACAACTCTCTCTCTCTTTTGTTAATTTCGTATTAATCTTCTTCTCGAGAGTGTGTGGAGTGGTAGAGAGAGATTATTTTGGGGGCGGATGGCACGGACGAGCGAGACTAATAATTCGTTTGTTTCTTTATTTTTTATCATCAGTGCACAGAACGTGACGGAGAATGCGACACGGACAAAGAAGTTGGGCAACCAGGTGATCCGCAAGGGCTACATGTGCATCCACAACTTGGGGATAATGAAGGGAGGGTCGAAGGACTACTGGTTCGTCCTTGCGTCCGAGTCCCTGTCTTGGTTCAAGGATGAGGAGGAACGTGACAAAAAGTATATGCTCCCACTCGACGGGCTCAAAATTAGGGATATCGAGTCTGGATTTATGTCGAGGAGACACACTTTCGCCCTCTTCAATCCAGAGGGACGCAACGTCTACAAGGTAAATGAATAGTTGTAAAGTTTGGAATCTTTGGGGATGGATTTTGTTAACGGATCTGGTGTTATTTTTTGTAGGACTTTAAGACGTTGGAGCTCTCGACGGAAACTCAGGACGATGTGGATTCCTGGAAGGCGTCGTTTTTGAGAGCGGGTGTCTATCCCGAGAAGCAGTCAGATTCCACGGCAAACGGGGATGATAGCAGTGTTGATCAGGGAATGTCCTCCCTCGACCCGCAGGTACGAATCAATAAATTAGTTGCATTTTAATCAGTGGGGAATAAAATTTTAATCTTGATTACTGTTGATTTGCAGCTTGAGCGTCAAGTCGAGACGATCCGAAATCTGGTCGATTCTTACATGAAGATTGTGACAAAGACGACGAGAGATCTCGTTCCTAAAACTGTCATGTATCTGATTATTAATTCATGCAAGGATTTCATCAACGGAGAACTCTTGGCGCATCTGTACGCTACGGGAGATCAGGTAAGGTCACGTGCTCTTCTTAAGAAAACAGTCTAGAATCTAATACAAAATTTCCTATTTTTATCGTAGAATTCCATGATGGAGGAGAGTGCCGAGGAGGCGATGAAACGGGAGGAGACGCTTCGCATGTACCACGCTTGCAAAGAAGCTGTCCGCATCATTGGCGATGTCTCAATGGCGACAGTGTCAACTCCACTGCCTCCCCCGGTTCGTGGGGGTGGTGGTGGTGGAGGGATGAGCATGGGAATGAGCTCTGACTACTCTGGCGGTGGGGTCAATGCCAGCTATTTGGGCTATAATGAAGTTCCCAGGTACTTAATTATTCTTATTACAGTATGTTTTAAAGCATGAATATTAACCTTTGACCTTTATTTAATACGTGTGTGTGTCCATGTTCGGTTTTGTTGTCCCCGTGTGTTTTGTGGTTTGGTTTGCTTTAACTATTTATTTTTGCATGGCGTTTTTTATGGGAAAAGTTTTAATTTTTTGTATATTTTTGTAAAAAGAAGTATAATTATTTTTATTTTGTCTTATCATTTTGGGTCAAGTTTATTTTTTCATGTCCCTAAATTTTATTTTTTAGTTTTGTAAAAGTTTTTGTAAGTTTGTTTAGTTTTTGTAATAACTTTCCATGAAGTTACAGGTGTGATAAGGATGGTGGGGGAAGAGAGGAGTGAGTGTGATGACGATAATTAATATAAATTAATTAAAACTACTTAATTCCCAATGAATTAATATTTTCCATGCCGTGCAGTTAAATTTTTCAGAAATGACCGCTAACCGAGTGTTTTCTGACGGTCGTGTTATTAAAATGGCTTCCAAAATCTACTAATTTCAGCTCGCGCAACAGCTAAACTCGCCAATTGTGTGGCTTTGCCAATATTTTTTAATGATATATTTTCTAATTGTCCCTTCTTCCCTCCTTATTGCATCGTCACAGCAGGGACAGAAACTATAATTTTGACCAGCTCCGGTCCACCTCCGTGTCGAATGGTCACCACCAACGCCACACGAACTCCTCCTCTCCCACCACCATCATGCTGAGTGGTGGCGGTGGACAGCAGTCAGTCTCTGAATTCGAGATAGGTCTGACGCGATTGGATAACTCAATGCGATCTGTTTTTCAATCCGAAAGGCCCAGCCCGCCCAGTCCTGGAGGAGGCGGAGCTCGTCGCGGACCCACCGGTCCACTCCCACCTGCCGCTGCTGCTGCTCCAATGGGTGGAAATCGTGGGCCACCTCCCATGCCCAACAACCCCGGAGCACGACCTGCACCTGCCGTTCCTAACAGACCCGGCGGTGGAGCTCCTCCAGCACCCATGCCCAAAGGGGGTCTTCCTCCACCACTCATTCCTTCGTAAGTACTCGCACTTCCAGTTAATAATAAATATTTACGATTTAGAGGTTAGGGTCAGGTCAGGTCACTCGATACGCTTCTTTTCCGGAACGCTTTTCTCTCTCTCTATTAAATAACTCACCATTTTTTCCGAGTGTGTAACTAAACAGAACAAAATTCTGACTGGGTGTTGTGACAAGCGATGTTTTTACTTACAACGACGTTTTCGACATGGCGGTAGTTACCAGCACCCTAACCTTTAAATCGTCACATTATCAACTTGTTAGTCTGACCTTTGTGTATTTTGTGTGTCTGTGTGTGTAGACGGGGTACGATAACTGCCGCCATGAACGTTGTAGGTTCGCTACCACCCCAAGTGCAGAAACAAGTCGCGTCTGCAGCACTCAACCATTTCCTCTCCAAAAAATAGACTTGTTCTTCTTCACTGCTTCTACCTCAGAAATTCCAACTCAAATTCCATATCGTAAAATTAATGCGTTCTAAATTACTATAATCTGTGGTGTTAGACTGATACAATTATTTGGGAAAAGTTAATTGTGATTGTTCTCTCTCTTTTTGTCTCTCTTTTCCTGCTGCCTGCTCCTGACACATTCTACACTGACGTCGTCACCACAATGACATGATCTTCGTCACCTACAGTCCAAAGAAGAAGTAGACATGTACTTATTTAAATTCGTCAATGAATTAATGAATTATTTCCCACGTTAAGAAAACTTAATTCTGCGACAAAACTCACCCCCACGACGTGCACCCAACTTAATTATCTCTCTAATTCCACGACACTCAATTCAAAATTGCAACGAAATTCAGCAACGTGTAAAATTAACTAACTAAATAATTAGGCAGAAATTATATCTGACTCTGTGACTAACTTAACTAGAAAAAAACATGGAACTAATTTAGTTGTTCTTCAATCTGTAACTTTTAAAATTATTAATAATAATCAAACTGTTTAGTTAGTTAATTTAAAATCGGGCAAATATTCGTGTCGCGTCAAAAAGTAGAAGCAGGCAAGTCAGTAGGGAAGAATTATTATTTTCATTGCAACAATTAGTTGATGACTTGGTAATATTCAATCCAATCTGGACATTGGATCGTCGCCGATGATGATATATCATTCATTTTAAGGAAGCGTACAGAAAGTTGGGTATATTATAGTTAGTTAATTTAGTTGTACAGCTTTTAATCAGCATAAATTATAGTTAGATAAGTTAGGTCATGACAAAGCAAATCGGCACTAATAGCACTTAACTAAAATTCACTCTATGATTTGACAGAATAAATAGGGCTTCCACTTCTCGCACCAGTTTCTTGACTAATTATTCTAAACTTGAGCATTTATGTAACTTGCTGCTTTTTGTATACGAGTAATTCTTTACATTCCAGTTTTATTAGTTATTTAGACATTTAAATACTTATGCATGGTCAGGTTTGTCTTCATCATCAATTACAAATAGGTACAAAATGGCCTGCTATTTATTTATGACATATGCTCAGTTTAGTTTAGTTAGCTAATTATGTATGTAATTGTGCACGACAATTTACTAAATTCGTCGTCTTCTCTGCCTCACCCACAATTTTTGTGTCTTTCCACATTTTGTTAATATTAAACATGTATTTAGCACAGTGATCTGTTATTACTCTTTAATTGTACAAATAGTAGGGTAAAAAGTTGGGCGAGTTTTATTTTACCGTAACCAGATTTTAGGACGTATGTATAATTTAGGATAAAAATAGATAGTTAAATCGAAATACATAGAAGATGATTCTCTGGCAGAAAGGAACGCATTGCATCAATCAAAACAAAATGAACTAGATCCGTAGTCAGAAAATAACTACATAATTAATTAACTAATTAATTAGATAATCTCAATCCCAGAGGAAGGAAATACATGACTAAATAAATAACTAATTGTCCTCTCTCCTGCCCTTAAAGATTAAGAAAAAGTATAAAACTACTGATTTAGCCCGTGAAGCCAGAGATTGTATAATTGTTGAGAAGAGAAAGCATTCATAGAGAGAAATACTATAATTAATTATAACTATAAATAAATAAATATTGATGACGATCATCATCACGTCGTAGTAAATACGAAGAAGTAAATTAGTGTACCCTCAAAAAATAATACCTTAAAGATTATTTACAAAATGTCGATATAAATTACGCCCCCAGAGGAAGACGAAAATGAAATAAATTATTATATGAAATAACTATTGATTTCTGAAAGAAAAAATACTAATATTTGATCATTAATCCGTTTCATACCTTAATTTTAATTTAATTCGAGTTGATTGACAACTTTAACAGTTTTGATTTCCAAGTTATGCAGAGTGCATAATTTAATTTCTAAAATTTTCTCAATCTAATCCTTTCATCTAATAAAATTACATACAAACGAAATTGACCGTCTAATTAATTACTGCTTAAATTGCTTTGCTCTTTTTCTCCTCTGCTTTCACTTGACGCACTTTTATCATTCCACGTGAGTATTAAGAATCCTAATTCTCATCACAATTATATTAAAAATTATTATTTATTCTTATACGATTATAATTTTGGTCCTCTTTTTGTTTGTTCCCTGCAGCCGGGTAAACACTGGTGGTCCCCTGAACGCCCCCAGGATACCGGAACGACCCCAACAGGGCAGACCCCAGTACTAATTATTAAGAAACACTTCACTACCAGTAATAATCAAGCAAGCAATCAATCAATCAGCAAACCAGATCAAGAACAAGAGGATCCATACATACGTTTATTTATGCCTCCAATTAACTAACTATAACACTCCTGGACACTACAATTTGTATTTTACCCATTTTTTGCTTTAAAAAGATGTATTTATGTACCAATTTTACGCTACGTAATTACCTATGTATTAATTAATCCGTGATGTCGTTGTTCAACGCGTGCTCTGAGCTGTATGTATTTTTATCAAATAATTTAGGAATTTACACAATTTTGTTGTTGCTTATTCTACTCTTTTTTAGTTAACTGTTTACATTTCTATATTTCCAATAAGTCCTCTGTTTAGAATATGTACGTAAAATGTCTCTGTCATGCAAAACCAAAATAATAATGACCAACCATTTTAATACTGTCATAAAACCGTTATTATTAATTTGTATTTGTAAAGAAACCACCTCTTTTTGTTCTTACATTAATAATCATAATTTTTACATGCGTGGAACTGAAGTCATCAAAGTGGTCACATTTCCAGCAAAAACTGCATAATCCCACCCACACATTCCACAAGAACATATAATATTTCCACTCTTGAAGTAAACGTCTTATCGAGCAAGGTAACCCTTGACCTTTTGACATTTCTACAGGGTGGGAACATTCACCTTGTCACTCACGTGGTTGAAAGTTTTCCACACACGTCAGAATTTCATACGTACATATACAGACTTACACATCGGTGAGTTTTTTAAATGATGACTTATGCTATATTCCTGAATAGTGTACTATTTCTATCCTTGTGCTTATCATTTCACAGGCGCCCCTCTTTAGCCTATGATTATAATGTGATATTTATTAACTAAATAATAATTAAAATGTGTTGATGCAAGTGCTATTTAAATTGATGCAATTTCGTTATTTATCCATTAATTTGAAATAATTTTATTGATCTGTGTTCCAATAATTAACTAGTTAATTAATTAAATAATCCGTCTAATAAATTATAATTATTAAATGAATTAGTTTTGTTAGTAAGATAACCCAAGTTTATTACAAGATAGATAAGATACAAGTGTGGTCAAGGTACTTCTCCTGACGTGCGCATAATTAATTCGCACGTGCAATTATTTGGTATCATTTAATAGTTTATAGTTTCTTTTTGGCGTGAATATAATAATACCGGTCGTAAAGTTGCAGTCATTCATTAAATCTTCCTCAGTTCTTCCCACGGCTTGTTCTAAATATTTCTTGACTAAATGTATCTTTCTTTTCTTACGTCTTGTATTTTTAAACACTAGTTTTTTTTACTACAGGTAACATTTTGCATTACATAATAATTAGTTAAGCTCTCCTTCTGCCCACGTGTTTATTAGTCTGCCACCCACAATTTTTATGGTTTATAAATACTCGTCATCAACTTGCACCAATGTTACAGCTTACTTTTGGCGCAAGTTAGTAACGTATAAAATATAACTATGAGTAGAAGATGGTTAACTAAATATTGATGAATTGATTGACTATTGACTCGATTCCCTGATGCTCCCTCTTCATTCTTGACTTTGACTTGTCGTTTAAATTATGTAACTAATTATAATGCAAATTATCTATTGGGGAGCCGTCTGTGGTAAAATATTTTCTTTAAAGTATTGCGACAGTATTTTTAAATCGGCGTCTTCCTTATCCCGTCGCGAGTCTGATGAAGGTGGTGATGAAGTGGTCTCTTGGCTAATTAGTTGTGAGGTTGAACTTGGTATTGGGGTCGTCGCCTTGGTCGTCGAATTCTTGCCGCCGGCGTCGCTGTCGTCACTACATTTGTGAAGAAGAATGGGTGAGGATTTGGATAAGGTAGACTGTGAATCGGATTGGGATATCAGAGCAAATATAATCAGGTTTAAGATACCAAGTGGGAATTTCATTGGGGATTTTTATAGTAATAATTCTTACAGATTTCTTGCTCTTGTTCTTCTTCGCCCTCGCGGCGTTCCTCTGCTTATCGAGAAATTCAGGTATAGCTGTCATCGAGGCCCAATTTTGCATCCATTGGGGCAGAGAGACGCCCGGATTGTCAAAGTAGGTCAGGCCGAATTCCACTCCGGGCTAGAAGTGAAGAGGAATATGTGACAATTTTTTTGCAGGTGGAGGGGGGGGATTATTTTTGGTGGAATTATGTAAAGGAATCCAAATACTTTCACTATCAGAAATAAATCAAAATCTACCTCTGATAATCCGTTGACTGCATTGACTTGCATGACACTCCAGTACTCTTTGACACGGTGGACGCCTTTCTTATCCGGCACAGCGGGATGTGGGACAGCCCTCCAAGTTAAAGTAGAAATAATAATATGAATTAATTAACGAAATTCAATGAGTTAACAAATTAATTTGATGAGACTCACTTGCTGATGATGACGATTGTCTTTTTCTGCCTGTCTACAAGATGTCTTCGGGCGAAGAGGTAGTCTCGATTGGAGAACATGGTCGGCCATTTCATTTCCCAGTAAATCACGTCCTGACTAATTTCCGGCGATGATTCTACAACGTTCAACTTCAACACGGTGTCATCCCATCCTTTCCGGTACTCGATGTCCAGTTGTGTGTTGAGAAAGTCTTCCGCCGATATGTCATCGTAATATCCGTAGACTGCGGGGGATAAAATTAAAGGTCAAAATTCACGAAATATTACCTAACCTAATTTTTTGCACATTTACCTTTGTACATGAAAAGGCCGGGGCGGTCAGGATGCGGCATCCGCCAAATGAGCAGGTCCGCCGTTTCGACAAAAGGTGTCCATGCGTAGCCTGCCAATAAAAAATGTTAGGAGACGAAAAATATGACTAAATTATTATACTCTTTTTTACCTTTAACCTTCCGGTCGTATGCGGACTGTGCATCGGGACAATGGCAATATTTGACATTTGGGATCTTCTTATCCACTACGAGGCGGTCTTGGCAATGCGGACAGACGACGGTGGCGGAGGTCAGCTCGTGAATAAAGTCTAGATCCTTCATATGCCTGGAAAATAGAATATGAAATTAAGTTGTTGGCGAAACATTGACGAAATAATTACGCCACGACTTACTCGACGAGTTCTGAATTGAGTATGGATTCGCCCAGCCGTGGGTTGGCGTCGCAGAGGGAGACGAGCAGAAAGGAGAGGAGGGCTTGTCGACCGAGCGGACCACGAAATCGGTTGAGGTGGTTGGACCAAAGTTTGGAATGCAGCTGGATCACGCGACACGTTCGGAACACACGTTGAGCAAAAATGGGGCTGCATTCCTAATGAGAATAACTAATTAGTTCGTAAATAAATGTAAAAAAGGTTAACACTAAATAAAATGACTGACACCTTACCTTTCCCACGAAAGATCCCATGATTTTGAGCCCATGTCGAAAATCCGTCGCCCAAGTGGTGATCTTAGAAGCGGAGGGAAAATAATGGTAGTAATTTGGCCTGGATTGGTAAACTCGGTTGAGGAAAGTTTCGAGATTGGCCGGTTTGAACGTGCCCTTGAAGGATTTCGGGGATGAGTCTGCTAACAGTCCGCGGAGGAAGTGGAGAGATCTCGACGAGACGGATGGCGAAGGGGGTGGTCGTGGCATCATGAATGATGATTATTTCTTAATTTTAATATCGGAATTGTGCTAGTATAAACTCAATTTTAAAGTTGAACACTGGCTGGTAGACGCGTTGATAAGTATCGCGCTAGACTACTCACTTATTTTCGTCGCTTTGTATCGAATTTGAAGGACAATTTGTTCCAGGGAAACTCTCAGGGAATTAATTTACACCGGTTGATAAGCTGTAAATACTGTCACATTAGACAAGTCAAAAAAGTATGAGGGTTGGTTATCCATCTTACAAACGACGTAGTGTAGATTAATAAATTTGGCTACAGTTGTTCCGAATCTACAATAAATTCAAAATATATATAAAAACACACCTTGACCTTGACCTTGAGTTGATAAATTAAATCAATTCTCATATTAGATAAGATATAAACCTTACCTGTACACCAATGTCCTCTCCTGATAACAGCTTATCCTTTGTGTTGCCCTGGTAGATTTCAAAATCGGAAATGAAACGAGATCAGAAGATCTGAAGCAGCAGCAGCTCATCAACATTTGATCCCAAGAAATGAGTTCCCCACGTGCCTCCACATTTCACTTTCGTTCAGTTGCCCCATCCATTTCGCATATCATATCTCACGCGTTATGATCATGTCATTATGCAAATTTCTGCTGGATATCTCCACAAATCGGATAACACCAACTTATATTTTTATTTCGCCGTCCTGCTTATCGAGCTTATTTATTTACATGAATGATGACTCCGTCGTAATCATTTTTGCAAAGTTGGCGTTTTTTAATTATTTTAAACGTATGCATAGTATGAGATTGAATTTTTACTGGATTTAAATGATGTGAATATAACGATGAATTCAAGTTCAAAAGAGGAAGTCGAGAATAGACTGGAATGAGAAATGGTGAGGTGCTGGAATGGAATTCGATAAAAGTTGTGGGGGATAACAATTGTGACCTGTTTTTGACCGAATTCGTGACCAAGTCTGCAAAAAATATGGAGATATTTTTATATCGAAAAAAATCTTAGAAAATTTTGACTAACTCGTTGTCGTTTTATTACTAAAGTTATAATTTTAGCAAATTTTTGTCCAGACAGTTCCAGCAAGGGCGAGAAATCTAGATAATTTTACTCATATCTTTTTATCGTAGATTACAATTTGAAAGGAGAATTACACACACAAAATCATGATAATCACTAATCCGAGATTCACAAAAAGAGAACACAGCAAAATTGCAAGTTTGTGTAAAAACTTAACAAAACCATAATTATCATCATCAGTCGTATCGTCCCTCAGATCTACCAAAAACATTAAATAAGGTTTCACATATTTTTTAACTAAATAATTCAGTCACAATACAATTAAGTAATTATTTTAACACTCGGGAATAAATTAGATGTGTAAATGTAAACCTGTGTACGTTATCAAGATTTGTAATAACAATTAGAATAATCAAGTTTGCACAAGACGAGGTAACTTTTACGAAATGTGGTATTTTAAATTAAATTGTGTATCTTTTGTGTAATTAAGTAACGAGTAATTTAAGTAATTAAGTAACAAATTAGATCATAATTAATGTTGAAATTTGCTGCAGAATCTTGTTGTGTACTTGTTTGAATTCAAGCTCGCTCTCCTGACTTTTTTGGACACCAATTACAATTTCCTTGCGCTTTTGGTCTAGGGTATCGCGCATTACTTGAACATCTTGGCTGAGAAGATGATCGCTAAGAGGGAGGCGATCGCGCCCCAGACGATGAATTCCGGCCGTCCGACTTCCGTCAAGGTGCGGATGCTGTCCAACATTTCCGTGATGAATTGCGACTCTTTCGGTGTCTGTACGTCTTTGTCCAAGTAGCCGAGATTCTTGATGAAATCGACGAGTGGGGCGTGGTCCTTGGAGAAGATGGGCATGTATTCCTTGTCTCTCTTCCTTGTCCACCAGTCACCTCCTGGCCCGCTAAGATGATAAGACCATTATAAGTAGATATCATTGACCATAAGTAGTTACATTAAATATTTTTTAATACCTAGATGGTTTTGTGAATGTATAATGGTACGCCGATGCCCGAATATATTTCGGCACGGTTTTCGGAGCTTTAGACACGTCGAGGAGTTTTATGACGCTCTTTTCTCCTAGGAATTGGACAATTAAAAATAATGTAAATTATGTAATTGTAACTATGTTGTACCCATTGCGATTAAGTTTAGACACCAAATTTTAGATGAAATGATTACCTTGGAGGAGTCGATAGGTCAACGAGACCAACCACGGATTATCGTGATACGTCGACAGGGAAGCGAACCACATTTGCCAATCCAATCTTGGTTGGTGGGGCGCTGTTCACAGGGACAGAAATTAATTAGTCAAGTTACTTAATAAACTAATAATGTATAATTTACACTTTATGAATTAATAATTATCATCCTCACCAACAAAGAGTGGCGCAGCGGAGACATTTCCCGGCTTGTAGAGAAACTCGTACTCCTTCCACGGTCCGTTGAGGTCGTCCGCGTATTCCAAAACTACCTCTGGTCGTCCACTCGTCACGCCGGTCATCTTGCGGAAGAGGCCGTATGAGTTGGCCACGTGGTATTTGGCAAGGGACGCGTGCAAGTCGCGCATCACGGGGTACAGCGACCTATTCGTTTCTGTGTGAAGCGATGTGAATGGTACCTGAGCAAAAAAGAAGTTCAGAAAACCTATAAAATCTATTTTGCACAGGGTCCAACTATATTATTTTTTGCACTGACCAGCGTGATGCTGAAGAGCCCAAAGCACAATGCTCCGTAGAAGAGGGAGGAGACGAATGACGTCAACTTATTCCAGGCTCCCTGCTTGTCAAACAGAGAAATGATGAGGGTTTGAGACACGGTCGAGCCCAAGGTCAAGAGTCCCATCATCGCGGCGTAGGGTACCGTAATCGAAACGAACCAATCAAACTCGATCCGGCTGAAGGCTGATGAAGATCATGAAATAAATAAATTGGATAAGTATTAAACTTAATTTGTACTGTACAACGGTGCGTGGATAACTCACTTATCTTTGATGATATCGTATTATCCGGGTTCAGTCCGAGACCGAAAAACTTGCCAGTGTAGAACAACGAGAATCCGATGAATGTATAGGAGAAGGTTTTAGAGAAGATTCGAGATGCCGAGAATCCAGAAGAGTTGGAGGATTTGTAGCCTAAAAGGATTTCATAAATTTTTAGAAATTATGTAAATAGAAAGGAAATTAAAATTTCGATTATTACCGAAAAAGTCTGCATCCAAAAGGGAGAAGCAGAGCACGATGGTCAGAACGTTGAAGTAGGTGTAGTTTCCGGTCAAGATGATAGAAAGTTGGAAAATGATCTGCAAAAACAGAATTTCGAGCTAAATTTTAATCGATTTTTTGGTTAAATTTTGACTCACCTGAGTCCAGAAGGCGAACCGTTTGACGCTCTTGAATGGGGCGAAGAAGGCGAAAGGAACGGCGATCTCGACGTAATATGTTCCTACGACCAGGAGGTGGAGAACCCAGCTGGGGAGGTGGTGAGTAAAGTAGGCCAGCGGAGTGGGGAGACATTGGCTTTCAAAGTGGTAGTTCAGCGCTAAGAAAAATATGTATGTATTATTAGTACATCATACATGGACAATATTTTGTGGTTATCTGTCGTCTTACCCGTGAGACCCCACCATGTCGGGCAGCCACTTTGGAGTTTGACCACTCCGGATGCAAACATGAGGCGGAAGAGGAGCCATTTTACCATCCACATTGTCGTCAGGTCGCGCGGCTTGTTCCCCATTCCACCGCTGGTTGGGAGCCACGGAGCAGCCAAGATTCCAAGAATTCCAGCCTCCAAGAGCAAAGTATCCCTAATTAATAATTAGAATAATGATTAAATTAGACCCTAATTTGATAAAAGTTTAGTAATTACGAGCAAAATCAGAAAAACGATAAAGTAAAAATACGTGAAATTTTTGCTTTTTATCAAAATCACCCATCAAAATCGTCTCCACTTACCATTGGAACCAGAGGAAAACTCCGCCCACTTGGTAGATGGAAAAGTAGCAGCCCCACATGATGATCATCGTTGGAATCGTGCAAACATGGGCGCACATCGTTCTAAAAAATAAACATGTTTTAGTTGCAACATAATCTAACAATTCTTAGATTTCAATGTCTGTCTACTTACGCCACACAAGCGATAATAGTTCCAATCAGGGCGACGAGATCAAGAGCATGTTGGGTATCAATGCCAAAAAAGTTGGGAACGAGACAGAGCAGAGTGAATTTGTCCTTGATGCATTGTTGCGGATTTCGAGAGGTCAACTTTAGTTCGGCCTTGATGGGAGTGATCCCATTGGTGCCGTACAAACCTGAAATTAAGACAACCATATTATTACTATATTATCCAGTTTTATGGATAAGGTAAGCAACCCACCATCAGCCTGGAGATAGACGGAGATGAACGCGATAAAGTAGACAGCGCTAAGGCCTTGGAGAAACAAATTTCGAACTTCCTTCATCCTGTAGCCGTACTCGTCGTCATTTACGGTCCGATCCGCGTCACCTCCTAAATATTAAAAAATATATCATCATTATAATTAATTAATTTTAAACCAATATTGATCTTAAAATTCACCCAATTTCGAATTTATTTATATAAAATTACCCTCTCCATCCTTCCGTGGTTGTTCTTTCCGCACGGATTTAACCGAGACCATTTTGACCTTTCCTTTATTGGAGAAGATCTCCTTATCCTTGGATTTGCCCATGTTAACAACAAGCTGTAAAGTTTTCAAGATACAGTTATAATATCAAATTAAATTGATAGAAAAAACGGAGGATTCTGATCACGTTAATCGGTCAGCAAACCCGACTGTCACTAAACTGGCTGAGTTAAATAAGGATGAGAATAATTAAAAATAAAACTCCTCCTCAAACAACAATGTTGTTACAATCAGAGACAGATTTAATTTGAGATGGTTGGGAAGAAATATGGAAGAAACTAGCTACAAATTAGCATCCGAAGGAAATGATGTGGAAGCTAATCGGGTAAAAAAGGGCTTATCAGTGAACCTTAACTCACCTTTGTAGATAACCAAATTGGAGAGAAGATGACAGAATTATTTGACTTGACCAGCCGGGATGTGATTTTACAACGGACAACTCTGCCACCACCATGCAGCACAACTGAAATGCACGGGTGGACAGGGCCGTAAACGAAACTTGCAATGCAATCTGAATTACATGCAAAAGATACGGGAAATCCATGGGAAATCTTAGCTTCTTGAAAGATAAGGGCTTATCTGCACAGCCCATCACGAAGGTTAACAAGTCGTGGAAAACAATTACAACTGATTATTTATAAAAAATATAGTTATATTCTTAGTCGTCATTATTTTAAAATATAAAATTTGTAAATACATACATACAAAAAAATATCAGGATTCAAAATTTTAAGGAATCTCCATCATTGGTTGTAATCCTCCTACTCCACCCTCTTTCTCGGCCCACTCTCCCTCCAAGTCGAAGAAATACACGCCACCCCCCATCCCCGCGGCAACACTGGATCTCTGCGGATGGCTCGAGATACTCGTCACAGGCTGCACGGTGGATTCATTGGGACGACAAATGCCATGAATTTTCTCACTAATTAAATCCCATACGAAAACCTTCCCCCTCGGCGAGGCAGCCAGGACGTAGCGGTCACTAAAGTCAAACGCGACCTGGAATAAAATAAAATTGTAAAACAAGTTGTAACTTTTGTTAACAAATTTACGCCCACCTCAATCTTGTAATCCTTATAATTGACATCGGTATGACCCTTGTAGCACGCCAACAACTCTCCGCTATCCTTATCGATAAGTTTTACCGTCCCGTCCGCCACAGAGATGAGATGTGAAGCCATGTCGCGACTAATAGCGACAGACGTGACGGCTTCGTTCATACAATTCGTTGACATCTTGCCTTGGCGAATATCGTACAAATGCGTGTAGCCATCCGCCGAGCCGACGAGAATAGCGTCGTTCGTGACGACGAGAGATGTTATCGTGTCCGTCGCATCGTCCAAGGATTGTATCTCTTTTTGTGTCGAACGGCCGGCACGGACATCCCAAAGTTTGACAGAGTTATCTTGCGACCTGAGGATTAATGATTAGATAGGATGATAGGATTAAAATGGCATATTGTTATTGATAACTCTGATTGGCGACAAATCGGCGAATCTTTTCTTTACCCAGATACTATAACGGTAGAATTTTCATTAAACGCGATCGCAGTGACGGAACTGTTGTGACCTCTCCAACGTCGCACTAACTTTGAGCCGGCGACATCCCACAAAAAAACGTTCTTGTCCATCCCTCCGGAAGCCAGTTGGGAGTTGTCACAGGAGCCGGAAACGTCCAACACGTCGCCGGAATGCCCTTGATAAGTCGAGAGGAGATTGTGTTTCGTACATGACCAGAGTTTAATGGTTCGGTCGGCCCCGCAGGTGAGGATGAAGTCGCCGTCGACTATAAAATAGGGATGAAATCAGGTCAATTTAGATTTAGTGTGATGTGTGCAAGATTTAAAATTTCAAAAAATTTGAAAATTTTATCAACTCACCATTATATCGCACCGCACGGAGTGCACCTTGTTTACAATTTGGAATTAGGGCTAAAGGACTGCATTCGTACGTGTTCTTTACCAACGATATCGACATCACTTATTCACAACTTTTTCTGGACGTCATAAATAATAATATTTTGTTTGTTGACGTTTTTATCCTTTCGTCAGCCGGTGTTTGTATCTCGCTGCACAATGGTTTCAAATGGGATTTTCATTCTCAAAAATAAAATTTTGAGTACTTCCAGCTTTTTTTGCATATTTCGATCAGGTGAGGCACAAGGACTATTGGAAAAATAGTTTTATATTGCCACACCCCCAGGGGGAGGAGTTTTTCCCCCAGCCCCCCCTGCACGAGTTAGGTGAAAACTGATAACGGCGTTGTATTCTGCATCATTTTTTATGACAAAAGTGAAGATAAACTTTTTTCGAAATTCCGCATAGTTTCGGAGATATCGGGGTGCAAAGTTTCCCCGCATATGACCTTTAGGGCCATTTTTGACCTTGTTGCGACGCACTTGGAAGTTAGCTGAGTATGACATCTGATGCTACTCATCATAGACTACAAGGATCAAAAAGAAAATCGCTGCGAGCTATTCAGGTTTCGAAAATATAGGCTGGGGAAAATTGAGACAATGTTGTGCGAAATCTAGCACAAAAAATAGCCGAATTCTCCAAAACTTCTAAAATACTCATCAATTTTGATAGAATACATTCTATAAGGTCAAGATATAATTTTTTAAATTATTCGGGACAGCTTTTGACGTAAAAACCCGGAAAAACCCGAATTTCGGATTTTTCGGATTAGCCATTTTTTCCGGGTTTTTACGTCAAAAGCTGTCCCGAATAATTTAAAAAATTATATCTTGACGTTATAGAATGTATTCTATCAAAATTGATGAGTATTTTAGAAGTTTTGGAGAATTCGGCTATTTTTTGTGCTAGATTTCGCACAACATTGTCTCAATTTTCCCCAGCCTATATTTTCGAAACCTGAATAGCTCGCAGCGATTTTCTTTTTGATCCTTGTAGTCTATGATGAGTAGCATCAGATGTCATACTCAGCTAACTTCCAAGTGCGTCGCAACAAGGTCAAAAATGGCCCTAAAGGTCATATGCGGGGAAACTTTGCACCCCGATATCTCCGAAGCTATGCGGAATTTCGAAAAAAGTTTATCTTCACTTTTGTCATAAAAAATGATGCAGAATACAACGCCGTTATCAGTTTTCACCTAACTCGTGCAGGGGGGGCTGGGGGAAAAACTCCTCCCCCTGGGGGTGTGGCAATATAAAACTATTTTTCCAATAGTCCTTGTGCCTCACCTGATCGAAATATGCAAAAAAAGCTGGAAGTACTCAAAATTTTATTTTTGAGAATGAAAATCCCATTTGAAACCATTGTGCGCTGGCGGCTGACTAAAATGATGGTATGGTAATTGGTAATGGCGGTGTTCAATTGCAAACTGCAACTTTGTTGCAGTTTAGTGTGCAAAATTGTAATCATTTCGTGAAATTCTGTACTAAACGAGCATTATAATTTATAATCATCCGTTTGACTTGTTGGTCAAGTGAAACGTTTTTCTTGTTCTTTTAAATACAAGATCATACATGAAATTTAGAATTGAATTAATCCCATAAATTTACCTATCTGCAAACGCCGGAAGATGTGCATCCGATCTGAAACGATTCGTCCTTTCTTAAATGCAAAATGCGATGATCCAAAATTTCATAGTTTTCTAACTATTTAAATTATGATAAATTTCTCATCTGTCTTCCATAATTATTTTCATTCTTTTCTCATCTTTTCTCTGAACAAAGTAGTCGATATTACAGAGAATCGACCGTTAAAGTCAAACCGAAGCGCTTCCTTCGGGATGAGAATTTCAGGTTCCACATAGTTGGCGCATAGATGCTGGAAGAATTTGGTCAAGTCAGTTTCAGCAAGTCTCACGATTATACAAACGTTAATGAGCTGTCCCTAATAATTAGTGATAGCTAATTAGTATTCCCGATACATGATTAGCCAATGAAATTGAGCGTGTGAGACTCTGATCATTGGTTTTCTAGCTTTCAATTCCAGTGATTACAGATATTCCGTATGATGCAAATATTTTGCTTCATGCATGCAAATAAATTTGCATTTAAATGCAAATTTAAATGCAAATTTTTCTTCAATAAATATTGAAGAAAACGATGACATCCTATTCTTACTGACTAAAATTAATGATGAAGTTTGCACTTTTTGCATGCACTGCAGATGTAGAAAATGGCTATTATTTCATGAAATTTTGCAATTACAGTGTTACTTTGTAAAACTTTTTTATCTTTATTCATAAAAAAAATACATGGAATTTGAAATTAAATAAATCTCTCATACATATTTCTACCTTCGTATGAAAATGAAAACTTGATCAACGATCCATGCACTTTATATGTATCTCTGAAAAATAAATACGGAAAACAATTTCCAATTAAGTAGTAAAATTATTTAGATTGATAATTAATATATAAATTAATCAATAGTCGTATAATTAATTAGTGAAATTTATACCCCTTGAAATATGTATGTACGTATGAAACTCTGATCATTGCTTATCGAAAATGATAACGTAACAAACAACAACCAAAATTTGTCGTAAAAATTGAGCTATTTTTTCTTCCTCTTTGTAACAGCAGTGTGTGCAATTTTCTTTATGATCCATCCGCATTCACCACATCTTTTTCAGAATTAGCATAGGAAACTGGTGGATGTATTGTGGTTGTTCTACTCCTCCTGGGGGAAGGGACGCCATTCCGGGACATTGTCCTCCATGTGAGGACAAGGACGACTTATAATGGACCACGGCATAGTGGGCATACGCGAGAAAAGCAGCGATTAAAATTGCGACCAAAGTTGCTAGTCCAAGACCGAAAAAGACCATGCCAAAGCCAATGCGTGGGAGGCAGATGCCGTAAATTGGAGGTGTCGACCTTCCCGAAGGTGATGACGACATGCGAGTTCCACGAAGGATGATGGTATTTGGGGGTCGAAAATCGGTCGAATTTTGAGAGGATGTCGGATTCAGAGCGAAATTGAGGTCGGCCTGGGAGACGACTTTGAAAGCGCCAGAAACTCCTATAACGTCGCGAGGCGTGGAGACAGATCGTCGCAAACGGAGGTGGCGTGGTCCTTTGGGGAAATTGGTGGCGGGTGTGGGTGGTGGTGGAGTCTGGTCATCTGTAGAAAAAAATACTTATATGAAACTTGAGTCATGGACGAGATGGAAATGGTCCATCTTCTCACCTTTGAGTGGTTGTGCTTCCATGAGCATTTCTCTTTCGCCACCGTCCTGATTTTCAGACACTTTTTCGCCAACTTTCTCCTCCGCTGTTTGTGCCGCGGGGTCGAGGGGACGAAGTGGGTCTTGCTCTTTGGAATTTAAGGGTTCTCCACTCCTCTCACTCAGCCTGACTTCCGGTTCATCGTCATCCTTCTTGGGTTCCGGTTTGAGGAGCATGTTCTCCAAAAGCGTGTTCTGTTCGTGGCGCGTCTGCTGTTCGTCAACGTTGTGATTGCGAAGTTCACCCTGCATCGGAGGAGGAATTGGAATTGTGTGCTTTATCGTCCCCGTAAAGCGTGGGTTGGGTGGAGGAGGTCCTGAAAAGATAAGTTTGATGCCAAAATTGTGAGTTTATTTGCACAAAAACTTTCCTAATCAGTACCTGGTGGGAATCTGTGATGATGCAAATTATCCGGTCCCCTCGGTCTCATCAACCCCATGGGAAACTTGGCCTGGAACGGATTCCTCATAATTTCCGGTCTGGGTGCTCTCTGCGGTCTGCCCCCGAATTGTGGGAGTGGCGGTGGAGGTCTCATTTGGGGAGGAACATTCGCCCCAAACATTTCACCCGAGTGGAGGATTTGCTGTTGCGTCGGAAAACGGTGGTGTTGATGTTGGACTTCCGGTTTCCTTTCGCCTGAAGATTCGTTCGAATCGGAGTCAGGTTTTTGTGATGGTGGTGGCGGTGGAGGAGCCACGACCTTACTCACGGTGTCGATCGACCCAGCCGCAACGGGTTCGGAGGCAGACGCCGCCGCGATCTGATTTGCATTTGCGCTAGTGCAATGATCAGGACACCCGTGGCGACAGATTTCAACGGTGCAGCGGAGGTGGACGTTAAGCATATCGGGAAACTTGAAGGCAGAGATGAACGCGTAGGTCAGAACTGTGGCTCGCCCATCGTCAAGTTTGACTTTGGAGAATTTTCCGAGAAGTTTTGGCCGCATGATGCATCCCTCAGGGTCGGAGAGGGGCAAAGTTCGACCCGCACCGGACCCGTCGGAGGCTTCACAGTCTTTCACACGCATGTCGAATTCGCCTATAAAATAAATAACCGATTAAACCGATATAGAAAAAAGTTTCCACCTGACTAAAAAATCGTGATATTTTTTCCAATAATTTTGTCCCTCTCACCTGACGGGTCCTTGACTGCGATGACCATTGTGAGTGGTGACCCGAGTGGGGCGATTCCATTTAAGGGAGCCGCCCAAGGTCCCTTTCCTTCCTGGATTTCCATCCAGCAGTCGACATTGTCGCCGTGAAAGTTGAGTTCGACAATGTCCAGGTCGGAAATGACCATGGGGCTCGTTTTGGTCGCTGTCTTCTCGTAATCATTGAACCATTCGCATCGTAGCCGTTTCGCCTCGTCCCATGCTTCGATAAGTTCCTCATCGTATTGAACTACGATAGTGTTCTCGTAAAATTTTCCATGATTGTCCGGCTTTGTGCCACACTTGTCGTAGTAAATGTTGAATACGAACTGAGATTTTCCAGTCCTGAGGAAGAACATTTCGTTATTTTCATGAATTTGGTGCAATTGCATTTTTTATAAATAAATGTCAAATATGTAGAATCAGAATTAAGATTAAGGAATAATGGTGAATTATAAAACATGGGATTGTGAAAAGTAAATTGTTCAGTTAAAAAAATTCAACAATCAAAATCAAAATTTAATTTTTATATCGTAAAAAGAGCCACAATTTATTTACGACGTTACACCTATCCATTTATTTGCACTCGGATAATTTCACGAGTACATTTTGGATTTTGGAAATGTCAACAAAAAATCGATAGTGTTAAACGTCATTTCATTATTTTTATTTCATAATTTGAGGTTTTTGAATGAAAGATGACTTCTCCATATAGTGTCTATACTAAAGTTGAGCAGAATATGTCATGTGCGGGTGGAGCCTAATAGTGAAAAACCATTCATTTCTCCTCTCTCCAACCAACTCTCTTGTCCTGAGGCCTACGGTTTTTCACCATTAGGCTCCATCCGCACAGTACATATCCTGCTCAACTTTAGTATAGTCACTAGTATTTTTTACTTATTATCACTTGGTTTTATCAAGCAATATGCAAATTATTACATGGATTATGCCTACCTTGGGGGGACGTAGATGCAGTCGCCCTGACCATACATTCCTTTAGAGGTGACCAGACCGTGGAATGGTTTGTCAAAGGAGAGATGAACCTCCATATGCGAATTGCCACACATGACCTCCAAATGCGCAATTTTTGGCATGACGCCCGGCCGCTCCCAGTTGTTGCCCCCTTGTTGCGATGCCGAGGTCACCTCTCCAGCCCGCACGATGACCTTAAAATCATAATCATCATCAAATCAATCGTCTCATACATATTTAAATACATATCATCCGGCGAAAGGAAAAGGTCAAGTCGGCAGGCACTCTGCAGTTCGGCACTGCTCATAAAAAAATGGCCGTTAGTGCTCAGCAGCTCTCCTACCCGACCGGCCGACCAATCGTTGTCGACATTTCCCCCAATTTTTATTCCCCAGCAAAAGTGGGTCTGCCTTTATTCACCACCCCATTCATCCTGTCACCATTCTCTCTCCAGAGCGTGAAACATAATTAGGAAACAGGTTTATCATCATCAAATTTGTAGATTATCTCAAAGTTATTTTTTCACTTATCTCCAACTGAACTTTTACTTTATTTATTACATTGATCCTGGTAGTATTCAATGAATACTATTCATATGCCATATTATGTACAAGTAAAATTTGCATTTGTACAAGTAGAAGTCTCACCGAGTTATGTAAAACGACTGCTAAGACAATCCATCTCATGGTCCTAGTTCCCCCAATTTTCCACCAATTATTCCTATCTTTGAGGTGAAAACAACTTGTCTTAATTTTTCTATTGGTGTGGTCATCAGTCTCGTGTTGGTGGGAGGAATAGTCTTCTTCTTGTTGTGGGGGATTTGTTGATCCCTCCGTATGGCAATAATCTGATCCGGTGAAGCGATTCGTCGTGGGGTCGGGGAGAAGATGCGTGGCGTCAGTTTCTGCTGGGGAGGTTAGTACAGAACTTTCACGCGGGGTCATCTCTGCCCGTGGAGATTTTTGCTTTCTCCGGTGAAGTGAAAGTGGCATATTTTTTATAGATTTTCTCTCTCTCACTTCGTCCTTCTTGTCCACATTTGTCTCAATTTTTTTTTATCTGGAAATTTATTCAAAAAATGTGTGAATTATTATTCTTTACTTGGGCATGTAGGAAATTTTAATTTATTTCATGTGTACGATGTAGCAGTGGAAATGGAAAACCGGATCTATTCAGTGACTCAAACTATATACAGCACAATTCAGCGATAACATTACAGCTTGTCCATGGGTAAGCTGAGATATAAAAAGTTAACCACTCCAATTTTTTTCTAATAGTGCAAAAGTTCTATCTTTATTCATCAAATCTGAAATTCTGCATCAAGTCGCATTTGTGTGACTTTGCATCTCTTTTGGCCAGATTTTGCTGGATGAACGGTCTTACATCCACCATACCGTGCAGAATATTGCGAATCGTCTACTCCGAGAACTTCTCCGGCGAAAATTTCAAGGTAATAACCTTGAACTTTTCATTCACCCGTATTATTTACTCGTAAGAGAAGAAATTATTACATTTACATATTTGCATCGTAATCTTCTTCTCATTACCTTCATCTTCATGCATTGTAGAACAGTCCCAATTTGCGAAATATATAGTTCCCGCGTTAACATGTGGCAGTTTTTACATCAAAAATTGTACTTGATTAAATTTTTTCGAAATGGTTATGAACCTGCAAAGTGCTATGTACTAATATAAGAACTTGAATTTTTGGGTGACATGGTCATCCTGTTTTCTCATTATTACTGTCCGTTACGGTCTACCGGGCAGAAAATGTTACGTGATTGCCTCGTTTTGCAGATAAATCGTCGTCATCCTGCCTCACTTTACATACATTTCATTTGAGAGTTCAAATATTTCTTCTTCTCGACCACATTTTTTCTTTGCACTCCATTCATTAAATGCAAATAAATGTGCCAATTATCTCGTCTGGTAGACCTCCTCGAGAGTCATCTTTCTCGGGTCATAAATTTATAATAAAGTGTCAATTATATAGTTCTCCTAAATTTAACAGACAACTTGTTTATTCTTTATTAAGAAAGAATTGAGTTGATTCTCCTTGCCAATTTTCCCTCCGGGGGACCCATTTTTTCGCAATACAATAACACTTTGTAGATATTATTATGCTTTCATAGTTTTATTTTTATTTTTATTTTCCTTGGGGTCTTTGTTAATAAATATGTATACGGACTGAATAGGATGGGACCGATGTAAAGAGTGTGATCAATTTATATAGGGGTCAAGACGTCCACGTGGTAATTTTATAATAGTGCAAGCAGATATGGTACATGGGTCAAAATCAAGGTTTTTTTACTTTTTAGACTTGTCCTTTAATCAAGCTTTTTTTAAAATTGCAAAAAAGTTTGTAAAAAATTTGCAAAAAATGTAGCTTATTTAATTTCTCAACTATGAGTAAATAACTCTGGGTTAAAATTCGATCCCATCCTTTACGTCGTGTCCCTTCCGAAATTATACAAGGATTTAAACCAACTCGGTCTACATATGCTATGCTATTGCTACGCTCTGATTGATGAACTCATAACCATGCATCTCGGTTAACTGAAACCACAGCAAATACCAACAATTGCAGCCAGCATGCCATTATTAAGTCGACAATGAGTCCATCAACAATAATATTCGGACACTACTGGTACAAACAAAGTAGGAGAGAGAGAAAAGAACGAGGTGGAAGAAGATGCAAGAGTGAAATAAATGGCTCAATCCAACGGAATCTCACAGTAACAAAGAATTAAATCCTATTCCTTGGGATTCAATTGAGCCTGTTTTTTTTACTCTTTTAATCAGAATGCATCCGAGCTTTAATTTTAATTCGATTTAATTTGTAGAGGAGAGCATGGCATTGTTTTTTTGTTAGTTTTTTATTTTTTCTGGGGTGGACTACTTTATCGGAGAATTTATTAAAATGATATATGTTAGCATGGCTCATTTCATTGGTGATCGTTTTCATTTTCGAAATTTCATAAAATTCTGATGTGGCATTATATTGAATTGAAGAAATATTCTTTGACCCTTATTTTTAGATTTTTCGTCTCAAAATTATGGGCCGAGTTGTGAATGTGATTTAATAATGTCAGAGAGACACCTCATATCCGGCTGTATTCAATTCAATCTTTGTAGCAAAAATAAGGTCCAAAAACTGCAGAAAATGGGCGACCAGACGTGTGAGAAAATAGCGAATGTCAATCATTTCCCCATTGTTCTTTGTTTGTCCATCTTCCTTCTCGCGTAAAAATGGCCGCAGGTAAACACGCCAGGAATTAAGAAGATCCCATCTCGGATTAGGGATTTTTTATTATGTGTGCTGTGCAGGTACGCAGGACGTGCAGTTTTGCATGTGTGTGTTCTTATTAGCGAAATAAATTAGCAATATTGAGGACGAATCCATCAACTCATCTTAAATAAATTTGCAAACGTAGCGTGAAACATGAATTTGGGCTAAATCTGAATCCCTCGAGAGGATTCTACGTCAGGGATTGTATTGTATTTTCTGTGTGTGTGTGTGGAGGATATTTTGTGCAAAAATGTATTTATGATGATGATGGAGGAAAAATAGGGCGAAGAGGAGATTAAGATTTCAAAATTTGGAATTGTATTTCGAAAAAATATTTATTGTGACAGGTTGTGAAGACCTTGAATTTATTTGATGGAAGACTTGACTTTATGATGGAATTAAGAATTGCGTAAGGACACTTCCGGTTTATTATTAGGGATAAAGTGAGACGTCCGGTGGGTCGGATTTTTTTGAGAGATGGATTACTACTTATTGAAATTGGATTGGATTCTGTGCGAAAAAACGTAAAAAATATACTTTTAGAAATTCCTAATTTGTGAAATAGACGACTGAAATTTACCATTTCAACGATTGTAACAACATCTGAATTAAGCTTTTACTATAATATAAGTTGTTATTTTTTTCATTTTTGGAGTAGAATCCTGACAAAACAATGATAATAATTTTTTCTTATTGAATATTTTGACATTCACTTTATCAAAATTTCACGCCACTTCCTGTCCGATTTTTTCACGTTGGACATCATAATTTGAAGGTGTGTAATTTCAACGTCAAATATTTGCGTAATACAAAATATTTTGTCCCGATGAATTGTCAAACTTATGCGACAAATTTAATATTTTTTCAAATGTCGTTGAAATTAAATTTCTCCAGATAAAATTTGAGCACTATAATTTTTCAAAATAAATAAACATTTGTCCTAATCTAAATATGCAATTTTTGCATATATTTGCAAAATATTTCTAAACTTTTGAATTTTACAGATATTTACAAGTTACAAAAATTTTCTTGAATTATTTCACCCCAAAAACATTAAAACAACTTATTTAGATATAAAACGAACTTGAAGCAATTTTTTACACAACACAAAAATCGGCTACCTTAATTCAGGGCGGAATAATTAGTCGAAATTAAGATCGCATCACTTTTTAAAATGTCGGGTGACAATACTTAATAAGTGTGGATAAAAGGAAATTTATGTGTGCAAAAAAATCGGTAAAATCATTTTAGAAAGGAGTAGATTTTTTAAACGTATCTCTCAACAGAAGAAGAGGCATCAATTACTTGACAATTTGCGAAATGAAAATGGTCACATTTTTTAATGAGATGTTCATGACAAACTCATCTCGAGGATGATCTTGAAGATTATTTATTAAGATGTGGTCCGACTTGACCACACTTTTCATACTTCCATTCCAACTTTTTCAGACATCAGGCATTAATCGTGTAATCCATATACGAAATTAGAGTCAAGATTAAGATCACGGAGTAATTAGTGAGTTATTAGAAAAGATGTGAATTTCTTTAGTACATGTAAATTCAAATTAATTATTATCAGTTAAAAAAAGTTGAATAAATGTGTCACCATATCTGATTCAATTTCAGTTTTATAACGTAAAATAACCCAGCAATTTCTTTACGATGCCACACCTGTCCATTTATTTGCATAATAAATAGTGTGCGAAAATTCGCAAGTAATTAAATAAATTCTACCCACACCCACCCACTGCTCATTTGTAGGTGCATACACCACTTATCCTTAGAATTATGTGCTGTCTCACTTTTTCCCAAATTTCATAACCTTTCCTACCCCCAAAAATAGCACTTTATGTTATTTATAGCTTGGTGGAGTGGAGTCAAGATCCTCATCTCTTCACCCACGATACGAGATAGATAAGTAATTAAAGACAAGACACATTCTTTTTTTATCTGCCTGTCACCTAATTGAGTGAGATGCAACAAATGACACGGTTCGGTGGATCCGCTCAACTCATCCCCATCAATTAAATTGCACACATACATTTTGTAACTACAGGTGTGTGCATCAAAACGACGACAATGTATTGATTGGATTTGCATACACATAAAAAACTGTCCATTCTTTCCGAAAAGATAACGAAATTAATGGGAATTTACATACACCTGTTCGTCGCATCAGGCAATCACAACTGGGTCAGTTAGCGTGGTATCGTGAAGTGGATCTTTTTTTCCAAACTCATCACCACGTCGAATTCGAATCTCTTAATTGTTTCAGTTCTTTCTTTCTTTATAAGTCCGTCCACGGAGACGAGGAAAAAAAATGGTGTGAGGTTTATAATTGTTAACGCTAATCTGTCTCCACATAAGATTCGGACGGAAATGAAGCGAATTATGCACTCGCTTTGTCATGAAGTGAATGAATAGAATGGAATGCCGTCGTGTCACGAATCGAATTTCGCGACATTGTCGAGCTTTTGGAGCGAGCAAGTAATTAATACGTTTAATTGTCAGTCTTAATTTGTGCAGGGTGAAAAAAATGGAGTGAAGTGAGTGGTCAATGCGAGTGATTGTCACTTTTTTTGTCGGTATGCATGCAATTTGAATTGAATAGATCAAGATTTGCATAAAAGGATGTAGGGCTCGTTTTGTAGGGCGCATAACTTACATACCTGATGATGAATTGTTGTGTGTAAAAGTGTCACCTAATCCGTAATCCGTTCCGTCCGTGTAGCAGAGAAATTAGTGGAGGATGGATCGATCAATCACTTATTTTAATGCACCCACGAAACCAAAACTAATGAACCAAAACTAAAAATAATATGTATTGTATTTTGTTTTCTCACTGACAAATTCCGATCGAATATCAAATATCACGTAGCGTAATCGATTTGGGTAGGTATGTAAAAACTTGAAAATCCTGTAACTTTAGTCACATTACAACTTTCTGAAGTGGAATTAGAATCCCGTTAGCTTGTTAAATTTCTGGAGAGGTGATTTGAATATTTTACACAGGTGGATGAAGAAGGAAGGGTTGTATTTAAGGGTACAGGCACTTTTAGTTATTTATGGTATCCTGCGTGCCTTAAATTGTACATATGTACGCCACGGGCTCGGTTGATATATGATTTTCCGTGGCTGGCTTAAAGTGGACTGAGCACAAGAAGGGTTTCATTATTTCTTTGCCGTGGTGTTATTATTTCTTTGGGGATGAGGAAGATGATCCCCTTTTCGAGAAGAGAGGAGAGCATCACTTTAAAATCTCGTCTTCCTTTTACATACCGTACGTTTTTGGTGAGGTGAGTGGTGGTTGAGAGAGATTCGAAAGACAACGGAACTTTGTGCATCATCTAAGCAGGCTTCTTAATAAAGATAACTAAACGTGTAATGTGTACGTAGGTATGTACTGGCTGGCTTTTTGGTGGTATGGTGTCGGATGGGCGATGAGACTGAATTTGAGGAGATTTTGGTTAGAAAATGATGTACTTATTTGGCTATAAACAATGATGCCAGCGTCCCCGTCAACCGTATAGGACTGCGGGATCAGACCGGATGGATGTGATCGGTTTTACTTAAGGGGGAAGCGGGGAGATGTCTAGTAAGGTAAATTTGAGGATGGATTTTACATGCTTTATGCACAGGCCTAGCGATGAGGTAAATTTGAGGTAAAATAGACGACTATCTTCATAATCATGACAGAATTATGTAGGGATAAAATTCACCCTCGGAAACTTTGGTGTCACTGTTTTTTACCGGAAGGAAATGTCTCAAATTTTCGTGATTTTTGTGCCCGAAATTGGTTTAAAATTTCATTATTTCATGATTTTTTTATGTACAAATTTCTTATCACAATCAGTCTTTCGTGTCGCTATTTACACATAATCTAACTAATTTAACATCATTTTGTCATTTCATTTTCCCCTTCGTCGTGATATGTTTAAGGGAAATTTGCACAAAATTGACTTATTTATTTGCCACCCAGACCCAGCCTCCCTCCCTCGAGGAAGATGACGCGAAGGGAACCCATTTATAATGTATTGACTTCAAATTCTTTTCAACATTCACACGTTTTTTTTCTCTTCTACGCACATTTTACTTTTTAAACCATAGCAAAAATGGATTTGGATAACACCATCGAAATTCTTATAATAAAAAAATACTTGAAAGTCCCCAAGTAAAGAATACAAAACCTAGAAAGCGTTTAACATGAAAAGACCGAATAATACGAGCAGTTATACACACTGTTCAACCACTTAACAACTTTCCTGAATTTCATCTCTTTTAAGAAAATCATACTAAAAAAATCTCAGCAGCAGTCAGTTCAGTGTCGGTTAAATAAATAAATAATAAAAGGAAGTGAAGACGGAAAAACTGTGCAATTCTTTAAAAGAATTGCAAAGTGTGCATTTTTTTGTATGCATGTAAGTATACTTATGTATGTACATATGTAAAGTAAAATGGGTCTGAATTTGAGTCGAGATGAGATACTGCTGACCCAAATAGGAAATCTTTTAGTTAGTTTGTTAACGTGCTTTAAAATATGTAAAGGCTTTGCTTTGCTAACTATTTGCATTGCATTGCATTGGTGGCATTGGTGCCCATTTAGTTATTTATTTATTTGTTATAGGGTGCAATTGAAGGGTAGGGTTCGAAGCATGTGTTTTTTTGGATAATTTTGTGCTTGAATTTTTTTGGTGGAATTAAGACAATTCGTAGGAAGAAGATTGCGTTGGGGATTTGGTGCAAGAAAATAGATAATCAAAATTTGTAGATTTACATGGCTTAGTTTTTGCATAATTCTTCGCAATGTCATAATTTCATATGATTTGCATGAATTTTCAATCCCCTGCTTAGGATTAGTCTTGTCGACTTATTGGTTGTGAAGCTACATATGACCGGGTTTTGGCAATGCTTTTTTTGTTCCCCATTCTAATTCGATTTGGCAGGAGTTGGAAAATTTTGGCATGATATACGTTTACGCAATTGCACTTAATCTGCTCATTTTAATCTTTATTGCAAAAAACAGGGTGTAAAAATGGCGAATTTCTAACATTTTATTTATGAACCCTGTAAAATCTCTCTTGATTCTTTGTCATGTCACTCACTCATTCAATGCCACTAATTGAACACTTGTACACAACGTTTTCTGTATTTCGAAAAGGGTGATGTGTGCGTAAATAGTGAGGATTTCGTTCGTGTTGCGGGTACGTATGTACTAATTGACAGCTTATTTTACAAATTGGAATTACCCTTCAAATCGACAACATCCTAATTTTGAAATTGTAGATTTTTTTTTTCTCACAGTGGAGATTTTTCTAACTCGAGTTGCTGCAAATGTATGTACATTGTACATTGTTCTTTCTATCTTTCTTTCTTCTTTCATGGCTAATTGTTCATATTCAGGCGAAGGGATTGTTAAATAAATAGACGGCCATTTTTGAATCAAGAGTGAGAATTGTTAGAGTAAATAAATGATGTTTAACTTTGAGAGAAATGGAATGCGATGAGGAGCTTGACTAACGATGATGACAGGACCATGCAATTAGCCGGATTTTTGCAAGATGCGCCTATTATTATTTGTACGTATTTATTTGTTTCAGAGGGCGATGCCGCCAATCGAACGCCGAAAAATTGGCGCCGCCGAAAAATTGGTCGGTGTCGATCTTTAATTTGTTGTAAATATTGTCCTTGAACTTGCATCACGTGCTATCTCAATTAACTTTGTTTGCGTCTTTGTTCTTCAATAAATAGCAAGGATCGGATGAAATAAGATAGCACATAATGCATTCTAAACAACTCGAAAAAATTGAATATTTTTTTTACTCATGCTTATTACGGAAATTTATGCAAGTAATAATTTTCATAGATTTCAAATTTTCCTTAAAAGTTTTACAATTTTATTTCATACTTTTTTCTATAATTACTTTATTTTATTAGAGCTCACAAGGTTTCGTCGGAGATTTGTATAAAAGTAATTTCTGTAATGATTTCTTAAAAATTAGACACATTTTTGTCATATTGCTCTTTATTTCATGTCTGACGTGTTTATGTATGTAGATACTTCACCCTTTGGTAGCTTGCGCCATAGCTAAACTTCTTGACATAACATGGGCGCAAGTTGGGAAGGAGTCAAGTATGTACTTCTGCCTGGGTTTGTTTTTGGTATACGTGACAATATACGTAAATGTCTTGAAGTTTATAAATGTGTAAAAAAAAAAGTATTAAAAATCCTAGTTTTTTGCCTCTTAGAAAAAATATGAAACTTGGAGAAGTTTGCTTTCTTGATAATAAATTACTAAAAGTTGGCATTACAATAATAACTATGCTGCATTTGGATTGTTCTACATACGTAATTATTTAATTAAGTATACTTATGTAAATTGGGTTTTTAGAGCATCATAAAATAAATATGTATGTTAACCAGTTATTTTTGAGCAACGGATCTATATACGAAAATATAAGATAGATTTATGCTAAAAAATATATATAGTGTATATAAAAATCGAGACAATCTTGATACAATTTTGCAGAAAATTTGCAAACTTGCTCGTTATTAAAGTTTCTTTTCTACGTAAAACATAGAGCATTACATATCTTAACGAAAGTGACAACAATTAGAATTTCGTACGTATTTAAGGTAATATTTTACTATTTAAGATGAGGTGGTCTGCGTAATATTATTAGTTTATTCTAATTATGCACACGCTAAAACAAAATTTGCAATGTTTTTTGCCATACTTATTATTACACACGCGGTCATAACTTTTAGGACGAAGTGAAATGGACACGACTACTTTAAAACAAGTAGAAATTATACAAAATATATAAAAATTTATGTAAATTTACGTAACTCTAAAATAATTACTTATCCACTAATCAGTACAAGATTTTCGAAATGCTGCAGTTCCTCGCCGAAACCAACTTTCACAGATTATGCACATATTTTAAACATTAAATTCAGATTAGTTTGAGGATTTTACCCTAAATTCCACAAAATAATGATTTAAAATTTCATAAAATTTCCTAAAATCCTTTCCTCCCCCTGCTCGGCCTCTTTTTAATGACAATAACTGCAGAAATTATACACGCTACGAGTAACAAGCCTATCAGCAGGGTAATCATGGCTGCAAAACCGAACGTCGACATGCAAACTAATTCTCCACTTGCGCCAATGCCGCTTTCCACCAAGGGCACGCCACCACTGCTGCTGCTGCCTCCCTCCTCGTTGCTACTGCTCCTCTCAGAATCCTGCGCCGAGTCTCCGCCGAAATCCAGATCGTCCGGACTGACCACCGTGATGACCCTGTTGAGTCCGACGTCCTCCTTAAAATCGGCCTTGAATGTGGTCTGATATTCGAAAATTTCTGGCTCTTCCGTCTCGTTGGCGGCGCGTCTTCTACGTCTGCGGGCAGCGTCGTCGTCATCATCGCGATCTCCGGGGGCGGGTAGGCCAGATTTTCCTACGGGTCCTCCAGCTCCGGATTGGCTGCATTGTTCGGGACATTGGTGGCGACAGATTTGAATGGTGCATTGGAAGTGGACTTCCATACTATCGGGGAATTTGAAGGCTTGGAAGTGTGCGTAGCTTAGGACGGTGGCGGATGCCCCGAAATTTTTGATCTTGGTGAAGGGTGACATTAATTTGGGTCGGGTGATGCAGCCCCATTGGTCGACGAGTTGGATGGGGGCACGTTGACCGTCGTGAGCGAGACAGTTTCGAACCATCATGTCGAACTTGTTGTCGTCGTCTTTAATGGCGAGGACCATGGTCATGGTTTGGCCGATTTTGACAAGGCCGGACACTTCGGAGGCCCAGGGTCCTTTTCCAACCTGAGGGAAGAAGGTAAGAAAATGGGTTAATTTTTTACGAAGTGGGGTAAAAAGTATCTGCAAATTTGTGAGAAGGTTGATTTTTGGGGTATTTTTTTAAGAACCCGTTTTGAAGTTTTAAATATGGAAATTTCGAATTTAAGTTGGATTTTTTAAAGAAAAATCTGGAGTTTTTACTTGAATTTGCATCCAGCATCCGACATTATCTCCGGCGAAGTCAGCCCTGACGACGTCCAACATATCAACTGGAAAGGGTCGGAAGGTGACGGATTTTTCGTACTGGTCATGCCACGTGCCTGTAGAATAAAATAAGAATGGTCAGATTTTCAGAAATTTTCAGAAATTGTGCGGTATTAAAAAATTACATCTTAGTTTTCGAGCTTGATCCCAAACTTCTTGCACTTGAGAGTCGTATTGAATAACTATCGTGTTCTCAAAGTAGGATCCCGACCCGGATTGAACGCCATAACCGTAAAGACCGTTCTCCGTATTGCCTCCAGTTCCACATGAGTCAATACTACAAAGAAATTAATAACTTGGATGAGACTGATTGTTATTAAAAATGGCCAATTTTAGGGCAAATACCTGATATCGAAATTGGCAGAGGTATGGCCTAAACCGGCAGGAAGGTGGATGCAGGCAACGTTGTGGTAGTGACCCTGATAAAACATTAGATATTTTTTAGTAGATTTAAACATAAATACACTTTTTTATTTTGAGGAAAAACAAAATTCGCAAAATCATGTCCCATTTTTCAGGGAAAAATATTCACATTTTTGCGATAGAAGGATTGCAGTTAAATGTTTGAAAATATTTAGCTCAGCTCTTTCTGTAGAAATATTGGCAAAAGTTATCTCTAAACCCAAAATACTTGCAAACTTTGTCAAAGATTTACATATTGGCAAAAAATCATCAATTTTTTTTCACCCACCTTAGAAAAGATTACCCCAAAAAATGGTTTATCAAAAGCGACAAAAACCCGCATCACATTCTTTTCACACTTGACTTCGAGTGAGACGATTTTTGGGGTATCGCCATCCGGTCCTGCTGGCCAAGAGGGGTCACCTCCTCCACCTCCGTTGGAGGGAGGACCAACACCATATTGCACGGGCAACCCGAGGTCACCACCTTCCGCGTGAAGGTCGTTGGTTGAGAGGGCGGCCTCTTTTCCGGAAGTGAACAAACCTCCACCCGCGATCCGTTGTGGGACTGGATTGTTCAAAACTTTAGGTTGAGATTGTCCAGGACCGAAAAATCCTCCATTTGGGCGACCATCTTTCATTCCTGGAATAAAGTTTTGGGAGTTTTAATTTCCAGCAGAAAATGTCAAATTGTAAAATTATTATAAAATTGAAATAATTTTACATAAAATATTTTAAATATAAAAATAAAATTTTAATGAATAGAAATTTTAGGAAAATACGCACGTAAAAGTTTATACGGCTGTTTTTTGCAAAATTAATTATTTTGGACACCAAACTCTTACGCTAAACGCTTCTAAACGCTTAAAAAATTAGTAAAAATGTCCAAAAACCTTTAGGAAACTTTTCCCAAAATATTCTACCTGGCGGTTTTCTATCGAAAAGTTCCCTTATAATGTTTTTCGTAATTTCTGCCGACGACATGCCCGGAGCGCGGTGTTGTGGTTGCAATTGTTGGTTTTGTTGTTGCACATATCTTGCTTGTTGTTGCTGCTGTTGTTGTGCTTGTGGGTGTGGCAGCGGGGGCACCAATCCGCTTGGATGATGCTGTCGGAAATGTTCGGCAGAACTTTGTTGTCGAGTTCCAGAGGAGATACTGATTTCCGTCGCTTTCTGAATCACTGCATCTCCCGACGGTGTGGAGACGATGATTGGCTGCGGAGTTACGTGGCGTGGCTGTTGGGGGTGAAATTGTGGGTGTGGTGGTTGTTGTTGTTGGAAGGTGTTTTGCTGCTGGAGGAATTGTGGCTGGGGTCCGGATCCGCTTTGTTGTTGCTGTTGAGGGTGGAAGACGATTTGACCTTGTTTGCCTGAAGGGAAGAGAAATAGAGGTCATTTGTTAAGAGACGGTTTAAAATTTAGGAAAATTTTGTAACAATTTGGGGAAAATTTTGAAATTTTAGGATAGGATTGTTTTTCTAGAGAGAAGAGAAAAAAGAGTGGATTTGAAATTGAGGGGAATTTTAAAACTTTTTAAGCATGTTTTTAAGAAATTTTGAACTTGATATGTGTGGGTGTGGTTGGAGACCTTGTTGGAATTGGTGGTGTGGTGGTGGTGCTCGCATTTGTGGGTGAGGAATAGCAAAATTGTTTTGGCCGGGCTGATTTTGATTTTGCTGCGGCATGGGAAGGATTATCGTTCCGGGAACGGTTCTGATCGGATAGGGGACGGGAATCTGTGGCAAAAAATTCAATTATTACCGAAAATTTATTATCGTTCAAAATTTTATGTTATACTAATTTATTAATTACTTGTCCATTATGTCCACTTTCGACGGCGACTTGATCTCTGACATCGGAAGTTTCGACCGCCATTTGGTCAGGAGCGACTTGGCTTTCCATGGCGAGCTGGTCTTCGCCATCTTCAATTGTGAAACCCTGACGCTTTTCAAATGTCGAATCCCCAACGGCACGACCTTCATCCCCACGCTCGCTTAATGAAGACTCCACTTTCTCTGCGACTTTCGTTCCATCAGCTTTCACCGTCTGCAAAAAGAAAGAAAGGCAATTTAGTAATCATGAATTTATGCGTAATAATTTGCAATAATTTTTGCATATATTGAATTTCGTTAAAATTAAATAGAGTCAGAGACTTTTGAGCATTGTCCCAATTTTATTTTATATTTTCATGTTGATTTATTGTATCTCAAAAAAAAATCTGACGATTTTTCCCTATAACTTACGTAAATTTAAGAAAAATCCAAATTATCTAATTTTGGAAAACTTCATTTAATCGTAATTTTTTTTATATTTCAAGAACTTTAGATGAATAATATAATTTCATAGTATGCCAATCCCTTCCTCCATTCCTTGCCCTTCTGCCGGCATTATTTGATCTCTTACAGTGATAAATTCGTACAAATCACGATCCTCATCCTCATATTGATTCAGCATCTATTTTCAGCCTCTCGATCTTGGTCATACATATTCTTCTTCATTACAACGACGAATCCTCCTCCCCATCATGGTTCTCACATCAACAAACAATCGATAATAAATACCACCCGGATGAAATGAAAAATCAATTCAATCCTACAAAATTGATCTCTGTGTCAGATTGCAGATTGCAAATTGAGATATTTAATCAAGTCTTGCAATGAAATATTTAAATCCAATCCAACCCGAATAATAATACTTTAGAATAATTGTTACCTCAATAAATATGAAATTTTGAAACGAAAATGTATGTTATCCATCTTGTTTAGCTAACGATGTACCATTATCGAAATTTTTATGAGCGATGATGCCACGTGAAATTCGCATCTGTTAAAAAAAGCGTCCCATTGTTTTATTCAAATCCAATCAGCCAGTTATTTAATGAGTAACCGGTTGTTGTGCATGTGTCATTTTTGTCATTGGAAAATTAAAGATGTCACCATTTAATTTTTAAATTTAGTTCCGTGCTGAGTCACTCTGTGATGTATCGATTTTCTAATTGCTAAAATCAATCAATAATTAATATAGTGATGATTAATTACGTACGTACGTGCGTATTTATTTTTTAAATGATGTCAATTCCACTTAAGGGAAATGCGACATAGTTAATTTAATTATTGAGAGGATTTAGTAGGCAAGTTAATTATTTTAGTGATAATTAAATAGTGCTAAAAGCTGTGAAGAGGAATTTGTCACCAATTTGACGACAAATTTATGACTCTGAATATGTTGCAAAAATTGAACTTTTGAAAAATATTTATTTTGAAAAAATGCGTAGATTCGACGTCAGATGTTATAAAAATCAATTATTATTTTGGTTTAAAAACTATAAAAAGGTGAGAGTATTTCGACTTTGAAGGTTTTGGTATAAATTTTTTTGTCCAAACTTTATGTAGATTTTAACCCTAGACATATTTTTATGGTAAAAAATTTAAATTGTAGGATTTTTGTAATGTTATAAATAATTTGTGTCGTGTAGTTGGATCGATAATTCATTCTTAACCTCTTATCTTCTAAGTGAATAATTCACTTAGCAACGGATTATCTTTAACAATTATTGTTAAAGATAATCCTTTGCTGACTAATTATGCATTAGCTTAAAATATATTTGTCACTAAGATACTTTAGGATGCTTTAAATTGGAGACGAATACTAAAATTAGAGGCATGCCCTTGCCTTCTGGGTTAATTATAATGAAACAAACCCGAAAACCGGAATTTTTAACCGATCGAATTTTATGGGTTTATTTAGAATTTGACCATAATTACCATAATTTGTAGTTAAAAACCTTAAAATCATCATGCATTCTCAAAAATATAGATACTAAAAACTTCATGAAAAACATGAAAACGCTCTAAAATATCACAAATCATTTCTTATGGAATTTTTCGAAACAAGTTATTTTGCCTTTTAGACAACCACACCTTACAGTCATCACAAAAATATTTTGTTGCTTTTCTTTGCTTATTCTGCGTGCATAGCTTGCAATTTGACCTTTTATTCTTCCCATTGACATCTGGAAGAGTTTGAGGATAATGTGGAGTCGATTTGGCTTTTTGAGCGTTGGAGCACTTTGGGCGACGTCCTTTTGTACTTCGTTCAAGTTGATTCTCGTCCAGCATATTGTTCACCAAACTGAGAAGATATGCCTTGTAACCATTCTTCGTTAGTTGAGAATTGAAGTGGCCAGCAATTACAAAGGAGTTGTAGATGCAAATATCCAGAAGATGAAATGCATATTTTCGATACCATTTCTTGGTCTTCCTCAGGGTCTGATATGGTCGAATGATTTTTTGAATTTTTGAATTTTCTAGTCCTCCGGACAGTGTCTAATACGAATACACGCTTCCTAACTAAAACTTTTGCCAAAGTAGGGGACTGAAAATAATTGTCAAGGACAAGGCGATGATTTTTTCCAAAGTATCCTTTTTGTAGGAAAGTCAGAGCGATGGCACCTCCAAAGCCATATTTTGCAATCCAAGACCGATCATGAATTGTAGTGGTCTTCCCTTGATATGGAATAATGTCCAACACATAGCGATGTTGTGAATCCATGAGAAAAAATGATTCGATGCCAAACCTCCCTCTTTTCTTTGAATTGTACTGCCGGATGCTCAATCTCCCTTTGTATGGCATCAACTCTTCATCCAGTGTTAAAAATTCTCCAGGATTCACAAAATTTTTAAAATTGGCCAAAATTCTTGACAAAATTGATCCAAGCTTGTGAAACCTGTCTGTCTGATTCAATTCAGGGTCTTCCAGATTCACAAAATGAAGGGCACGCAAAATTTGTAAAAACCTATTCATTTTCAAGATTAACACTTGAGCACAACTGTAGCAGTATTTTAAGTATGCACCTATCTCTACTCATGGAGTCGCCAAACGAATACGTTGCAATCAACGAGTTAGTGCTCCAATAATCCTGAAGCGTTGGTTTTCGAACGACTCCCATTAGAATATTAAGTGCGAAAAAAACCCAGAACTCCGGAACTGATAAATTTGTCCACTTGGGAATATTTGTCTGCCTGGCATAGAGGTTGGTTTGATAAATTATTTCTTGAATTATTTCTTCTGTTAAAAATCTGCGAAGTATAAAATATGGCGATGATGCATCGTTGACCTCCGGGTCTCGCACAATAACGCTCTCTTGAAAATCTTCCGCCTCTGGGAAGAAATATTCGTGATCGCCATCCCATTCAATTCCATCCTAAAAATTAAAAAATTAGCAAAATCGGTGGAACGCATACGTACGTTAAGTACAACGTACTGTTTCAATCAGGGGCTCCTCATCCTCTTCATCCACCGCTTCGAACTCCAAAATGGCTTCGTCGTCGATATTTTCCTCGCCCATCTCATATTGTGTCTCCAAATAAGTTTCTTCGACCCATGAAGGAGTATGCAATTGAGGATGTTCATCCACAATCTCGTCAGATTGTGTGAAGATAATTTGGGACATTTTCAAGCAATAGCACCAAAAATATGCGAAATTAAATTGCGAAATTCTCGAATTTGGAAAAAAATATGACTTCGCATTTATGTGTATTTCGAGGTCAACGGAAAATTCAATTATTACACAAATGTGTGTATTTAGTCGTCAACGGAAAATTCAATTATTACACAAATATGTGTATTTCGTCGTCAACGGAAAATAAAATACTACACAAATGTGTGTATTTCGTCGTCAGCGGAAAATTAAATACTACACAAATGTGTTTACTTCGCCGTGAACGGTAAATATAATACTACACACATGTGTGTACTTCGTCGTCAAGAGGTTAATTTTCTGTAAAGTTCATAACTTTACAAAAGACTGCAGATGAATGCATACTTATCATACTTATCTAAAATGGGAAATAGATTATCTAAAATATTATTTGTTAGTTAAATTTCTCCATAATTTCTACACGGAGTACAAGTATGACAATATTCAGAAATGATGCTAAAAAATTGAAATGGTAGGATTTTTTAAATACTCTATAAATAATTTGCAAGCCGTGTCGTGTAGTTAGATTGATAGCTATTTTTTGTATTTTTTGTAAAGTTCGTAATTTTATAAAAGATTAGAAATGATACTAATTGCGCAAATTCCTATCTTTACTATTATTAGGTTGGGCAAATTTCTTCAAAATTTCTATTCGGAGTAAAAGCATTACAAAATTTGATGAAAATTGAAATTTTACGACAAAATTAGGAAATTGTGTGATTTTTTTTAATGCTACAAATAATTTTGTAATCGTGTCGTATAGCTGGATGGTTTTTCTATTTGTAATTTTTTTCATAAAGTGCGTAATTTTGTAAAACATTTGCCAAGCTTAATATTTCATGCAAAATAATCAATTTATACATATTATTTATACATACTAATTTGCATTACAGCACATGCAGCTTTAAAAATGCAGCGTCTTTTTTGAATATCCCATTCTAAATAAAAAATGTTACTTAAAAATATATTTAAATAACATCCGCCGCAGCAGTTCTTAATCTCGCTCTGTTTATAAAAATGTATGAAAGATTTATTATTATTTAGCTTGCGAAATACATAATGCACCCAAGAGAAAATTGCATGCATGCATTCATGTACCTGACAAATGGGAAAAGCGGACAAGGAATTATAATAATTCAAACCACGGGAGCATGCGAAAGACACGACCCCAATGCACTTTGACATTAGGCGGAATACACCCATTTCTTAATGAATCCCAAATCTAAAACCAATTCAGAACAGTAGAGAAGTAGGATTGGGTAGGTTTCCGAAATTCGAAATTAGCTAAAATTTCTAGAATTTTTATAAAATTTTACTCAGGGCTTATGTGGTCGTCATGTCTGTCTGTCTGTCTGTTCGTCTGAAAAACTTAATGGAATACAGAATTGGAGAGAGCATAAATTTCTAAATCAGGCACAAATTTTAAGGATTTTGCGGATTCAATTTGATTTGTATGACTAATTTTTTATAAATTATGTGAATCATAAGTTTTGGAGCCATCATGTCTGTCCGTCCCCCTGATTTCCTAACTAACCAACCAACTAACTAACCTGCATCATAATTTACA